CTTGCACAATTTTGTATCCGACAATTTTATTGGTTTTTATTTTATGTATATTATATACCAATTGTTAACAATCTGTATACTACTTTTTCGCACCGCTGTCTATAACCAGAATAATAATATATCATACAGCAGTTTTAATTCGAGTCTCTATATTTAAACTACAATATTTGACAATAATTACTAAGTCGCACAGCAACGAGTTTTCCATCAAAAAAAGATTAGTTTTCATCCGTTGAAACGCCTATAACATTATATGTATGTATTATGAAACGTTTACCTCCAAAAGATTTCAACGCTACGACGAGCTTAAGGCGGACAACATAATAGATACACTAGATTGTTACCGACACGACAGAGAGCCTTGTCGGATCTAATACCGACAAAGGGCTAATGCAAGACACGGACCAATAGACAGTAATACTCTAAAACGATTTGAGAGTAGTGGAAAAAAAATAAACAACAAATATATCCTGTCGTTTACGATAGGTTTCTTTTTCATTTCAAAGGCAATAAATATCGACCTCACGTGGGAAAAAAAACTGACGTCCATAAAAAAAAAAAAAATACATCGAGGTGGATTAATAAACAAAAAACCGTTCAAGCAAAGTCTGGTTTCCTTATGAGGATATAATATAATATCATTGGTTGTCGCGGAAAGTGCACTGACCCAATCCTATGTTCTCCGGTGTGTACACGCAAACAAATATAAACACACACACACACACAGTTTAAGTACATGATGATAGTGGTCTGTGGCCTGTGCTAAGCGTGTACACGAGCCTGCAAGCGCAGCGACCGTATTAATTTTTTTCCCATGGGCACGGGACACCACTGGCACCGGCGGCACGGTCGTTCCGCATTGCTTAACTCATTTTTTAAGTGTTTTTTTTTTTTGCACGCCATTAAAAGATGTCCGCTCGACGCGATATTATTGTTTGAACAAAGACGATGAGTCCGAAATTTGGCAATGCCTAAAAAATATTAAAAAATAATAGTTACCATCGAAGGAATGCGGTTATGTTTTGTTGTATCTTTTTTTTTTTTCGTGTTTACTCGGTGTCGTTCTTATAATAAACGTCATTAAAAAAAAACCAAAAAAAAAACCTATACCTACACGGTGTTTCCGGAACCGCAATCGAGATAAATCATTATTATTATTATTTTTTTTTTAGCGACATCACTATATGAACCTCATACAACCCTGTACATCTTCGGCACACACACACCACTATAATGTGGAAGTCATCGTGGGTCGTTGTTTGCATTATATTCTGTGCAGCACACAGTGTTATTGTAACGATACAAACAACATATTAAAATATTTTCTTATAAGTTTGTACGAGGCGGTTACCTTGTGCCCGCGCTCAATACAGATCAGTTCTATACACAAGAGACAATAATATGGCATTTCTTGAGCAAAACGTAGACTCTTTGTGCGGATTCCATACACGCATAAGGCACAAGGTCGTCGAGTACGGGCATAGTCACGTTTTATTTAAATGCGCTCGTCTTCGCCACTCGGGATCGTCTAGTCTAAACCTTCGATATTGAAATAATATGCTTGTGTAGTAGCACCCGAAATTTACAAAGAGCAAACTTGACGAGATTCATTTGTGTGTTGTGTATCGCCGGGAAAAATAGATTCGGTACACGAAATGGCTGCCTCACGGGTCGGGACATTTTTCAATCCGAATACAATATATTCAACAAAATCCTGGACAAATGCGTTCCTCTGGACTTCTGGAAACCCTATCGTTTGAACGATCAAACCGTCGTCGTGCGTTTCGTGACCAAAGCACTTGACTACTGCATAGACCGCAAATACTCTTGGTTCGTGTAAGTCTTAGTTGGTAGGTACACAATATGACATCGCCCACGAGACGTTATTTATGACATTGTCTCCGGTGCTTTTTAACTAAACCGCTGGGCTCTGGAGAATGTCCGCTAATAAAATAGTATAGCAAACTATGCGCGGAGAACTGCACTGCGGTAATACTTGATAACATCGGCTTCGCGGCGGGTCCCGCAGCTTATTATTATAATCATAGCGTGGTGTTGTATACATTATTATTGCTATTTAGTATGATAATAATATCATTGGGTGGAAAACTCATCCGACGGGTCTCCGCAGTGTCCTCGCACGTGATGGCATTCCGATCATTTTGGAATACATGTGATATAATATAATATAATATAATATATTTTGTGTGTGTATTATAAAATATGTTACCGTGCCTTATGGTCCGATCCGCAGGAAGAATTAACGACCTTGCCGGCGGTCGTCCTACGCGACCAGTCGAGCAGTACAGCTATAGTGCAGCGAAGCCAAAAGTAAAAACGAAAGGAAAATCAATTGTGTTCGCCATAATTCACCGGCGGTAAATAAAAAAAAAAAACAGGTAAAAAACACACGAGTGGGCCGTCCAAAACAAACGGTTATAAATACCCGTTTAATTATAATATTCAACCGGACGATGACCAGATGCCGCCTTTTTTGACGTGTCCAAAAATAATATTATGCGCGCGCAATCCGGTTTTCCCCATGGCCGTTTGACAATATTATTAGATATTATTATTATTATGCGATGCCCACGGGCGAATCGACGATTTACGGCCGTCCGTAGAGTCTTATTATTATCATACTCGTTCGGGGATTTGGAAAATGCGTTTTCTATAAATAACAAACAGATATGATAACATTTTTTTTTATATTAAAACAAAAAAAAACAACCCGTCAACTCAAGCGCTACATGATTCCCACGGGATTCGGTGTTCTGACAGGACCCGCGTGCGCACCGCCCATGGCGTTTCTTCGGCACGACCGAAATCTCGGTAATATTATATTATCATCGTTATATATGATAATATATATATACGTATATGTGAGTGTGTACTTAGGTATAATTACCATCGTCGTCCTCTAATGATAGAGTCCGCATATTTTGTGCGTATTAACGGGAAATCGCGTGCGTTTCCTTTTGGAACGATTCGCCGGAAATAAAAGCGGCACAAGTATAATGACCTTAAAAAATATTGTTGGGATAATACGAGCACACCGTAGGAAACCGCACTATACTAATATTATGCACATGGCCCGAGAAAATCCGTTTCCTACATAATAACCTAGTAACGTGGCCAAACTACTCGTATATAATCTTTACGGTATTGAAATCGCACAATTATTGTTACTAAGTAGTCGACATGATGAATTTTAAAGTTTGACTAGGATTTTCCAATATATTATATACTTCTGCTTGCATTCATGTCCGTCCGCTGTCGTTTCTATCCAAATTGAAGTTAGACCGAACTGTAGTATTGAAGACTACATGGCTACTGCACAGATACCTCGAATACAAATTAAATGTCCTTTCGCCATCGGGCAATCCAAATTTAAGGGGTCGATAAGTCCAACGGTTTGGTTGGTGATCGTTTCGAATCGTCGAACGGACGCGTTTTTCTTCAGAGATTATAATATTATTATGCTGTCCAATAGTGTGTGTATGGCTTCCGGTGAACCGGATTTGCTTGAAGATTCAACGGGTAATTTTTTGTACCTAAACAAAACCTGCAACAAAATATAATATTATTATAGAGTTGAAAGACCCCCGGGCGTTACCTGAAAGTCATTAAATTCGAGATAAAAAAAAAACCCGTACCGATCGTGTGCTACACATAATTTTTATAATAACATACGCATAGGAAATACGTCGTCGGATGCACCGTTTTTTTAACTCTTGTAAAAAAATTAAAAGATTATGCGAGCATACGCGTTATTTTTAATAGGTTCGCCTGCGGAAAGACACCGGGCGCGTGGTTCACGGTTCACGCATTAATATTGTATTAAATTTAATATATTGTACATGTGTGTGTTATATTATATCATGTCTTGGCCGTGTAACAGCAATGACCAGTGAGCGCGCCAAACCGTTAAAAAATATTATAATAATACACTCCATTAGATGAATCGAACCATTATAATGAGTGCGCCCCAAGCCGTCGGTTTTTTAATGGGCGTTGAAAAAAACAATATACATTTTTTTCCCAACCGAAATTCCATTTCATTTGACTAAAAAATTCGGTCGTTCGGTAAATTCCAACTTTCCACTTGACAATATCTGTTGATGATTACAATAATATTGATAACTCAAACAACGATTGCTTGTGGTAATTTGAGCGTTTTTTAGTACGGTAACACATTAAAATGTAAAATAGCATCTCTGCTCGGCATCGACAAAACACATGATGTGTAATTCATTTCATTCGGGTCACAAGAAACTAGGAAAACTAGTTAAGTCGGTACGACTACTTAAATTAGATTTGCTACGAATGTTATCTCTTATGTTTGTTAGGTTTTAATTGTTAGTAAATTGTTTTTCTTGTTCTCTGTTGTCACAAGCGTAGGCACTACCGGTGTCAACTCGACACGTTATCCGTCCGTTATATCTTACAATGTTTGTCCGTCTCATCTTTCTCGTACCTAGCCGTCATAAATCGTGTGAAATCTGCCACTATCGTTTGCACGCTTAACCCAATGAACGTATTACCCCGACGGCGGCCATTAAACTCTGTACTGGACTGGTTTGTCCGGTGTGTGTGGTGTGTGTACAATGATATCGCCCAACGTTCACACACATACACATAATAACATTACACTGGATATTATTATTATTAATACGGTTATACTAACGGTACCCCGTGGTAAAGTGCAGGCTCTAGCAGCTGCGCAAAATATTATAACAAATTACATATTATTATTATTATTATTATGATGAAAGAAAAATTCCAATTCTGGACAACTCGATCTTGGGTCGCACACACTCATTACACAGCCGTATGCGGTTATATAATTATTATTATGTATATTATTACCCATTAATATATAAGAGCGGACGTCGTGTTTGTCTGATGGCAAATTAATGATCTTAAAACGGCATCATCTTTCGTTGTGTTGTTGGCATAATATTGTAGTGTTAACCGTATATTTTGTTTTTATTTTTCAGGGCGATGCTAGACATGGCTCTAGGGAGTAATGCTCCCACGGGCTCCTACGACCGTAGCCGGCTGACCGTGGCTCTGCTGTTGATCGTTTGCGCGACACTCGTCAAGTCTGGTAAGTACACTATTTCTTGGGTTCGAAAAACCAATAGATTTATAACTGAATGGTCGCACGCGAGAAGGGACGTCATAACGTCAAGACATATTTTGAAGAAAAAAAAAATTAGGACTTTGCATAATACACAAAAACCACACGACGGTCTACGGCCTAACGCCGCTTTGTAAAAGTCCTTTCTTGCGTTAAACGTTGAAACGTTAAGGATAAGACACTAGTTTTCTTTTGAAAATAATTGTAATTTTGTAGTTTTACTTTTTGGAGACACCTTAGATTATGTTCTTTATAATATTGGGGGTAACAATCAATTTTTTATCCAATTTACTTTTTTCTGGACCTCTGTCAACATTTAAAATTAAAATGGCTACCTAAATATTTAGTGTCTTATCCTTAATGAATCACCCTGTGCAGAGATCTATGGGCACGCGTTCGTCATGGACCGCAAACGCCAAGTACCACAATCATAAACCTATTTTCTGCATCGACGGTTTTGAGAGTTTCACTATGTATTTCAATTGGTATTTTTTCTTCGTTTGTCTCATTAACAAGGATGAATGTTTGTACTCAAAGTGCGAGACAAGTCAGGAGAGAGGACTTAAAAGAAGCCTACAAAGGCACTATACACTCGAGACCAAGACGACGGAGTTATAGCTAATATTATTATAAACAAGTAAATTCCCATTGACCGAATGTAGGAAATGTTAAAAATCTCAAAACGCATATTTCATTTTAATAATATATTGTAAGCAAAGGTAATATTATAGTATATGAACCGCTAAATACAGAAAGGGCACATGTCCAGATTTAAAATTTTTTTTCAGAAAAGACAAAAAAAACTTAATAAATAATTTTTCTGAAAAATATTTAATTACTCATTTCGTGTTATTAAATAATTGAGCGTTAGACAGCACATACTTACTTCTACAATTATTTAAAGAATTATTATACAAACATTAATATAATATTCGATCGCTATATATGGCACGTAACCGCGTCCGGAAAGGTCATTGATACGAGTTTTTCGCATTTTACACGGTCATTGTCAATGTGTGTATATTTTGTTAATGCGATCAAACGTTCTTGGGTACCTCCCTGGTAAGATCACCGACGGCCATTGTTGCAGTGGCTTGTCGTGTCTCATTCATAAATCTTTGGGTCGATAAAACGATTTTCCCGACACTTCCTCGTCGTGTGGTGCCCGCCGCCGTTCAACCGTGACATAAATATTATGTTGGAAAAAAAATAATAACAATAAAAAATAAAAAAAAATACCCGACAAATCGACAAGAAAACCACAGGCCGGCGGCGGTACCGATTGTTTGCCGTGTGTGTGTACACTATATACATTAATATTATTATAATATTATTCCGATACTATTGAACGTTGTAAAACACTTTCGCAGAGGTGTTTTTTTAATGCATCAATAGACGCGGTCTCCATTAGCAGCAGCACAAACACTACAGTCGGACACACATAGTAATAATAATAATAATAATAATAATTGGACATCCATGAACTTGGCCGTAAAAAAAACGCGTTTCACACACACACACCGCACGACGTCTTGACTTGTTCACGAGACGCTGCCGCAGTGCAAAACGTTTCCTACAAGACATAAGTTCCTTCCCCCCTTCTCCCACTTCCCCTTTGCTCTTCTACACAAACGGTTTCGGTTTCGAAACGCTCAACTCGACTTTTGCACACATACGGGTTTGTCAAAAGCGCTTTTGCATAAGAAATAACAATATTTTTAATAATTTGGGGGGTTTTTTCTTTCACAAAAACGAGGCTTGATTATTTTTCTAAAACGGTTCACGTTATAATAATATATTGCCGTCGAATCTTACTGTTTGTGCTTCCCGACGACTTGATCGAGAAATTCAAAAACAGTTTGTTTCGTAATAGCTGTGCAGTTGAGTCTGCATTGTATTATTATCCTGTTTACAGCTGTTTATCTAGTCATTTCGATTAAGGTATACATACTTTTTTACACGTTGAACAACGCAATCGCATTCTTGTAACATTTTCTTTATACATTTTGTCACAAAACAATAAACATAATGTGTAACAACTTACCATCTAATGTATCTCAACAAAAAAAAACTTATTTTTTTCTTTTTCAAATAACTGTTGCTAAGTAGTTAATTCTACTAATTCAACCAAAGTTTAATGTCTTTCAAATGTTGGTTACCTATTTGGCTTAGGACACTGTAAACCCAACCTGACCAAAGATGATATTTTTTTTAGGGCAAATTATACCTAATAATAAATTTTTGTAAAAAAAATGTTCTATACATAAAAAAAAATACCGCTTTCGCATCGTTATAATAATAATTTTTTAAATTAAACCTTAATCGAGTATTAAAAAATTTAATGTTCTACTATAATATTATTGTGTCATCGTAGGACGTCGTTCAATTGTAAATATTACACCTCATAATAATATTATACAGTACTTTGTCAATGATCATAATGACTACTTTTCACAAATGAAAGATAAACAAAACTATGCGTTTAAGGTTACAAACAAGGTTAGATAATTGTGTGCAATATGCGATTGTATAGGCTAGGCCGATTATGCTGTACAAAAACAGAGATAGAAAACCGGTATAGTTATCTGAACGGGATTCGACATAACTGTAAATTCGCGTACCCGTCAATAATTATATTGTGGTGTACTTAAGTGCGTAGCACGTTGAAAAACAGAATTATTATTCATAGGAAAACTTGGTAGGTATTCTTAATGAAATAATACGGCTAATGCTATGGGAAAACCTAACCGGAAGTCTCAACCCGTTATACTAGAGCTGATTTTTCAGCTAAGTCCTGTAAAAACATTTGGGTCGTATGACAAAAAGTAGGATAAAAATATATTATTAAGTTCCTACCAGCGTTATTAATGACTGTGGATTAGCATTGCTCTAGGTTTATCAATGTAAAATCATTAAGTGAAAACAAAAATATACATATATACAATGCTTATGTGTTTCTAACGGTTTAACAAAATAATAGTGTGTATATATTATACAAGTTTTATCGCGTTAATGTATTTTTGGTTATTAAATTAATGGACTTTTTTTAAGTTTTACGACCAAGGTTACCTATTTTAAATGTTTACCGCCTGTGCTCTTGGTCTTGACACACAAATTCTTTTATAAGTGAAATGGGAGAGACAGACTCTTAAACTAAACGCTCTTAGGTTTCTTTAAAAGGATGAGGCTTTAGCAATGAACACAAGTTTCCATTCACGTTTTTCCTGGAGTTTTTCATTTTTCAATCGTCTTAGTATGGGAATTCAACCTCTGGCACTGGCAAAAACTAGCAAATAAACAATGTACCGCTAAGGTTTTCTACGGGTTTTCACGCTGGCCGACCGGTTCTGTTGGTTTTTGTTGCTGTTATAGCCATAGTCGTCCTGGCCGTCGTCTCCAGACGAGTATCTTTGCCAGCACGTACCGTCTTATTACCGTTGTCGTTGCTCGGGAACGATGCAGGGAACACAGCTCAGCTGACCCGGTCGATTGTTTATGGAAAAACAGTACATTTAACGGTTATGCACAAGTCCACTACTATACTTGGCCCTCGAAAGCCGGTGGCTCTCCGGAAAAGGCGAATACGTAACACGTATTATGTTATTATTGCGTATAATAACTTGTGAAATAATTTTATAACTTGTATAATGTGTATACTAATGAAATTTCTAATTAGTATTCAGTATGGTAATATTATAACGACGATAACATGAATTATTTTCTACTTCTATTAATTATTACCGTTTAAAAACGTAGTATATACAAGGACAAGGTGTTTGAATATGTAATTTATATCTAATTAATTTTTTTTTTTTTTTACTTATTTTGAATAATTTATTCAACTACAATATTTTTTATTTTCCCCATTTAAACCTAAATGGATTAAAAACAATAAAGTTGACAAACATTCTCAAATTTCAATAATTTTATCTAATAAATGCTTGTCGCCATAAAATTGTTTTGGTTCGTCTGAGATGTGCTATCTCGAATACCAAAATATTATAAACATACTTCTAACTTCAGTGAAGAGATTAGCAGTGTGGATTTTTTGGTTTTTCTTGGAAAAATCATTTGATAAAAATTACACTTTTATACTATTATTAGTATTGTTATATGAAGCGTGTGAAAACATGAATAGTGAATACGGTTCTAACGGTATAACAGCGAAACGATTATAGCGTTGCTGTGTAGTTTGCTTACACGATGTACATAATATTATAGTATTATTATAATCATAAGCGTACATCGCCAAACGATTACTTTGTTAAGGTCCGCCTTTAATGGTATTATTTGTTCACAATTCCGATCGGTATAGATTATTTTTTATTAATTTACAACAGCTAATAAGCCATTATTAATAGTGCGGTTATTTATTATTTGTTTTTTGTTTCAGCGCCGACCACTATCGACGAAATCGAACCGAAAAGAACAGACATAGCAGATTATTATGCGAGTGAGTAAAAAAAAAAAACATTTCACAATTTTCATTTGGTACAGTTAAGCTTAGACACAAAAACAACTGTTTAAATGTTAAACAGCAAATAATCAATGTAAATAAAATAACAATATGAGAATTTTACAATTCTTAGCAAAAAACCAAAACAATAATAATAATAATAATGTAAAAAAAACAATATATTAGGTACTAATAAGACATGTTGAGAAACGGGCTAATCGGTTATGCAAAATACCTACACCCGTGTCAACAACTGTAGTTGGTTGTATCTATATTATTGAATGTTTGCCAAAACTAGTATTATTAAATTTTATTTTTTACTTGCATTCGAATAATTTTAGTATAATGTTTTACATGTCAAATAACCGTTTACTAATGTTCTACAAACGTGTTATAATTTGTTTGTGATTTAAGGTAAACTTAGTAAGTTACAACCATATGTTCCTGTTTAGCTTATGCGATTTTGACAAACTGGTAGTTTCAAAGCCGTATCTCTGCTACTGCTAAATCATTTCACTATAAAAAAAAATTACCTATTAATTGGTTAATAATTATTATCAGTTTTATTTTTTAAATCCATTTCATAATAACACCACGTAATGGAATAACGCTCACGCTCATATTTTATTTGTACAAAAAAACACCTTGCTACTGTTGAAAATTAGAATTAACCATAACGTTATCGTTTACGTTTAGACTCAAATGGCTGTTACTATAATTATCAGCATTATGAAGAGGGCGACCGTATTGTGACCAACGAACCTTGTCTGAACTGCACTTGTCACAACCGAATGTTGATGTGCTTCCTGAGGGTGTGCCCGTTCACGAAAGCGATTGGACAAGACTGTACGGTGCAAAAATCTCCGGATCAATGTTGTCCGACCATCTCTTGCCCGGAAGGTATGTTGTAGTATTAAAAAAAAAAACGGTGACTGTTCGTGTACATCAATAAGCCATTTAGTTGGTTCGTATGTTACAGTGCCTGTGGAATTGTTGACCAGCTCTACGACACCACAGCCTACGACAACGACGACTGTAGGATGGCAAGATAACTACGGGTGCATGATGAACGACAATGAATTTTTCCCAGACGGAGCACAGGTAAATTTTAAGAAAAAAAAAACTTATTGTCTGCAAAATGTACACCGTTCGCGTGCTTTGATTAAACTCATTCTCTTATTGCTTATACAGCTGCCTATTAGCCTGCAGAAACCTTGTGAACTCTGTTATTGTATAAGAAACAGAACAGCTTGTGTCATGCAAGAGTGCACGCTCCACGTAGAAGGATGCAGGCCGGTGTACCTTGATGGTGTCTGTTGCCCAGTCCGGTATGATTGCGGTAAGTCATAATTGCAAACAATTCATGTTAAAACATATAATTGTTCAACTTTTCATACAAATTGAAAGCTGACCATAATTATCTTGATATAGACATTGAGTTTGATGAAATTAATGCTTATTTTGTCAGTAAACATTTCCAATTTTATTTATTTCATTTATTTCAGATTATTTCTAGAAACGCATTGTCAATGTTACTCTTCAACACATGTCTAACAACTAATATTTTGATTCATGTTTTTAGATTATGAAAATGATAAGTCCACTACGTCAACGCCACAGATAACTGGTGGTTTAGTGTTCTCTACTACTTCTGCGCCGTTCGATTGCCGCGTGGGTAATGAAGTTTACAACGACGGTGAATCCATACCCATGCTTTCCGAGAAACCATGCCATCACTGCTATTGTATGAGAGGTGATATCGTTTGTGCAGTTCAGGATTGCGGAGAGCCTCTCAGAGGTAAGGATTGCACTCCGGAACCTCCTCCAGCCGGCCAATGCTGTCCCACATCATACCGCTGTGGTAAGTTTAAATTTTTAAAAACATAATCAGCAACTTATATACTAATTCGGTTTGTGTATGTTTTCTCAGCGAATGACACGATTAATTCAGACGATGTTACAACCCTACAGCCAATATCTCTGAGTGACTCTGATGAACACGAGGCCGAAAAACATCCTTCTCTAGAAGAAGCGTATGAAAAATTGGGAGAAAATCAACCTACAAGTCAAGATGCTCTAAACGACGAAGTTCAGCCAGCTGAAGCCGAGCAATCGACTAATAAAAATGAAGCGTCGAATAGCTCTGTCAACGAAAATCAAAGTAACGCAGATGAACAAGCTGGAATATCAGAGGTCAGCGCTACGACACAAAATAATGAGCAACCTTCATCCGAGACTGTAAGTCAAGACAATCCTGAAGTTGTTGCGTCAGATGAAAATACTAATGCTCAAGAAACAGGTACAACGAATTCCCCGACGGAAGAAAACCTTGTTAGTTCTACTCCACAACAAACTTCCGATGACAAAACCGATGTCAAAGTAACAGAAGAGAACACGAGTATCAAAAATCCTTCTGAACAAATAAACCAAGATGAAAATAAAACAACTAACCCAATAAGCAATGAAACGCCAGAGATCTCTCAAACTGAAAGTCCCATTACAACAAATCAAGACAGCAACACTTCGATAAGCGATGACAAAAATGAAAATGAAAACTCTGAAATCAACACAGAGTCCAATATTAAACAAGATACGCCCTTACAAAGCAATCAAGACAGTACTGAGCGTCCCGTTGAAGTAATTAATGCTCAAACAGATGTTCCTTCTGAAGTCGACCAATCAACTCTAAAACCAAGTGAACAAGATAACGCACAAATCTCTCAAAATGATAACAACATTGGTCAAAACAACCAGGATATTAGTCAAACACCTGAAGTAAATGTTGTTCAAACAGAAACTCCATCGATTGTGGCTAAACCTTCTAGCCAAATCAATCAAGATGAAACAGATAAAACCGTTTCTCAGACTGAAGTTCCAATTAGCATACAACAAGAACCGGTTAGTCAAATCAATCAAGATAGTACTGCCAGACCTCAAGAAGAAAATGTTTCTCAGACTGATGCTTCCACCAGTGTACAACAAGAACCAGTAAACCAGAGTAATCAAGATAGCACTCAAGGATCCCAAGAAGAAAACGTTTCTCAGACTGATGCTCCCACTAGTGTACAACAAGAACCAGTAAACCAGAGTAATCAAGATAGCACTCAAGGATCCCAAGAAGAAAACGCTCTGACGACCGAAAGTCCATCAAGCGTAGTAGGAGAATTACCGAGCCAAGATAATCAAAACGACTCGCAAAAACCACAAGAAGAAGGTTCTACTCCAACTGAGTTGCCCACAGTACATGAATCTCCAAGCGAAAACGACGAAGAAAAGCCCCAAGAAGTAAACGAAATACATACCGAAAGTCCAATTTCAGAAAACAAACCAATAGAACAAATCAATGAAGATAAGCCAGCAAGCGAAAGCGACCCACAAATTAACTCAGATTTAGAAAAGAAACCAGACAATCAAGAGGTCGTTCAAAATGAAAACGTTTTGGCTACAACAAATCCATTGGATACAAATAATGATGAGGTCGTAAACGCACCAACTCAACCCTCGGTTTCCCAAGAGGCAGTTGAAGCTCAAGTGTCGACAGAACAGCCTGCTGAGCAAGATCACATAATTATGGTTTCTCCAACTGCCCCACCGCTGTATGCGCATGACCAAATTAAAGATGACGTGCCGTTGCAAACACCTGCCATTGCCAATGAAAACAACAATCATGTAAAAGACACGTTAACAGAAGAAAATAAAACCGAAATCAGTCAAACACCACAAACGCCGTCTAGTGATGAAGCGTCTTCTCCGGGTATAATCGATACAGAAAATGTGCCAGCTGCAAATCCCGTTAACGTTGTACCGGAAAATGATAATAAATCGCCTAATGAAAATACAAGTGAAAATATCATCAGCAACAAAATAGATAGCTCAACTGAAACGAAACCTAATGAAAATGAAATCGTTAACGATGCGTCCATTAGTGCTACTGAAAGTCCAGTTGATTCCGGAGAACAAAAACCAGAAAATGATCAACCAGTTAACAATCGTTTCAGTGAAAGTCCTGTCAATAAAGTTAACTTGGAAGCCGTATCACCGTCTACAGAAGCAAATATTGAAGTCAAACCGGACTCGGAAACTGGAACACAAACTGTTCTCTTAGACAACTCATCTGAGCCCAGCATAACGCAACAGACTGAAGACAGTGCAACAGAACAGCCTAATTCCCTCGAAAATCACGATAGTTCCGAAACGCCTACTAATGCACCACCAAGTAGTGACGACATAAGCGAAGGTACTACACAATTACCTCAACAACAAATTGAGGATAATAATATTCCGAGTCAGTCAGTTAACCTTAGCCCCGACGAACCGACTAAAACACAAGATGAACCAGAGAAGTCTAGTGAACCCTCCGAAAGCCCGATTGACCTGACATCCGTGAACAATCAAGAAACTACTGAACCCCAGCATTCTGACAACGTTGAGAACGCTAAACCAACCTACGCGCCTGTCTCTGAAACCGGAGAAATTGAACAGATTATATCTACTGCAGCTCCCGAAATAAACGATAACGTCGCGCTTCAACCACAACAACCGCAAGACGAAGCCACCAACGCAATCGTAGAGGCAACTACTACTTTTGATGATCCGTCGTCGTCTGATGAAAACGATTTGAAAGTAGTGACAGAGTCGGCTCCGATTAACGAAGCAGATGTCTCGACTACTTCACCGGAACAAACAGCTGAAGACGAGAAACCAGTACCTAACACAAACGAAAATATACAAGTCGAAAACGATAGCACTCATAACCCGCAAACAGAACAAGTTAATCTTATAAGCTCTAGCAACAATGTTGATTCAGACAATTCAGCGTCCACAAATAAATACACTGAAGAAGTAGAATCTACAGTCAGCCCAGCTTTGAGTTCGTCAAGCAACGATGAGAATCTGAACAAGATTACACCGATCGCCACACCTGATAACAAACCTGAAAATGAAAATGCTGTCGAAGTTGCTACTGAAAATATCTTGGAAGACGCATCGACAAATACACCTATTGTAAATGCCAACGATTCTCCTGTCAATACCGATGCTGATGAAAACGTAGAAACTGGCACCAATGCTCCTTCAAGTCAAGAAAATCAGAATATTCAGTCATCGACATCCGAACCCGACTCGTACAATACACAAACGCCAGTTGTAAGTCAAGATTCTGGGCCTTCAAACGATGTAACTTCAGAAGTTATCTCTTCGATACCGGATACAAGTGCCCCTTCAACGGACAAAATTCAAAACGAAGTAGAATCGCACTCTTCGCCGTCAGCAACACAAGTACCTGAATCTGAATCGTACAACACACAACCACCAGCTATGAGCCAAGATTCAGGATCTTCTAACGATGTCACTTCTGAAGTAGTTTCGTCGATGACGGACACAAATGCTCCTTCGACGGAAAAAAATCAAAACGAGGTAGAATCGAACTCTTTGCCGTTGGCAACTCAAGCACCTGAACTCAATATCGACGTTGTTACTAATAGTCCCGTCGAGTCACCGAGCATTATTCCCACATCCGAGAACAATGAATATGAAGCTACTCCGACGACTGAAATTAACGGATCTCCCGACGATAAAATCGTAGAAGCCACTACAGTGGTGGATGATAACAGCCAAGGCGTACCGGGAGAAGGTAGTTGTTTAGTTGAATTCGTTACTTACGCTCATAAAGCTGAAGTGCCGAAATCAAATCCGTGCCATGAAAAATGTGAATGCTTAAACAGCATCGTTTCGTGTACGTCGATTAACTGCCCACCACCACCGCCTAATCATAGAAATTGTATACCTTTGCATCCAGGAAACGAATCGTGGTGTTGCCCGACTTATATGTGTGGTAAGCAATCTACAAAAAACATATTAAAATATAAACTAACAATTTTTGGTAATACCTTCTAAAAATAGTTTCGTTGTTTGTTCGTATAATAATATTGTTGTTTTTTTTTTTATATATATAGACGGAGGAATAGACCAAGGATTGATTTTCGAAAGCCATAACCAAGTACGCCCAGATGAAGTATCGACAGAATTACCGGGGAGTAAACCAACCGAAGGTAACGATATAAATGCAAGCGGGATCGAACAAGAGCCGAATACAGCTAGTCCTGAAGTACCGTCTGAATATAATACATTAGCGCCGACCCTAACGGATACGGGCGCTAACTTGGATAATCCTAATATTTCTGAAGGACCGAGCCAACCCGAAACTAACAAAGTGTCGGAGAATTTCGTCACTCCCGAAAAAGAGAGTCTAGCCCCAGTGACAGCCATTTATTCCGAGCCCTCAGAAAACGAAAACCCGACAGAAAATTCACCAGCATCCGGAGGTGTAACATCAGTGTCGTACGAAAACGACGTGTCAACCACTTCCGTAAATAAGGCTGATGATGCGGCAAACCAAAATCCGTCGATAAGTCCGGTGAGTGAATCTCAAGACGTACCCGCCCAACCAACCGAATCCCAAAATTTAGAGTCGAGTACGACTAAGGTAGAACCGGCAAATGATCAAAGTCAACCTGAACAACAAACTCCAGAATTGGTTGACACTCCAGTCGATACAACGAACAAACCTGACGGCTTGCCTGCTACCGAACAAAGTAGTGACAATAACGCTAACGATGATATTATAAAAACACCTGCCAATGAAGAGTCTGACGTTAAACAAACTGAAAATTCAACAGAACAACCAATAATCAGCCAAAATCCATCCGAGTACACACAATCTGCCAATGGACAAGCTGACTCAAGTCCAACTCAACTGCCGATCGAAACCATTCCGAACGACACTAGGCCACCCTCGACTATCGATGACATCCTTTCTTCTGTCAACTTAGTCAAGGGCGTATTAAATTCACTGGAAACGTCATCGAAACCATCTGAAATCTATTATCAACCAACCGAAGCGGTACAAGTTAATTATGAAACTACGGTTACTGTTGAAGGATCTTCTTTCAGTCCGTCTTCCTCAGACGATACATCTCAAATTACCTCTGAACAAACCTCTTCCAGTCCGTCTTCTCCAGATGATATACCACAAATAACCACTGAACAAGTTTCATTTAGTCCGTCTTCTTCAGACGAACCTAACAAACCTCAAAACACAGCTGAAGAAGTTTCTTCTAGTTCGTCTTCCTCGGACGATATACCTCAAATTACCACAGAACAAGCTTCATTAAGTCCGTCTTCTTCAGACGAACCTAACAAACCTCAAAGCACAGCTGAAGAAGTTTCTTCTAGTTCGTCTTCCTCGGACGATATACCTCAAATTACCACAGAACAAGCTTCATTAAGTCCGTCTTCTTCAGACGAACCTAACAAACCTCAAAGCACAGCTGAAGAAGTTTCTTCTAGTTCGTCTTCCTTGGACGATACACCCCAAATTACCACAGAACAAGCTTCATTTAGTCCGTCTTCTTCAGACGAACCTAACAAACCTCAAAGCACAGCTGAAGAAGTTTCTTCTAGTTCGTCTTCCTTGGACGATACACCCCAAATTACCACAGAACAAGCTTCATTTAGTCCGTCTTCTTCAGACGAACCTAACAAACCTCAAAGCACAGCTGAAGAAGCTTCTTCCAGTCCATCTTCCTCGGAAGATACATCTCAAGTTACCTCTGAACAAGAATCTATCAGTCCGCCTTCGCCAGATGAAACAAATAAACTCCAAATCGCTGTTGAAGGTCCTTCTAGTCCGTCTTCTTCGGACGATTTACCCCAAATTACCACTGAACAAGCTTCTTTCATTCCATCGTCATCGGAAGAACAAAACAAACCCGAAATCCATGCTGAAGGTCCTTCTAGTCCGTCTTCTTCAGACGATTTACCCCAAATTACCACTGAACAAGCATCTTTCATTCCATCTTCATCAGAAGAACAAAACAAACCCGAAATCCCTGCTGAAGGTCCTTCCAGTCCGTCTTCCTCTGGTGATATACCCCAAACTACCGCCGGCAAACCGGAAAGTCTCGAAGAACCTAATCAATCGCAACCGATTGTCGAGGTGAATGCAGTCACTAATGCACCTGAATTAGCTACCGTTAAGGCACCCGAGTCCACTACTCAAAATTCCCCAGCACCAATTCAATTAGAAGTTTCTACCGACGCGGCTGTTAACAAACCAGAGGAAAATCAAAATTCTGCGGTTCCTGTACCCGAAGTAAATGCTAATCCACCCGAATCTGTGGCGGACAAAGATCCTGAAGAATCGTCACCTACAGCCACCAATGCGCCCTCAAGCCAGTACACTACCGCCGAAAAGACTGAAGGAGTCGATAACAGATTCAGCTCTCCGACTTCGTCTCAGCGGCCTACCCAAGAGGAAATCAAAATTCCCCAAGAGTCCGGTAACAAAGTACAAATACCTTTCGGCACAGACGCCCCGGAATCGTATAGACCGCCCAGCACCCCCGTGTACACCCACAGGCCTTCTTTCTCTTCTATCCCACAATCGTCATGGACGCAAAAACCTTTCCATCCAGATAGCACGTCCGAATCACCACAACCTGACCAAGGGTTCCCCGATGAGTACGAAGACGAAAACGAAGCTGTATTCGGACCAGGCACTTGCAGGTAAGACGTCCTATATCACTAAACATAGTAAAACACTGAATTCTCAATTGTGCAATAAGTGCTAAGTGAGAGCTGTTGTTTTGATTTTTGGTGTGACATGTGTTAGTATGATAGTAAACATTAAATGCGTTAAACGGAAATCTTCTCAATGAAAAGGTTTGTGACTTAAGTGAATAAAAAGTGCTCTAGCAAAACAAAATAAAAACTAGATTTCCTTGATACCTACTTGTATTTTAAATAGTTGTTGGCACATCTACGTCCATCGCAGTTCTTTTCAACTCGGTTGCCTCACTCGTATTTATTCTATAGTAGCTTTTAACAAGCAGAAGATAGTCTTGCTAGGATTGAGGGTTGAAATAGGGTTGTCACTTTGTTTTCTGGATGTAAAAATCATGTTCAACATTTTAAGGCTAACACGCTAATATTGACCGATCGTGTGATTACAGATACGGCGGCAAAATCTACGTGTCAGCCCAACAAGTGCCCAGAGACGACCCGTGCGATTTTTGTTTCTGTTTCCGAGGCGACATCATTTGTCTGCAACAGAGCTGTCCGCCACCCATTTTCGGTTGCTTCCAAGACACAATTCAGGGCTTCTGCTGTCCCAGATATGAGTGCCCAGTAGCGCAGGCCACGCAAGTTAACGTGACCACCACCACGACAACGACGACCACGACGGTACCTCCACACTTCTTCGCCAACGCCTACCGAGGAGCCGCCCGGAGATCCGGATGTCTTATACACGGGCACGCGTACAAGGTGGGCGAAGACGTTGGCATCGCTTCCGGACCGTGTATGCAATGCATGTGAGTATGACACAATCATAGTTTCAACTAATGAAACATCCATCGGTAACATGATTCCAGATGAACCCGTTTATTATCCATCAGTTATCCCTGCATGTACGAGTCCGCTTTCGTTGAGAGTTGAGTGTAATAACATTCCATTTCTTTTACAGATGCGGGGACGACGGTAAAATGCAATGCAACCCCAAAGCCTGCAGCCCCGAACCTGTACTGAGGAAAATGTTAGCCGAGGCGGTCGACAGGAGGAGATAAACGATTCGGATTCGACGACAACAAGTGCCAAAAACCACAGTTTCTTAAGCGACAATATGAACGAGCAACAATGAACCAAACCTAGACCGTCAATTATTGTTTAATTACATTTTTATTATTATTATTATTATTATTATTATTAATGATAACCACAACGCGCAATGTCGACTTTTGGGGACATAACGTTGCTCAATACAATAATATTATATGATTATTACTTTTATACCATCCCCGCAAGAAAAGACAAACATGGTATGCCATCGTGAAAACATTGGAGACTGGTTCTAATGAATATTATATTATTTATTACTTTTAGTTTATTTAAAAAATAGGTTAATTATTTATTATCGTACGAATGATACGATTTAATAAGAAACGTTATTTGTACGCTTTTATTATTATTTTTGAGCGATCTACTTAATTTTGACCGTCAAATAATTATAATAGTGTCGATAGTAGTAGAAACAAATCAAATGCGTAGGTAGTCGGAATAGCAGCACACCAGTTGCGCTGACCATAATATTTTCATGTAGTGTTTTTTCTTCTCCAAATTGCTATAAAAAAAACTCAACTTTCATTTTCGACAGAATATTTTTACCGCTTTCATAATAATAATATTATATATACTCTGTACATATTGCTGCCATTTACGTTTATATTTAAGACGAAAATATTTTTTAACAAATCTTATTGCTTTTTTTTTTTACCTACCAACAGTTTCGTTTAAATCAAGCCCAATCCAATGCTCATGGGCTCCATGACAATTTTATTATATTTACCGAATTTTATCTGAGTCGTTTAACAGGCAGAAGTGAACATTTGAAAAAAAAAACAAATACAATATTTCACAATAAATTTGCTCTCTTTATTTAATTTGTTGCCTTGAAAAATTCTTCTGCCTCTCGAACACCCAGATAAATTTTGCGCGGAAGACATGTATATAGTATTTGTTCATAAGTTTAGCGTTATTACAATATAATTTTATTATTATAATAAGACAATTTATACATATATATATGATTAAGTCAAACGATTTGCTACTTAAAAAATAAATTTATAGTTATTACATTTTTTTTTTTTTAGAAATCATGTTTAGACGATAAAAATTATTACTACTGTTTAAATAAAAACACAAAAAAAAAATTGTACTTTTTTACAAACTATATAATATTGTGTTTTATTGTGAATAATTTTTCTACTGACGTTTTGTGATACACAATTATAACATTAATAATTGCCTATTATATGTTTATATTTTTTTTTTAATTTAAATAAAATATAATAATTTTGATCTGGTTCACAAGAAATTATTATGGTCCCAAAACGACGTTTGAATAGTTCAAAACACCAAAATGTTTGTTACACAGGCTCCGTTTTAGGTACTCGGTCCATAGTATTTTAGATTTAAAACGTTTTTTACCAAAATTTGATTTGGTTACGTTAGGTCTATATATACTTACTAAAATAGTACATTTATAGAACTTTAAAATGTATTTGAAATACATTTATAAAAATGAATTTGATACAAGTCGAAACTACTTAAATAGTGATTTTAATACTTATACTCAAATACTTTACAGCTGCCTAATATGCATATTTTTTGTCAAAAATATTTAAAAACAATTAAATAAAATCCATATTGTTCTAATAATATACTTAGTACCTAAATATATTTTAATATTTGGTATAATTTTGTATGTTGGCACATTTTGCCTTACAATATAATGTTATATTTTAATTTTCCATATTTTCACATTTACACGAGTTTTAAATATTTCATCAACTATATTATATTATAACAAAACAAAAAAGTACTCTGTAAATTGTAATCACTATTGGATAAACAAATTATGGTAATTTACTTTTACTATATTGACACTATTTATTCAGACCGATTAAAATATCAACCGTTTTTTTTTATAAGTATTACTGTTAATCATTTTACATATTAAACACAAAAATATTATTTCATATTTTTAAAGGCAAGAGTAAAATTGTGTAGCGTAACTGAATGTTTTTTACGTTATTGTCTTTATAACCACACGTAATTAATTTATTTTGAAAATAACCATTCATAATAATATACTATGGAGCGCCTATACACCAAGATAATCTATTTAAAAACCCTCATGTTGATAAAACAAGTTTGGTAAAATATACTATGTATCATACACGCGCAAAAATGAACATATCTTATTTACTATGATTATTTAAAATTTGGTTATCTTGTCAATCCATTATACATTAAGATATATTATAATCTAGGCTTTTTTTTTATTCTTAATAATCAAATGAATACAAGTACAAAACCACTAGTAAATGGAAATAAAAAAAAAAAATCTAAAAATAATAATAAAAACAAATAAAGAGGGGGGGGGGGAAGAAGCTAAGTTTGGAATAAAATACGTCTAAAACAATTATTATAACAAAACATTTACAATTCAATGGATTGTTATTAACTAAGAAGATCTCTTTTCGTTTTCACCAAACATTTACTGACTAAAATACCAAATAGCGCAATCATGGCTATGCCGATGCCAGTTTTCCATACAACGGAATCGCGTAAATTTGGCAACAGCCTATACTGATGTGGATTGTATTTGTGTCTAAAAAAAAATTAAGAGAAAATATACATTTAATAAGATTTTCACTGGGACTTTGTATCGTTCTCCATGCCACTTACGGTAGAGAAGCCATTGTGGCCAAATTAGAGTACAGTCTTTTGCCTTCACTCGATTCTGTAAATGCAGAAGGCGTCGATAATTTGTTCTGTTTGCAAAATTGATCTGGTTGCAAAATATAATCCTGTTTCACGATCGGTCTACCTTTATCGTTGGACACTATGAGTACAGGGATGTTTCTGTTTTGATAGTATTTCTAAAGAAAAAAAAAAATTAAACATTTATTTTAACTAACCAGCTGCAAAGGTATACTATATGTATAACGTAAGCGCACTTACCAGGTAAACGTGGGCAACATATTCGAAAGAACAGCTTTGCGACGAATTAAACACCAAACAGGCAACATCGCATTTAACGTCCTCCTTAGTCAGATGGCTTTCGCTTGAAGGCTTGATTTCTTTCATCACTAAATATTTATCATGACCGTATACTTGAACTCGATTCACAGAAGTTATATCTGGAAGATCACCGTCTTCATTTTTGCTCTGCAATAACAAAAAAATTTAGAATTGTAATTTTTAAAACTCAAAAATAAACTAGTTTTGCTCACTATCATGTCGTTTGCAAGAGAGCCTTTAACGTGCCGTTTACATAACATTGTTTTGCCACTTCCTTTGCTTCCGATCACGTGGCAAATGTAAACAGACCTTTGAGATTGTTTCTTTTGCAAATCGATTTTCTTGCTTCTGGTCACTGGAAAAACAATAGTTTCAAAATTAGTCTTATGGAAATCAAATCTTTTTGTAAATAAGTAATGCACGTCTCACCTTGTACTCCGGAAAGTTGGTTCTCCAATTTCATACTATAGCCTAGCATAGCCAAGTATGCCATCGTGGTGTCGGCCTCGACTAGAGTGCAATAAGACCAGAACGACAACCATCCTTGTGATGTAATCCATCCCTGATTGTTTATACAATAGATATACAATTTTAGTTGAAATAATCAAACTGTAAATGTTTGGTAAACCTTTTTGAATTACTTTCTGATTAGTGTTGTAGAGACACTTGCCCAACAAATGTGGTTCATCAATACAAATAGAAAACAATGATTTCAACTCTACTGGGCTCAAACAATCGTCCTTGTCCTTGTCGTGCGTCTCAAACAAATGTGACAAATATTGTTCACCTTTGTGCGATAATTCAACGGTACAATATTTATCAACTTTTAGCCTAAACGAAATATATTATATATTATTGACGAGTTTTCAAGTTACGGATACAACAACTGGTATACACTTACGTTGGATGTAAATAGCTATAGGTAAAATCTAGATTATCGTTATAGCCAAACTTTCTAATCACTGTCCAAGTAGTCTGGGCTTTCCCTTTGAGGATAAACAGCATATGTAGGAACAAGAAACCTTTACAAAAAAATAAAACACAAAATTTCATTTAAAATGTCAAACATAACAATTATAATCTTATTTGGCTAAACGTGTAAGAAAATTGTACCATCTAATGTAACACAATTTGATGGCGAAATTCCATGTTCACAGTTCATATTTATTATGGTCTTGATACCGTTTAACTGCTGTACGGGCAAATGACAGTCGAAACAATGTCGTTGGAAATTATTTAATTCATCATCGTTGAGCAGACCATCATTGTCTATATCACATATCTGTAAGAAGTAAGCAATAAAACGTAATTAGTAAAAATATACAAACAAATTTGAATTCTACAATTACCTTGAATATTCTACAAAGAGCTTTCTGACATTTCTCGGTAAGCTAAAACAAAAAATAATCCCTAAATGTATAATTTTTAAACATGATTTTTCACCCTAAAAGTACATCTAAGGTTTGTACCTATATTTAAATTAATTAGCATAACAAGATATCGCTTATATAGTTTTATTTTTGTACAATTAGCCAATACTTTATTTTACTTTTAACTTTATAGCATATTACCCACTAGTATCTATACCCAAATAATTTTAAGACAAAACGTTTAAACATTTAATAATACCAAGATACAGACTAAAATTAGTATACTGGATCTTATACAATATATTGTTTGATGATAACAAAAATAACTGATATCATTTACAAGTAGAACTCTTTAGAACAATATTCTAATAACTTACAATTTTTTCTTCGACACAATATAACGGTGCGGTAGGATGTAGAATTGCTGTTTGTGCGTAACAAAACATTTCACTAATATTCATCAACAATTTAGCTGAACACTATATTTGTCGAAAAAAAAAAAATTTTATAACATTTTTATTAGAAAATCAATTTTAAAGATTAATTTCTTACTAAAGAAAATATAAATAAAATACCTGAACGTATGTTTCTATTTCTGGATATTCATATAATACTTCTTCGATAACCTGAAAGGTTTTTTTTTTAATTAATTAATCTCGGTCCAAGGATTAACGACAATGAAATGGTAATTTCACCACTGTATAACTTACGTGCATCGAGATATTATTGATGAGATCACTTTTATTGCCAACTAATATGACAGGATGCAACATTTCACTGTCTACTTGACATTCTCTCAATAACGGCATCCATTTGCTTCTAATGTTCTCTCGACTGACATCGTCGATAACTGAAAAAACCAAGCAAATAACATCTGCATGACGAACTTGCTCAGCTAAATCTTCATTGTCTTGTTCATTTTCTAAAATTGATAACAATAATTTGAACGATTATTAAAAGAAAAATCTACAACACTTCCAGTATATCTATTAATGTAATACCATTATAGTCAATAATGTCAGTTGGCACCAGTTCTGGGGTGACTTCGGCCGGAATCGTAATGGTTTCCGCACGTTCTGGTACTTCGTCTAAAAATTCTTCATTTACAAGAGACAAAATAATGGAAGTCTTACCAACATCTTGATCGCCTACCAATAAGATGCGTACTGACCGTCCACAATGCTTTGGTCCCATCTCAGAAGCCATTTTACTAGAAAACGATATTGCAGTATTGAAAGGTCGATAAAATATTCATAAGAATTTTTCGTAACACTTAGTACTTACTTGGATGATTAGAACATCTTATTTACAATCGATAATAAAATGTATTCATTCAAACGGAATAATAATAATACTTAATCAACTAAACTATAATGGAAGAAGCCAGTAGGTATGTAAGTTTTTAAATAAAATTTCAATAATAAATTTGTAGTAGGTAGATATTAGGTGTATTATTATGCTAAATTTTTTTTTTCAATCGACCATCTCCCAAGTTCCAGCCTTGTTATCAGTAATAAGATAAAACAATATGGAAATCATTTTGATAACGGACTAGGTACGATAATGTTTAATGTCGAGACTCGAGAAGAAATCCCAATACTTAAAATCAGTGTGGCCATATACAACTGTCAACAATATTTTATTTACTGTAGTGCAATATTTTCTTCATACAAAACGATTATTCTAATTTTTATTAGTATACACTTTATATAGATCAGTATAATTTTTTAAACACTTGAAGAAAAAGAGAGAATTCTTCGTTCTCCCTAACCTGCTCATTCTTGTGGCAGGCACCGATGGCTAAACTATTTGTATTTGTTGGCCAAACTCCATTAGGCACCTTAATCAGAGTTCACAAATTACAGCAAGAGGATCGAAGACAACATTTGTCGAACTCTGTAAAACTAAAAACAATAGTTTTACGTGCTAAATTATACTTTGTACCGTATAAAAGTATTTAAGTATTGAAAAAAAAATGTGATTAGGAATAATGTTCACCTTATTAGTGGCCGTGTGGGGTCCTCTTTTTTACCCTAATATAATAATTAATAACCATCATCTCCCTGACCCCTTTGTCGGACATCGCAGCTTGAAACTTCTGATAACTCGCATTTACATATGTCATCTTCGCTTTCACCAAAATCGTTTTTGACACTATAAGTGCATTTCGACTTATTTACTTGCTCAAGTTTCGTTACCTTTTATTGTGTTTAATAATCTATTTAGTTTTTAATATTATAACGATATATGAAAATTCAATGAAAGTAACTCGTACCTTTGCAAGTTCGCATAAAGCCCTCGTGTTGATTATTAACGAGTACAACAGAAACAAGTAATTTATTATAGCCAGCAAGAAAGACAGTGCACTGACCGTTGTCGGCTTTGGGTCGTCGCATTTCCAAAATAGCAGACAGCAAATTATACTTTCTTGTGAATACATAACGCCGAGAAAGTAAGTATTTCACAATCAGCGTCTTTAGCTAGGGATTGTTTATCGTTGCCACAACTACAGATACCTACATAGAGATACCTAGTAACTATTTGAGTATTGCTTAAATCATCCCAATCGTCAAACATCACTATATGCTTAACAGTTAACACGCAATTTTATTAATACGAGAACGGTGTAATAATAACAACCACTAGTCAATAAGCAGTTTTTAATTACAGTATTCAAATTTTTCATTACATTGTGGTGTGTGGTAAGTTACATGTGGCGGGTATATAAATATTATACTTATGCTCCACGTCTCTTCCTGCCTAAACTCTGGCAAAACGTGTACTAATAGAATAATTTAGTATGCAGAATGTCGTTTGCATATAATATAAATAGTTAATAACTGCAGTAGGATAATTTTTTTAAAAATTATTGAAAAATAAATTGAACAACTTTTTCAAAAAGTCTTGAAAAAGAGAAAATTAATAGAATATATTTATTTTTAGAAAGAGAATTGGGTACATCGCAGTTAGCCCATCATTATAGGTATTTTTGTTATTTCGAATTAATGCAAACACAAAAATACAATTTATTAAATTCCACAAAATGTATTTAAAAATCTTAAGTCAAATATAATTAACTCCAGTGGTGCTACAAATAATTTAAACTTATTTATAATTTATAATACACTTATTATTAGTTTTGTGTAGTAAGAAAATTTAAATTATAATTTAACTAAATAGTTTAACGGACACTAGTCAACAAATTGCAGAACTAGTTGTCAAGTATAGCATAAATTTGTTTGTTTTATGGTAAATCCGTAAATGTAAATGATGTCACCGGACGAGAAGCTGTTTATTTTATTCTTTTAGCTCATTTGGTTTTTGAAGTTCTCTTAAGGTTATTTACCTTAACATTGTGCATTCTCAAGAAAAAATAATAAATAATTTCCAAAAAGCTCAAAATACTAGCTCCGACGAATAAGGCAACTGATCCTCCTAATGAAACTAAAATAAACAAATATAAATTTGATTAAGTGACAATCAATAGTTCAAACACAAAGAAAGTGTAATAAATAATATATTATTTACAGGTAATAATTAAAAATGTTTTTCAATTAAAGTGCAACACTAATGACAAGCTCAAACGTATATTAATTGGTTTTAATATAGTTTTCGAAATGGAAATATAATATTTGGGATCTAACGAGAAAGATGATATGCAACACAAAAATGAAATAAGTAGAAATAAAAAGATGTTATATTTCTAAATTCTATCAAATTAAAGGTCGAAAATCCTTGATTTTGACAAACCATGACTTTCTATTACCACTTACCAGTCATTTATGTAATATGGAAATGAAGTAAATTTGCAACTTATAAGAATGTGCTGTTGGTATTTAAAGAAAAAATACTTAGGGGGTATTCGGACTATGTAATGACGAGGAAGCGGGTGACTGAAGAATAAGGTAATATCATAATTTACTTATTAATTACTCATTAAGCCTAACCGATTAGGCTCGTTACAAAGGTAAAATAAAGAAGTCAAACAACTGTAATTAAGACCGAAAATATCGTAGAAGAAATAACAAAGAAAATGTTGACATAAACTGGGCATGCATGGCGCAGGGTAGCATTATTTGTAGTATTGGTGCAAGAAGGCGCACCTTAAGGGAATAGGCCGGTTACACTTACCCAGTATATCAAGTCTGCCCCTGATAACATTGCGTTTGAGGCGCTCTTGGGGCAATTGGTCTAACATTAGTTGTATGATCGATTGGTTATCAGAAATGCTGTACAAGATAAATCAAAGCAGAAACATTAATGATACCGTTTGAATAAAAATACATCGACAGCATTTAAACGTTTAAGCTAATGAATCGCTTAATAGACCAACTACTTACGTAAAAGTTTCCACTGTGATCACGTCCACCTCAGATTCAATGCACGAGGGCACACATCGGCATTCCAACCCAAGTCGCAAACTGTTCTTTTTCTTAAGTACCGATAGTTCTGCGTAGTACTGATTTAGACACATTAGACCTTTAATGTCACAGTGTTCAGATTCCTCTACGCACAGTAGGCAACATCATTTAATATTTGCATACATAGTTTAAATACGGTATGGTAATAAACATATCCGGGTTTACTATAGGGACTGAGAGACATCAGTGGTTTATGAGTTTATTTAATTCAATTTTCTTTCTCCTCGCCTCTTCTTCAGTTATTTGGGGTCGGATACCCTTGGTATAGTCTTTAACCTCAATTCTACACGATCTGTCTTTCAGACACAAATTGGCTGACATCACTTTCAATTACGCCCAACCATATTTTTTTTACTATACCTCTCTTTGATCTTTCTCTCTGTATCAATTTCCATTACGGTCTCTACTTCATCTCTATAATCTCTCTTGCTTAAACCATCTTAATTTATTCTTTCTCGTCTTCTCTACGATAGACACCACATTATAATCTTTCTCACACCAACCATAAAACATGGTCGCCTTCACAACGGTTTTAAATAACATTCTATTAATTACCTAATTGGTATTCTAACTAGTTTCTTGATTGGTATACTTTTACCACGCAAAACTTTAGGCGCTTCCCTTCGTTTTTAATTTTCAATATCATCAAAGGCACCACGACCAATTGTTTCAATTAATAATATATTTACATTGATGAAAAGACATACTACTGTTGGGCATCAGGTGAGATGTGCAGTTGCACATTTCCATTTGCTTCTCGCGGCGACAATGCACTATGCAAGAACTGTAACTGTAAGTCGAACTGACGCTCAGATAATTCTCCCAAGGAAATCTACACCTATAATATGATTATACAATGGTTTTTACTTTTTTTAATCTGGGTTTTCTGCATTTTTGTCGGTATGGACTATTTCGGAGAAGTTATATGTTATATAAATGCATATTCAAATTTCAACATCTTTATCAATATTATCAATAGCGTTTACCTGCGCTGATTGATGCTCACGAATGCGACTTCGTCTTCGTTGGCTATGTCCTTTATGGTGATCTTGTATTGTTTGTAAATTCCCGGCACCGCATGCAATATTTCCGTTGTGATAGTGTTGTAATACGGTACGTCCACCACCGAATGTATATAGATCTAATAACAATCCGAGAAGAAGACAGGAGCCAAGACTAGCTGCTACCACTGACCATGAATACAGTTTCTAGATTCTGTACCTTATTCGAATTGAAAGATTTCTGATTCTAATCCAAGTTCTTTAGTAATTGTTTTTATTTGTTTAGCTATCTTTCATTCAATTTACGATATTCATGGCCAGTATCAAAACTGTTAACATTTTACTGTTGGTTAGGTGATTTAATAATTGCAGCATAAATCAACTTACTTAACCCATAATTATTGTTTTAGTTAACATGCGGATTGAGGTGACATATGTGTTAAAAACCAGTTCATTAATTTTATTCAGCGGACTATTATACTACCAATATACCGTCTATCTAAGGAATTTAGTACTACCTGACTAGCTGAAGATAACTTAACCATGAGATCGCTCGGTCCAGTCTGACGGTTTGAATACATGTTAATATAATCATCAGAGTCTGGTCTAATGAAACAAATGGATTTTATTATGAACAGAATCACAAAAAAAACATACGAAAATGATTTTATCTTTACTAACGATTCGTTGGCCATGGTTAATGTGTAGCAGATTCCAAGTTCCGTTTCGGTTTTAACAAAATGTTTACAACAGTTGAAATTTCGAACCCCGTTCCAAGTACAGTTAAGAAGTACCTCTTCGCAAGTGCTCCTCATCTATAACCATATCGTGCGTTATAAAATATGTATTGTTATACACTTAAAAAGGTGTATTTTATAAAAGCAATAGGGGTTTATAGTATTGAATATTGTTTAGTTGTAGTAAATTTTATAAATGTCATAAATAACAATTATTACAACTATTAACAAATAAAACTTATATATTTAATTAATAGTCAGATACAAACACAAGTCTTTGAAAAGCTATATCAACCGTAAATTATGTCATGTACAGGAACTCACTGACGTTGCTATATCTCTTAAGTTAGCGGAAGGACAGACATACTGTCCAGTTAAGCAAAACTCCTTGATGTAATAACACATTCCTTTGAAGTATGCTATTTCCCTGACGATCTCGTCCAGATTGTAATCTCTTCGATCGCCGTAGATCCTACGTTGTGGTAAACATTAAGCAGCAACATTATTATTAACCGTGCGGTTAGTAGTCTTAACCGATCGCTATTATTTGTTGGGCTTACTTAGTAGCCAGTTTTTGTACGTTGTTGTTGTTGTCCGTTTCACACACGCTGATTGCTGGAAAGCTAGTTTGAAACTCCAAAGCGGTCGTTTCCACGACAAAACTGATGGCGTTCGTTTGAAACGCCTCCCAGGAGTTCATCATGAGCCTATAGGAACCGTACCAACTCAAAGCGCAAAACACAAACCAAAAAAATCTAAATAAAAAAAAAAAAAACAAGTACTTTATGCAAAATAAGTATAATTTTCCTTATGACAAATGTTGTCATTTCGAGTTTGGATGCGAAGCTGAGAAGGTATTGTCATGATTACAATAATGTGTTTTTTTGTGTATGTTTGTACCGACGATAACTTTTTAACTATCGGGCCACCGATTTCTTCACAAAGCTCATAAATCAGTAAATAAATAAAATTATTAAATATTTAAAAAAACGCTTAACCGCAAATAGTAATACACTTTGGCGTATACGGGGATTTCGATGGCAATGTTACCATCATCAGCGACCATAACAGACTAATAAATATTTCATTAGTTTATTTCCTCAAAAGTTACTACCGATATACAATTTGAAAAACCAAGAAACTATCAAAAATACTTCACCCGCGGGGGATTGTAACTTTTTCTTTACTTCACTTCCTTAGCATGTTTTTAGGGCTGTAGTCAAACTTTTGAACCCAAAATTCAAACAACACATCCATTGCTATAAAATTAATTATATTCATATTTAATAGTTTTTTACTAACTACAGTTTTGCATCGAAGTGTTTATTCGACAATGATTTTATCACTTTCAGTAATATTATTTCTAAAAAAAACTTGTGGCTTCAGTCTTCACCGACTCCACTATGCTAACTTTTTTTATAATCTTCAACGTAAGGTTTTTATTTGGTAATAAACAAACCCAAATTACTAAATAATATTAATTTTTTTAACAATCCTTAATATTTAAACCAATACCTTCTTAATTTAAAATCAAATCTTTTTTATTATTCAAAATATTTACTTCAAACAAACAAACAATTTATTTGAAATACGAAATTTCCAGTACAAAAATATGATCTAATTAAACTACAAAAATAGCTCAAATACTTTATTTGAAATTTGCTTATCCCAGTCTTGAGGTTCTCCGCCAGTTTGTGAACTGAGGAGAAGGCACGTTGTTATTAACGTAGCGCCAGTGCAAGAAATGATCCTAGACTTATGGCCTAACCCATTCTCTAGTAGAGCGACATTAAAAAAAAAAAAAATTAAGTACCTAATAAATTCACTTATATAGCCGAGAGAATTTTTTCTCGTCTCATTTACAAAATCCCGCAAATCCCATTGAAACCGTAGTTATATATTTAGCACTAGATACACTGTACAAAAATTATTTGAATCTGTATCCTTTCTGATACCTTTCGGTCCAATGGCGACTCGTGTCGCTGATGTAATGAAGTCCGTGTATTGTAGACTGATCAGCGAATTCCTTAATGACTTCTTTTGCTTTCATTGCGGCTACGATTCTCTGGGCTCGTTTGTCTACAGTAATGTATCCGCACCAGTGAAGTGGTTGCAAAGTGGTATATTTGTATTTATATTTAGTTGTATAAATTATATAGGTACAGCAGGGCTACACGACACACCCTGGATACCATAAAATATTCATAGCTTACCGTAACGTAATGGCAGTAATTTTTACATAAACCGCTAAAAACGACACGCTAAAAAAAATATCTACGGTTTTGATTTTTAGAGATTAACATATTGATAATAATATAATATATTATTTAGAATCTAGTATATTCCTAGTATTCAAAACGATCAGATACAAACAGTGCCACTCGAGTTATGAACAACGGGTTGATTATATATTTGAATGATTAAATAATGGTTTTGTTTTTTTTAATTGGAACGGTTTATCTAACTGAAAAATAGAACAATCCTATCCAACATGAGAACATGCATTTTGTTTTTTTGCACAAAAATGTGCCTAACGTTTTTTTATATAATTTTTTTCACCTAAATAAAAAAAATCAGTTTTTATATAATTTTACCTTCTAAACAATATTAAATAACCGACCTAGATAGGTCGTAAAAAAAATGGTATTAAAAGCTAGTAAGATAAAATGTGTTGCTCATATAATGCCATACGAAATATATATATATATGTTTTAAAACCATCATGGACCGAATAAAACGCATTCTTTGTAGCTTTGTTTTAGGATGGGAACGCTGTGATTTTGTGATAAAATAAAACCAACAATGAAACATTATGACTACCAACACGGCAATTATTAGGAAACATTAATATTGATTTATATTTAAATGATATTTAAAATATAAAAAAACATATTTTATTAATATTATTTTAAACATATTAAAAAAATATTGTTATAGTGTTGTAAATTAAAATTTTTATATTATTGTGAATCACATATTTTAAAAATGTGTTAACTGCATTATGATATTAAGTACTAGTACGATTACTTACTCGAATTATATACATATATATATATATATATATATATATATACATAAATTTGTATATATACATAATATATAATACGAGTTCAAATTATAACCTATTTTTGCAATTATTGTAATACTATAGAGCGACTTTTGATGAACAGTAACTACAAACTAAAGTTAACAATGAATTCTCAGGAAGTTCCAAGCTAAATTTATTCCTATCGTCGAAAGTATAGTTTATTTAGCGTTATATGTATAGTTATAGTACATTTTATACGTTCTAATAAAGTTTTTTGTTTTGTTCATTAAATTGAATTTATTTGCCTAGCTTATTAATGTGTGGCAGATACCTTACCGTCTTTCCAACTGAAACCCTTGTACTCTAATGATAAGTAGTAATATTAATATCAATTTTTATGTTGGAAAATCTTCTGACAACATTATTGTACAATCATTGTGAAAATACGAGCAAATAATATTGTAGTAATATTTCATTTCGCGCCTAAACACTTTCAGAAAAATATACAATATTCAAATATAATATTACAGCAACTAAAATATTGTCCAACAACATATTTCTGAAAGGTGTTTACAATACTTAATTGCTGTCTGGGTAGACCAATAAATATAGGTACATAATTGTTTTAACTTTAAATTATCAAAACATTTTGGAAAAATAACAATATCGGCTCCTTATATGTATCTATTTTTTAATGGAATAATATGTCTAGCAAAATAATTAATAACTTTGTTTGTAAGGGGAAAAAAAGTAACACATTTTATTATAAATACATTTGATTAATTTGGTGTACAAGTCACATTAAAATTATTTTAATAATTAATCTCGTAAAAAACACACGATGGAACATCATAAATTGTATCCATTAATATTGCATTAATAATTCAATATAATGTTGACAAATAATTAAATAAATAAAGTTACATAAATATGGCACAATAAGGAATGAAATTTTTTTATATTTATAGGATAATTATACCATGGTCTCTTTGTAATTTTCTTTTGGCCGTGGTCGAAATAACACCCATTATGTCAGACGGTGTGGGTAAACCACACACGGTGCTACCGCTTTGTTGATAGAACAGCTCACGACTGCCACATTTATTGCCGTACACAACATTGTCATCATCTCTGTAAGCCAGTTTATTTAGTAAATTGTTTGTTAAGGCAGCATAAATATATTAAAGACTAAATAGTGGTTACCTGATGATAATATCTAAAACGGATGGATTTTTTTGGAAGTTATCGTGAATGGTTGTGGCCAAATGTGTTTGAGTAGGAAACCAGTTGCCGTGTTTTTCAACTAATCCAGCGTCTGTTGTATCCATAACCATATATCCATACGTTTCATCCGGACATTGTAAGCTGTACGCGTCCGGAACATTTGTAGTGGTGTTATTTAGTGAACATTCTAAATCTCCAACACTACTGATACTCAGATTCCACTAAACGGTTAACGTAAAACAAATTTTTATAAAAAATATACATATGTAATATATACATTGTACATATATACAATGCTGTGAGACAAGATTAACTCACTAATAAGTGAATGAGATCGGGATCATTCTCAGCCTCTTTCTCCAATAAAACCATTAAAGACGTGTTCTGAAATCCAGCAACAAACAATAACATCTTTTGTTGACTAGAAACACTATTAGCCATATGCTGGAAGCTTGCCGACGGCGTAGTTATATTCTCCGTCGGTGTAGTGTATGGGTACAAATCAGCCATACTCAATTTGGCCATTAAAGGTGTCATTATATCATCATTTGGCGCGATCTTTCCATCTGTAATTTTTATTTAATAAATAAACGTAAATTTCGAAACATTTCTTCTTATTATTACCAAGGATTTGTAAATTTAATGAAATCGAAGTCGGTCGCATCGCTTTTGTCGATTTTGGAATGTTATCTGTAAATAAAATAAAATTTTTTACAATATTATATTCACCTTATTAACATATCATGTCATACCCGTTTCAGATTGTGCTTCAAGATCAGTGTAATGTTGAGTAAGTTGTTTATCGTACATAGCCTTGGAAACAACAAAATTATCGTCTCGTAATAATGGAAATAAAGGATCGCACAACGTGTTGTATTTGTTGGTTGCAATACGATCGTCTTCGTTTGTCATTTTAGAGAGTGTTCTGAGACTTAGATATCTTGTCAGGTCTTTTCGTAATGTGACAAGCTTTGTTAAAGCCGGTATGTCGTCTTGAAATTTTTCATAAACGGTATCCACACTTAGAGTTTTACACTTTTTACTTTCAGCGTGCCTAATGGAATCTTTGACAATATCTGGTATGCTACTAAATGATCCACTATTACTATCGGGCGTGTCCTCTTCTTCGACTGTAAATATGTTTTTATTGTCTTGATTTTTGTCAGTCAGTTTTGTACACTCTTGAGATTTATCGGATATCTATCATATTTGCAAATGTTTAAAACAAGTTCAAAGTTTACAATAATAAATAAATAAATATAAGCTGTAAATTTGATATAATACTTTATTCTTTTGGCGCCATCTAGATATTTTTTTTATCGATTGTTTTAAGGCACTAGCCGATTTTCTAATTTGCGCAACTTGTGTTTTGTCCACGTACATGTACAACAATTGTGTGCCCATGGGTAAACGAAAACTCCCATCAACATTTTTGGCTGGTATCTAAAAAGAAATCATTGTTTTCAAAACTAAAGCGAATCGTGTTATAACTTTTACCTTCTATACCTTGTTGCGAAATGGATCAGTCAATTGGATTAGTTTTGTTAGTTCAAAGCCTAATTGTGTTATGACAATCCTAAATACAATTTTTTTTTTTTATTGATATATCAAATAATAATAAATGTAAAAACTTATAAGATAATAGAATTACACACTTATTATGATAAAGTATCATGCCGCCTAAAACATTTGATTTTTCTTGCATGCTCTCTAACACTTGCATGGCTTCCAACATTATATTTCCTCCACTCTAAAAAAAATAATAATAGATAACTTGATTCACCGAAATGAAAACAATACTTTCAATTTTTTAATTTCTTACTTTTGGGATTTTAAGTACAGACGTTGCACTAAAAATGTTAGACGCTACCAACAATAGGGAAAGATAGGAAGATATAGTAGAATTCAAATGATCTTTGAGAATTTTCTGATCGGTTATTTCAGTAATATCATAATGGTATGTACACAGTATGTCATATAGTGTGCTCGCCCGTTTCTGAAGTACGCTATCCGGAATATTTCGGTCAGTACCCACACACTATTAAATGACAACAACAAATTATTAATATGTGACAAAATATATATATATGTGTTTTTAAATATTTTTTATGTAATATTACCAAGGTTAATGATCCAAACTGTTGAAATGCAAATTTTCCTGATTTTAAAGACAACACTGACGGTGCCGCAAAAGCTAAAGAAGTAAATTTAGCAAAGCCCATCAATTGGCCGCTTAGAGCATGTTTCTGAGACGGGCTCACCCACGGGGGATGAAAGTATAGAATAGAATTATTTGGATCGTCTGATTCATTAGTACAGAATCTTGGGTCGTACACAAAGATTATTAAAAGCTCTCTGTAAAAAAAAAATTAATTTTTTAACATATGTTTTAGTATAAATTATAATTTATAATATATTAAAAAATGTGTAACAAATAATGGTCCTATTACTGTTATTTTCAAATCTGCAGTTGAATGTTTTAATTTAATAATAATTTTTAATCAAATTAACTAGTTTAAAAGAACTTTATTGAAATATAAGGATTTAAAGATTTGAGTGAAAACAAAGTTTTCACTCAAATCTAAGAAACTATTAGTATTTTTTTTAATTTTAGTCAGATCTGAAATACATCAACTATTAAACTCGGGAAACCTGTTACGAATTGAGATATTTCAACTGCCAAAAACCAGTTGAAAAACAATACAATATAAAACCACTTTTGGAGCAAGTTTGCATGAAAGATAATGTCAAAGTTATGATACAGTTCTTCATTGTACATCGTCATTTACCTGGACATCTTAGAAGCACTTCTGATTAATATAATGACTGGCTATAATTTTACTGACTTAAAAGCAGTGTCCTGCTAACAAAACTTATCAACTAATTTTTCGATTAAATTGAATTCAGTCGTTGGTGGCATTGGATTATGTAAGTAGACTTGTGGTTACGTAACCTTAACGAAGCCATAGTCGATGATTGAATAATAAATCGAAACGTAATTATTATTTATATTAATTATTATTTTGTACTTTGTAGTAGGAAAACTGGTTTTCAATAACTACAGACTACAGTCTACACTCTACAATATCCAATATCTTTTCTATGATCCAGGAAAACCGATAAGATAAACACTATTTTGATACTAATTAGTAATTATTGTTCTTATCAGTAGCCCACTAACGCCATCGAATCGTTTGCTATAAAGTACGAGTATTCTACGATAATTTTTCGAATTTCATCCTAATTAACCTGGCAACACTGATTTATGGTAACTGCTGTTTATTATTTCTTTAACTATTTTTTCTGCGTTAATTTTTTCAAAATATGTTACAATATTACGAGTATGACATAAACGATGGTACTATACGGCTGACTTTACATAACTTATGCAACATTTGAGTTACTAACAATAGTAACGACAATAACTATATAGTAAAATATCTATATTTGTTTTTAATTGAGATGGTTCATTTTTTCATGGTTCAAACCAGCCAAACAGCTATGGCTTTTGCAATAAAATTTCATTTTTTTTACAGTTATAACATAGATTAAATACATTTAATCTATGGTTGTAAACTGTAATAGAACCTATAAAATATGTAAAAAATAAGTTGTACCAGAAGTTTTCCGAATATAGTTTTTAAACTGTAGAAGTACAGATTTGTATTGCGTTCTTATAAACGTATAGACTAATGTTCTGAAATGTATGTACTTATTATTTTTATTTTAGAAATTGTACGATCTGTAAATGTTCAGAAGCTCTAAATGCTCTAAAAACATTACCGATAAGAGTTCAACTATAAATTATATTAAAAACTAAATAATACAAGATACAGAGAAAATGCAAATAAGATTGACTTTCATTCTTTGGCTTCTCACCAGCTGCGACCTGAATCCTGCAGTTACCTGTTCTCAATTCTCATCATTGACTAAAAAAGTGAACTGATAACGTCTACTATCAAACATAACCTGAAAATCGATCATCTGGTTTGTTTTTCGGCAAGTATAACAAACTGCGAACTGTGACCTTGTGTCTGAATTATTCCGACGTCGAAAACTCGGAAAGCGCTTTGATAAATTATCTTTACCAAATTTCATATTGAAATTTTATATTATTTAACACACAATAATCATTTTTAGTAATACTCAGTGAATATGGCTTCGTTAGGGAAAGTATTTCGCAACGCATTCACAAACAACAGCCTTCGAGTGTTGAGGCGGTGTCCAATGATTTTAGAAAAACGCCAATTGAGTCAAACGAGCATTTACAACTTGAACTTACAACTCACAAAAACACCTATGGTAAGCATATGATACTTTATTATTATTATTATTATTATCGTCTAAATGCAGAGGTAATGTGATAAGTTGACGCGGTCTTTGAATGAAGACCTAACAAGTTAATTTGCCGGTTTTAAGGTGCGTGATCGATGGTATTCGGACACAACGACTGCCGGTAGATTGTTGTTGACTGAAGTAGAATCTAGAGTACTAAAGGTGTGCAAGGCCTACGATAAAGTGACGGCCGACAAGGTATGTAAATTTTAATTGATTTTATTATTTCAGACATTTGTGCGGACTTACAGTGTCAAGCCACCAATGACTATTGATCAAATTAAAAAAAGAGTCCTATTGGTATTACAGTTATACGACAAGGTTAATCCAGACAAGGTATAAATGATAAAAATTAATTTTTTTTCGGACCCGGACATTTCGGTGTGGAGCCAATTCGGCTTAAGGTACAATTGAAATGTAGTAAAAAAAAAAAATAAGCTTTATTATATGATATATTTACAAATGTCATTGCTATAAAAAGCATTTTTATGAAATCCAATAATTAGTTCTTCATGATAGTTAAAATAAAAAGCATACTTACCACGAAGTTCTATCACACGACTGTTATGTGTAAGTATTTTATGCATACAACCATGATGGTACCAAACAATTTTGGAGATACCAAAATGAAGGTTCATGCAAATCAAGAATTTACACGTCAACTGAAACTTCTGTGATTGATGACTAGTTAGTTTTATTACAGTAAAACAACTTAAATTTTTTATTGTATCTATTAAATTTTTTTTATTTAATTTTATTTTACGTCAATGTGTACCTTACGCCAAAATGGTTTACAAGAAGAAACGGCCACGCTGAAATGTTTTAGACAGCATTTTTTTTTTTAATACCAATTATGTTTTGAAGATTTATTGATCAAATTGTTCTATAAATGTCTGTATTACCTTGAAATTCATTTTTTTTCAATTTTATTTATTCATATTCAAGTGATAAATTCTAATATTTCGACTATTACTTGCAACTAAAGAGATATAACTCAAAAACGATTGCAAAATGCTAACACTATACTAAATAAATAGTTGTATAGACATTCTGTAGTAGCGTTCACTTGTATATTATAACTGATTTCCAAGTAAAAAAACTATGACTTACTTTATATCAAACAAATAAGAACAATAAATTTTTTTTTTTTTTTTAATAAAAATATTTTACCTTTCTACACAATATTTCAAAATGCTACCACCAACAGATATTAAATTGTATTTTAAAGTATAATTTACAAATTATGATTGCTACTTATCAATTATTTTTTATCAAGTATTAATTTTTAAATATTATATAATTAATTATTTAGTAAAATATGTTGATGTAAAGAAGTAATTTAATAAATTTAAAAACTCAAAATACCCAAAATTGAAAACTAGTATATTTTCCTTATTTGAAAATAACATTGACAAATGAATATATTTTAATATAACTGTTTTAAAATATTAACTTTGTTTATTTTTTTATTTCTAGCTTAGCCTTGAATCACATTTCATTAATGATCTCGGATTAGACTCCCTTGATCACGTTGAAGTCATAATGGCCATAGAAGATGAATTTGGTGAGCCTAACATTAAAATGAATATAATGTTTCCGTCCGTTTTTTTTACATATTATAAATCATTATTATTATTATTATTATTAGGTTTTGAAATACCTGATGAAGATGCAGAAAAGTTGCACAGACCTAAAGATATAGTGCAATATGTTTGTGATCGTGAAGATATCTATGATTGAATTAACCAGTCCTGTATTTTCGTTTAATAATAGTAGCTTTCCTAAGTGTTAAAAATGTAAGAATAACTTGATGGAACATCTATACTGATTTGTAATTTTTTTTTTTAAAGAATATAAGTTTAGTGAGTGTTAAAAGAACTCGCCTTGAGTATATCATATCGTGTCCTTATAGAGGGAAGTGCCTTTTTCCTTTTCATTTTTTATCGACACTAAAGAAGATTTTGTAATGAGTATTTAACAGGTTATTAAAAAAAAGTAACATATGGTAGTAAAATATTTTCTATTATTCTTTGCTTGAGGAATAAAAATTTTTTTCGCAGTGTTCAAATTCTTATAACATATTTTTCGCCAAGACTTTTTGACCTATTATCGTTTGATATTTAAGATATTGTTATACTACTAATATGTATATACAGTTACAATATAAAAACCTGTAGAAAGTACTCTGTTTTCGGTGCACATTGATTAAGATTGCTCAACTCAATATAATTATAAATATAAATGTATTAATTAATATCACACTAATTTAGAGAGGTCTCTGGTAAAATTTGTTTAGAGCACTGTTGGTGTTAGTTCAAATACTGAACTATTTTTTATGTGATCCTAATTTTTGTTTTGTTTATTGTAGGAATAAAAAATAATACATATCTCTTCAAAGCTTTTTGTTTATTTTTATGCAAATTTAGTACAAATTCTAGTTTAATAACCATTGCAGTATTTGAACGCCCAATATGCATCAACTGCGTATACAATTCCGAGTACAAATCCCAAAGCCTAAAATATAAATTGTTCGTATTATGATAGTGCCAATAAGTTTTAAAAAAGTTATTAAATTAAAATAATAATTGTTGTTTTTTCTCAATTAACTATTAGAATCAATTATAAATAGTTGATTTTTTTTTTTGTTTATACTTACATAAGCAAGAATGATTGAGGAAATTATTGAGGAAAAGGGTAAAACCATAAAAACTGGATAAAGGATCGTGTAGATCACTATTGCTATTAATGATGATGAACTTAGAAAACAAATGGACGCAAAGATCCCAAAAATACATTCCTGAAACAAATTTTGGAATTAAAAATGTTATTATAAATACGAATTAACAGTGTACACTTACAAACAATGATGATCTGACTAACACTTCCGTTTTCTTCGAAAACAAATAAGATATACTGATGACCCAAGTCGTCATTAGACATCCGGCCACTGTCGTCAGATACGATTCATATGCTGTGCCGATGGTCGGTATATACTTTGTTGTACTACCAAAAAGTAACATGTATTGGCAGAAAGAACCTAACACCTATAGTAAATACGACTAAATTAGTAAATATTGTTAACATTCATTACCTATCAATGCAATATTTAACTATACAAATAAAAATATATATATATTTTTTTTAATAGATAATATAAAAATTAAAAAACGCAATCTAGTGAACAGGTTACTTACGATTTCGACGATTTTTAGTAACCCGTAACAAGTAGTGAAATAGTTGATATTGAGACAAGAGCACATGCCACAGGACAACCTTGTGGGTTGACAGTAATAATTGGGCATTCTTACCATTTGCATGATTAATGATGATGATAATAATACAAAAAGGTGAACAAATAATAAATCTGGCTCTAGTATTACCTACACGAGTAATAATAGTATGTTTTAAATAATTGTGAAAATAATAAAGTAACACGAGTAATATGGTGTGTAGTACCCACACTTGCCCTGGGCGATGATCTCAATATATGTTAATAAATTTAGCCCCCCGCCGAGAAAAAAAGTATTTTTAAACTTCTTTTGAAATTACTTTGGCCTGGGCGGACTACCGCAGCACGTGTTGCGTATTCCGTCATTTATATTCATATTACTTTCCCAAAAAACGAGGGAGTGCTTAGTCCCCCAAGTATGTCTTTGTAAATACACTAGTGGTAGTATTTAATTTTCAGAAAAATACAACCTGGAAATATGTAATTTAAATTTTAAAAAATTGTATAATATTTTTATAAATAAAGTACACTTCTTAGCTTCGATGCAAAACTGAGAAGGTATATTGTTTTTACGATGATGTATCTTAAACTCTGAACTGATTTCTTCGTAAAGCAACTCTGTAAATTAGAAATCATTCTTAAAATTTTAAAAATTCAGTCCTTCCCCTTCGAAATCGATAAAACACCCAAAAATGTACATGTTTTTAAACTTAAAATTACGATGCTCTATAACTTTTTTAAATTTATCGAATTAGTTCCAAATGTGTATGAAATATTCTTTAAACATAGTACTGCCGAAAAATAATGACAAACCAAAAAATTATCATATACCCTATCTATATTATTTTTGATATTTTTTATTTATTATACTTTTTAGATGAAGTTTTAACAACATTTTCATGATGTTGTCTGTTGAACCTACACTATCCACAGATTCGCATCGAAGTGTTTATTTAAAAGTGATTTTATCATTTTCAGTTATAATAATTCCTGCAGACCTGTAATCTCCCCGTCTCCGCTGTACTGGATTTTTTTTCTTATGATCAACTGTTACTTGTTAGTCCAGAATACAACTGCGCACACAAATTTTTTTTTTCATTTGAGTTATATTAAAATTATTAAATTATGTTGGCAACCCCTCCCCTCCAAGCATAAGAGAAGTTAAGAAACCAGCCAAAAACCAAAGGTCATCTAAAGTCCCTCTAAATTTTTGCTTGTCAATACTACCCTTCTTTTTTTCCTGAACACTTTGGAAGCTTGAAGGATTATAAGGATATAAACTTCCAACGCAACTTCCTTTTCGTTACGCCTAATGCCTGCGTAAAACATTAAAAAACTAAATGCCACTGTAGAAATTTTATTGATTAAAAAAAATATCTCTAAAGTTAATTATTTTTAGTTGTGTTAAAATAATGAAAACAATATATAATTCCATAAATTAATAACGAATATTACGTCTTATTAGTAACATTAATGAATAAACGAGCACGCGTGTTTTGGTTCCGTTTTTACATTATTGTAAGGCACTTGTAAATATTTATAAATATGAAAAAAATACTTAAGGCACAGCGAGAAATCACATACTATGTTTTTTTAAATGCGATTATAATATAATAATAAAATTGTACGCGAAATCGTTCACTAAACTCGAATAATATCATCATAGGTAATATATATATATATTATATAATTTAATTTATTAGTTCGCACCTGCGAGTATAACTTCATAAACAACTAACCGTCAAGCCAGATCAAAGAAATTTTTGGTATAACTATACCAAAGTTGCCAATAGCTGTAGTTAATACTCGAGGTTTGGAGGAGACACGGTTTGGAGGAACCTTAAACATAATATTCAAACAATAGTAATTTATATTTATATATAACTCGTAGCGTAATTTAAAGAAAAATAAATATTAATCATAATAGTACTATAAATAATAATAATAATATATGCTAAGCTGAAGACGATGTGCGCCGTGAAGTTTGCAAATTGGTGGTTCTCATGACTAATATTCGTTTGGCCGTGCTCCTTGTATGTGCAAAAGAAGTTCAAGAAGTTGTTAAGGACTGCTTAAGGTCCTCTGTACGACCGGTAACCCCAGATGGAGCTCAGCAAGTAGAACGCGGCCATAATGAACGCTAAAATCTAAAATTAAAAAAAAAGAAACAGTTTAAATTTTACCCTATTACAACGTTGTTTACAAATTGTGTAGATGACCTAAATTATATTAGACAAACGGATAAATAAAAAATTTAGTGACTTGGTTTGAATAATTAGCATGCAAGGAACCCACCTAGTAGTAACACCTCAATACCAAGATAATTTAAAAACTATCTTTGCACAACACATGATTAATTGATTATTATAAATTAAAGACATATTATTTGATTGCTTACTGATGCTATGACGAAATGGTTGTTTGCATAACGGTTGTTGTTGTTTGTCTCAATCAGTAAGTACACTGCAGCAACCAACAAGAGAATGAATCCTGTACCATGGTATATAAATTCCTACAAAAATACGTTAAAATAATACATTAAATGAATAGGCAATTTATTAGTTATCTAAAACAGTAATCAAAATACGTGCGAAATATTTTTTTCAATAATAACATATCGAGTACAAAGGTTGCAAGTCACATAATGTTAATTAACAAGTAAACAATATCTAAAAATATAAATATAAAAAAACACCGGTTAAAATAATATAATATTATCCATTAGACTAATAGAATTGTTTTTCACAAGGAAAACAAAATAAAAAAATCTTATAGGTGGCACTTGTTAGTTTATAATAATTAATAAATGTTCAAAATTGTAGAAATACATAAGTGAAACTTGTTGTGTAATATACATTTTATTATTTTTATAAAACGCGCCCGATGATTTCACTATAACGCTATAGCTTGGTATGTTAGGTTGCCTAACCAAACGCCTTAATACTTTATATCTTGTTTGATAATAAAATACTATTATTAGTTTATTATTATAATATTGGCGATAGCCTATAACAAAAATGTACCTGGCGATTTGAGTTGCAGTCAAATCTATTAGCTTAAGTATTAAAAATAGCGTTTATCGAGTAGGTACATCGATATCAATGTACATTCGATATTAAATCAAACAATTATTATTATATTGTTATCGACTTAAAATTAATAATATAGTTTACTTACGAAATTCGTTTTGGATATAATGGGTCCGGTTGAGATGGACAACAAACAAGATATCAGCAAGATCAAACTGGCGATGAAAAATGTAGTTATGATCGACAGGAAGAATATGTGCGTGTTATGTCCATACACCCAACAAGTACATAAATATTCTCTGTTGATGATGAGCAAAGTCAAAACGATTGCTCCCAAAATCTGAAACGAAAAAAAAAATATCATTATTTAAAGATAATTTATTGTTGTGGTCGTTTTTATTATTCAAATAAATTACATTTTCATTATCATAAGTGCATTGTCACAAAGAAAGCCCAGCTAAATAAGATTTGAAAAAAATAAATATAATAAAAGACATATTTTATAATTGAAAAATCGGCAAAAAGGACCTTTTTGCCTAATTTTTTTAAAAAATGGATGTGACGCGGCTTGGAAATATGTATTACATGTATCTTTAATATATTTTCTGTCTTAACGATCTCAAACGGCACGCCTAATATATATTATCCATACAAAAGTTCAATCGATCTAACAATTTCTCTAAACTATGTGTCACATAAGTTTAATTTAGTCACATATCTAAAACTCAGTTCCTATTATAGAATATTATTTTTAAAGGCAAAATGGTTCTAACGATTGCACAAGGCATCCTGAAATAAAGTATCTGTACAGTATTATATTCAGTCATGTGTAAGTAAAATTTTTTTTGCTATTAAAAGATTATACCGTTAACCGAATAATTTTTAATTGAATTTCTAAAACAAAATGTTACTTTAAAAATAGTAATAATAATAATAATAATAACACAACCAATAGATGAATAAAAAAAAAAAATGAAAATTTGTCAAAATTAACAAAAAACGTGTTGTGGCCAGTTCATCGTTAATACAATACAAATTCAACCATTTTCCAGTATGATACAATATTTTAACAACGACCATCGCATTAGGAATGAGGACTATATGGACAAATTGTGAGAGGGGAAGGAGAGAATTGGCGCCACAGCCCTTCCTGAAACCATATCGATCGCAATAAAATGTCCCCCCGACCCCTTCCCCTATCCCATAGGGCACACCCTATGTATCGCCATAATACGTTGGCCTAGATTTAATACTGAACTATAATGGATTAAACTGAAATACAATTCAAACATGTTCAGATTGACACGCAACAATTGGTTAAAATTATTGTCCGTGTTCATTGTCTATATCGTTTGTTTAAAATGTACTTTTATTTTGAAAAAAATTTCAGTTTAAAAAGTTGAACTCACGATTTTACTATAGTTATAAATCAAATAAGAGTTATTGTTGCGTTAATGATATTTTATAAAATATGTTTTAAGTATTTATATGTACTGATATGATTAGTTATTAATGATATAATATAAAATATATTTATTAATTTTACAATCGACACAATTTTGTAAAAATTGTAAAAATAAAATAATTTTAAAAACTTCAAAATTCTTTTCAATTAAAGATATATTAATATTAAATGCTGGGCTAATCAATACAAACAAATTGTGTACAATTTGCCAAATTGATGGGAAAACAATTTATTATCAACATACAGATATAATAATCTTTTGTAATTAAATCCAATTGGTCAGCTGCAAGTATTGCAAGTATTTTTACGTATATTACGTTATTCATTTATATTCTTATAATATTTGGTGTCATAATGTTTTATTTTTAGTATGTGCCATTTAGTAGTACATATTTTGAGTACCAATATAGAAGTATTTTGATCATCTCTATGTTGTGATGCGAAATTTGAGTGTACCAAATATTATAATAAAATAAATGAATAACGTAATATATGTTAATAACAGTTTTTATTTTTATTTTTTTTATAATTATCGATGTTACATAATAATTATACAAATTATGTCAGCGGCCAAGCCATTCTTTTTTTAACATTTGTCATTTATTTATTAAAATACTCAAAGCTGTCCAGCATATGAGTACAGTTCATTCACAGTTTAAACACAATTTTATCATACTGTTGTGAAATTATCAACTCAATAGAGAGATTCCTTAAAAATCAATGAGCTCATCGATTATTATATTGTGCTTTAACCAGTTTTAATATTTGTCGAACTCAAGAGTGAAGTCGAGAGTGATTCATAGCATAAGCTATCGTTTTTCATTTGGATAAATTACGACATACCAAAGTCGTTTCGTAAGTAAGTACAATAATTATACATCCAACACGTCATAACAATATGCTACTCAAACATATTTTTATCTTAACGATTACATAGTACTCAATAAGCAAATTGTGCTTTTACATTACTATTACTATTTCCTACCTGTATTAAAAAGTTTTTTACAAATAAGTATCAAAACGTTTCTAAATAAATTTTAGACAAAACGTTTTTTTTTTAATAAAAAAAAAAAAATTGCAGATTTTTATAATGATAGCTAATTTATAAATATTACGTCTATTGCACATTTCCAACATGCAAAAATTCATGTTTTCTGGTAAATGTAAATATGAATAGTTTAATCATAGATAGTGACAAGTAAAAAGGATTAAACTATTAATAATTAAGACTTGAGTAATAACTGTTATACCTTGTATTGGCAGTGTAAACACTATATTGTGATATCATTTTTTTAAATAAAAATATACTGTATTATCGTTGAACACAATAACATAGATAAACTTGATATTTTAATTAAATCTGTGAATGCATTAAAAGCTTTAAATAATAAAAAAGTAGCATCAATCAATTCTCTCACTGAAAAACTAGCGACTCTAACTCATAAAGTTAATGAACATACCACGAAATTAAACACTTTATCATCTCAACATGACTCTTTAAAAACTAAAGTGGAAACTATTGAAACTAAAATTGAATCGTCAAAAACAAATACATCAATTTTAATTAGTAATGAATTAATATCCGAGATGATCGACAGACAATCACGGCTGAAAAATGTGTTACACTTTAATTTACCAGAAACTCTAAATGACGCAACCAATACAAGCTCTGATTCTACTACAATTCAAAATATACTTGATTTTTTTAAATTAAAGACTAAACCAAATTCTGTCACTCGTCTGGGCAAACTTACTTCTAATATTACCAATCCTCGGCAATTAAAATAATGTTTTTCGGATCAAAAAGATCTATTTATCTTTTATTATGTTATATCTTATTATTTTTAATTATATTATATTATTGACTATTGTTATTTATACGAATATTTAATTGTCCGTATGAATTTATTAATAAATAAATAAACAATATTCGGGTACTTCCCCGGCCAGTTGTAATAAACATGAATTATTTTTATGTTCCAGTGACCGATTTAACACTCATGCATATGGAAATGAGATCATCTCCGCACACTTCTTATACACAACTCGTATAATATTATTGGCTCACGCGAACCCCTAAATAAGGCTATGGAACATTGTTTAGTGCTTTCTTTTCTTTTCATGCCAGTCGGCAACAGTAATTGGTTGACGGCCGCTTAGTCAAGACGTTTATTATGCACACACGTGCGGTGCTTTGGACTTAATGCCTCGCGAATGACGTCAGCAAACGGTATTTATAGAGGACACGATACACGATCTACAGCGACGGTTTATGTTGATCGTTAAGGCACCGCGGCTAAAAGGACACAAAAAAAAAATGACCAAATGCTCTCTATTGTTTTCATGTAAGAGTACCTAGATACTCTAATTATTAGAAACTCATTAGCATAAACTAAAAAAAACTAATATTTCTGCCCCTCCATTAGAGTTAAAGCAAAATGAAATGTTTTTTTTTTTGTACTGAAGAGTGAAGAGTGAAGAGTTACATTAATAACAGATAATTCGGCGTGAAAAATGTAATAATTTCTTTACAAAAAATAGCTTAAACGGGTATAATCTCCCACCCTTTCATCCTTTTAACTCTCCTGGGAGGGGGGACACGACACTGATTACCCTGTCCTATAGGTTACTTGTGTATGAAGATCAACACTGAGTGCACCCAACAAAACCGTATACTTTCTTAAAATGTAGGTATACTTACGACTTCGGCCAGTTTCAGTAGACCTGGTATGGATTTGACGTATCCGGTGTTTAAGATTATGGCGGACGTCGTGGATGTCGTTGTTCTAGTAACCGTCACCGTGTGAGACATCTTTTAACGTGCTGAAAATCATAAGCCAAAGTTAAATAAAAAATATATATATAATCAACAAAGACAATAAAAAAATTGTTTTAAACATATGGATGAGTCCAAAAAAATATCCCCCAATGAACTAACATATTTTTACACACCCACTAAAATAGTAAATTTTGTACTATTAAACTACTACATTTTTTTATTAAATGACCCACTTAGCTCCTCGGTGCATATATTTTATTATCACCATATAATAAATATTACATAAAAATGTTTTCGTTTAGACGATTTAATAACATTTTACGGTCTGCCACAATAGCGAGTATTGAGTAGATAGTATTGACCTTTAGCTCAATGCTGTCGTCCTCCTCCGCTTAATAAAATATGTCATTGCTAAGTACATAAAAGCACCAATACCTACACACCTTTAAAGGTTCAACGTTATTTTAGTTTTTGGCGTTACACAGGATAATCTTGCTGACAGTGTTGACAACTAAACAAAAGATTTCTGGAAAGTGGAAGTAGTTATTTTTGTAGAAGTTTGGAATTGTTTGCTGTTTAAACAAATAGGGTACGAAAATCTTTTTTTAATTTCAGAGGAACGTAAATTGTTTTAAAACAAAAGTGTAATTAAATTGGTAGAAGAATAGGTAACAATAATGTATTTTGTGGATCAAAGTTTAAAAATTGAACAGGTAAAGTGCAACTTATTATTGAACTAATACGACAGAAATAGTTACGGAAACAAAATAACATTATTTATGTTTTAAACATTGGCTGATGGCCAGTTAAAAATGAATGGCTAACACGTTTGTACTTTTACTTATCTACCGAATTAGATCATACACCACTGTTACAATTTTAACAGTAACAATAATTTACAAGAAACAAGTGTCGTTAATAGTACTAATGAGGCGCATGATTAAAAAATATATCGACATTACAAAGTATTGCAATATTGCCTGCAAAATCAAAGCTCGATTAATAAAGCACTCGCTAATTTTGAAATATTTAAAGTAGTCAAAAATCTCATCAAATATAATATCATTCCTCCGCAGCCGGTATCGAAATTAATTGTATTTTTTTAACCCCTTATTGCACGAATTGTTTACACTTATTGGTTATTTAAGTACTAAAAGCACCGTACTAAACAAATTTACCTCTTATGGAGTGAAAATATTTTTTCGCTGAACTCGAATCTAGCATCAGAAAACTTTCTAAAATTTATTTCAAATAAAGTTTTATTTTTTTTATTTTCTATGTTTCTAATTTATTTTTCAACTACTCTTAGAATTAATGTAGAATGTAGTTTTTTTCACAAAATAAAATCATAAAATTCTTATTTTTGTTTTGTAAATTGCTTACAGCTTTGGAGATAAATTAAAAAACAAACTTAAATGTTGGGCTTTGTTCCAAAAAGAAGGTAAGATATTTTTGCTAACGTATAAATACTATTATAAAAATATACTATTTGTACTCACGCTTTTTCTTTGTAACAAAACTCAAATTATATACAATTTATAGGATTTTTTTTTTTGTAACCTCAAATTATGTTAATTAAAATTGATAATACCGTCAAGTAACTTTTAAGTAAGTCATTATTTGTGGTCAATATTTTTATCACAATCTCAACGAGTATATTATTATTGAACAAATCAATAACTTTGTAGTGTTTATAAATAAGACAATTTAGATAAATAATGTAAGTAATAATGAATTGTCACATTGTGGTGTTGAAAGAAAAAATCTTAACAGCGTAGGTATAAATGTATTTGAATTTTATAGTTTAAAACACACAACAGGAGACGATGCAACAACACTTTTTTCCAAGTAAGTATTTAATTTCCTATTTTTGATTCATGGTTACAAGTTTGTTTTGACTCTTCATCTCTTTGTCAACAATAATTTAAGTTAAATCTTTTACTGTTTTTTTTTTTTGCGACTGCTAAAAAAACCGGTACAAGCTTTCACAAAACGATGAACTGCATCACTATGATTTTTAGGCCATCGCCATCATCATATATTATGACATATATTTCCAATGTCGTTTGTGATTTACTATTTACTCCCACTAGGTACATATTAAATAGTATATTAGGCGTCAAGGTAATCGACCATATGCGTCTTAGGTACCTACATTGAATAACAAACGATTTGGGATGCCGTCATCATACTTGCTTGCTTAAGGTTACGACTTCCGATATTCATCTGCTTACAAAACCAATATTATATTATAATGGATTACCGTACTGTATCCTAATTCACAGCACGCTTTCATGTGGATTGTTTAAAATAAGAAATAAAAAAATATGAACTCCATTGTTTAGAACATTCGGTCAAATCGCAGCTACTATAGTAGCTGCGATTTTATAACATAGAACATTATAACATAGCGATAAACCGCATTTTTTATAAGGACATAAAAAACAAAACCGCGACACATTTAACACATGTATATTACTATACTGTTTGAAATATTGCCGACGCTATAATCGGTTAAGTTTATTATTTAAAAATATGAGTCGTAGTCCGGTAAAAAATATCAACTTCATTTTCAACAGAATGCAATCGTTAACGATCAGGGCCTAATACATTTTAGCCGGTTATTTGAGGGACAGAATCGAAATTTGAAAAAATTCACATCCAAAAAAAAGAGAAACCTTGAAAATAAATTTTTCTACTTATCGCTTCGATTAAAACACAAAACCCGAATTCTCTTTTCCAAAAACTTCTTTAATATTAGCTTTATTATGCATCAATCGACAGTTGTTAATTATTATTTTCTTCACTACAGTCGAGTAATTGTGGACAAAGTTAAATGGAAATTTTCAAAAATAATATAATTTGTATTTATTATTAAAAGCGTTTGATTATATGTTGATGTACTACAGTGCATACGACTAAATAAAATACAACATAAAAAAACACGTTTACATATTATATTGTCCGGTTCGATATAATTATTATTACCCTCGGCCTTAAGTCGGTAAGAAATATTAGTTATGACTTATGGGCGTTTTCGTATAGGCAATTCCGATACATCGGTGCATCGGCCGCTTAAAGTAATACTCCACCGAGGACTAAAAAAAAACCAGTTTTTCAATATACCTATATAATTTTATACACATAAAAGTGATGCCTACATATAATAATATAATAATATATAAATGGTTTTTTTTCTCTACTGAAAGATCTCGTTTAACAGATTGTCGTATAGCGAAAGTATACCCCGCTCTTTACCTATTCTTACAGGATGGAAATAATTTTATAAACACACACAACAATGTCTGTGCTTTCATGCAGTGTGTTATGAAATGTGCATACGAGTTGTGACAAAACTAGGTCGTTAGGGGCTGACTAAAATTAGAAGTGGTCGGACGGAATTCATCACGAGGTCTATGGAGATTATTATTTTATAATATATATTTTCATGTACGCTGGCCGCTGTCCAGGCTTGCGGTTTTTTTGGAATAAGTCCACCGAGTGGACCCTTTATTTTTCCACTATGAATATTCGCCAAAAGTTTTTTTTGAAATCGGAAAATTTGATATATCGCAAAACTTATTGGAAAATACCGAAAACAATGCAATAAACCCAGCGAAATATATATATTTTTTAAATATGGTCTGAGGGAAAGGCACCGGTTCAACGTATCAACGTTAATCACACAAGCTTGGATTAATAATACAAGCTATATTATGATATTATAAGCCGATTATTATCGATAAAATGTTTAAATTAAAAATGTAATTTAAATTAAAATTAAAATTAAAAAAAAAAATTGTTTAACTTATTTTTATATGAATAACAAAAACAACACACAATAATACATTATTTATAAAATGTATTTAACAAAAAAAAACAAATGTTTTACCTATTTCTCAAATTGATGACCAAAGCGGATTTTCTAGATTACACTTTCTGCCAATGAAAAACTTATATTTACTATTTTGGTTGTCATGAGTCTTTTGGGACTTATGTAAGTTATAGTTTGAATTGAAAATATTTATATTTATTAATTATTATCACGGTATCTAATATGTGAATAGTCTATACACATTATGATTGTAATGAACCCGTACATCGAACCTTGGATTGATATTATTAATAATTGTGATAATTTTTTTGGTCGGTTGTAATAGGTTTTGTTATATTGATTTCTATTATCGTCACTAATAGCGAGAACATAGTTTGACAATAATATAAATATGGTTACATGTATAGGTTAATAATTATAATACTTGTTTTGGTATTATACTATTAAGCGTTATTATGCATATAACCACGACCTTAGATACTTGGGTCGCCCTAGATATAAAATATAAATACATTGTTTTTATTGTTATTGTAAACTGTAGTATATTATTTAGTTGTATTGGTATTAATGTTGAAAAACCACAAACGTGCATCCTTACCGGTTATTACTGGAATATACAATTGTAATAATATGATATTTTCAATAGAAAACAATCGCACTTATTTTTATAATAAAGTCTCGTTCGAAAACTGCAAGCCGAGTTATTTATTTATTTTTTCTACTGACGAGGAGTGGTTATTGTTTTTTTATTTTTTCGTCGGATAAACGTACGTGATTGGCGTCCAAGCGATTACTGTGGTCTGTGAAAGGAGTCGACGGCGGACACGGCGGAACTGCTGCTGCTGTTTTTGTTGTTGTAACACAGTGACCATAAAATCCACTCTTTTCTTCGCCCACGGCACGCACCAAAACGCCCGAGCTTCTATCTCTCTCTTTCTCTATAGGCGAATGTCACACAAGTCCCGAAAAATCGAAATATTCCTAATCGTTCCTGGTCTAATAGATCAAGAGAGAGAGAGCTTTAATTTTCAACACGCAACTGAATATGTCATAGGCGCAAGTAGAGGGAGTCCGGAGCTTAGGGTGGTATAGCACCCCAAATTTTTAAATAAACCTCCTCTGATTGTAAGAGTGTTTATGTTTCTGTTAAAACCTCTGCATATAAAAATGTTTAATATTGAAACACCAACAACTTTGTCCAACAAGTTCAACATGTTAAATTGTTATACAACGTCCTTGCTCAAAAACACCATTAACCTCATTAATTAAAATTAAAATTTAAGTGCCTGCTTTTTTGATAGATTTTTTGACTATAAATTAAAAATACTTGCTGAAAGCAAAAGTTTCCTGGTAAAAAGTAAAAATGTGAATAAGAAAGCTAATCAAATTTAAAAACCTCGAATTTTATCGATTTTTTTCTTCGAGTATTGTTTGTTATTCTTTGTACAATATTTATATTTATATCTGTGTATTACATTGTAATAAAAATAACAAAATGTCACAATAAAAGTATAAAACCTAGTATAAACAATTAATGTGTGCGAAAACTTGAACCATTATTGGGGATAAATGTTCACAAAGACTTCAAAAATATATCGCAGTAATTACCTTGGTAAATGCCGCACTTAATATAATAAAATGCATACATTTTTATAGTGCTACAAAAATCATAATAATTGCAGAGTGCTAAAAAAACACATAACTACTACTATTTCCAATGCCATAGGTCCATCAACTGTTATTTGTTGAGGGCGATAAGATAAAATATTACAAGTGGTTGTGGTGCTATAAAGAAATAGAAATCGTGGATACTTCAAAACCTCATCTTGGAAAAACTTTTATTGATAATAAATAATTTTCTGTGAAGCCCGAGTTTAGTGCAACTAAAGTAAATTTAAATGTAATTAAGTTATCGTTGTTCTTGTAATAATTTTGGATAATCGATACAATTTTTTTGTATATAATATATAATTTAACCTGAAATCAAGTTAACATGGCCGATATCTATCTAATCTAACTTTATTTTTTTTAACTCAAAATGTTGTCTATATATTTTCTTCCTTACTGAATGCTGTTTCCATAAATAGTCTAGGCAGCTATATTATACTAATACAGGTTTTTGGAGCTTGTTCAATTTTGCCAATTAAATATTTAAAAAATCCATTAATCATCTTCGCCACACATAAGCCTATCAAGATGGATTTGTAAGCACATTTTAGTTTTAAGCCATAAGTGTTGTAAGTTAATTAGTAAACTTGGCACAGCGCTTCATTACACTTGAAATAAATGTACTGATAAAAGGATAATTTTGTTTTTTACCTTTTTGAGGCGTTTGAGACAGCTAGATAGCGTGACCTGTGCGCATTCGACACAAATTTAACAGTGGAAGATGAAAAGAATACATTAAAAAAATAATATTATTTATTGTTAAATTAAAAAAACATTTTTTAAAAATTAACCTTATTATACTTTACTAGCGCAGCTAGTTATACTTTATAAAATCGGTTGCAAGTTTAAATTTTAATATCAATTAAACAACAAGTTTGGGCGGCTCTGTATTTTCAACAATCCACGATTCTCCGCTTTTGCCGTGTTCCAAGATTTCAATTAAAGCCTTTCCCACGTGCTCCGCTCTGATAATTTATATAATACAAATATAAATTATAAGTATTCATATTTTAATCAAAATATAGTAATAAAAATAAGTATATACACTAAACGGAGACACAATATTTTATTCGTGTTTTTTTATCAATTAATTTCACTGTTCACAGTACTTGCATTTAACATGTTCTTTATTGCACCTTATATATTATTATAATCGATGTACATGATTTACACCGGGTTAGTACTTGGACTTAGTTGGGCATATTTTTAATTTACATTAATTAAAATCCACAATTAATAATTTCCTCTCGAACGAATTTCTTAGTTTCACGTATAGTGATTTCAGTCTTCTCCTAAGCACAATTTTTGGCTGTACGAAAATCCAGACCCTCGTTGATACAATACTTCCTTAGGTTTATTTTGAACATAGGTATAATATTATAGATTAACAAGAATTATTAGGCACCTTTTTTCTGGGTAAAGCCTATATCGTTTCTCACTTTACAGCCTCTCGAATATTTTAGTTGCCTAAAATTTATTTTATATTATAGCGTTAATATTTGAAATCGATTATGTTCAAACCAGGATTCGATCCTATTTTGTAGCTTTCCTAAAGTCTAACACATCCTTTAGGACGCATGCTGACCTGGTCTGGAAGTTTCCCAGTCCCCGGGTCCGGTCGTTGGCCCGGCTCGGGCACATTTACTACCTATACACATGCCCGGTCAGGTGGTATACTTACTCTTGATAAGACAGTCGTTTTTGGGTTTCGTAAAATTCTTCAGCGTTGTCTTCGTGCCAAAACGTCGATCTGTTAACGTCGACGGCTAAAGGTGTCCTAGTGAAACCCGGGCAAATTGATAACATTCTGATTCCGTGCAGGTCAAAGTTTTTTGGATCCTGTACAGTTAAAAAACGACAATACGATTTACATAGTACCGTTTATCGTGTGTATTCCACTCGTTGTGGTAAAAAAAAAAAAACAAATCTATTCCAATTTATCGTGTCAGTATACATACCCCGAGAGCTTTTGTGAATTCTACAACCGCTTTTTTCGTCGAACTGTAAACCGGGAAAAATAGCATATTCTTGTCGTAGGCCAATATCGACGCCGTCTGAACTACGGTGCCGCCGGTGCCCCCGTACGCCTTGCCCATGTACTTTATAGCCAGCATAGTTCCTCGTACGACTCCGCCCTTAGAACACAAACGATTACATATTGTGGAGAAACAGGAAAGTGAATGATAGTGTAAATTATGTGAATCGCCGATTGAAAGCGGCCGGATTTTAAGGAGTTTTATATAATTATGTACGCAATGTTCAAGAAAAAAGCCGACCTGACTTTATCCTCAGAAAATCGCTTGTTAGCCAACTTAAACCGACATTTACGTTAAGAATTGTAAACAGCACATTAATTTTAATTACAGTCCAACCTAGTCGCTCCAAAGTCCAAGGGTCCACTCAACATTCTCATCTCGGACACTTCGATATTTTCCTTTTCTCCGTCTCTTTTTTTATACTATGTAATCAATAATCATGAAAAATAATATTTTTTTTTATAATGAGGACCTAGGCAGTTCCATCTTTACCATGACCCCCGCCTGATGGGGGCCTCGAATAATACAACTTAAATTTAAAAATTGATTTTTTTTTGTTTTCTCAAAGGGCCCCAAACTTAATGTGTTCAAGGGTCTCTGCAAATCTTAAGACGGCCCTGCGTCTAGGTGTAGTGTTATACTAAATGCGACATAAAAATGTATAATACTTAAGTATCAAACTTGTTTATACGACCGTACATAATTTACGTTGACTGCGTTAGACCAATTGACTAACGAATTGTCCATTACGCCAGCGTTATTGATAATAATATCCAATTTTCCATATTTTTCTATGCATGTTTTAAATGCATCTGTAAATGAAAAAAAATCGAACATTTCAAAAATAGCGGCCGGTTTAAAAAAAAGTAGGTACCTATGTGTAACCCTTCAATTGAATCAAAATAAATTAAAACCAACATTTCCTTATTTCTTAATCTCGACGGTATTTTACCAAAGGATAAAGCCGCTCAGTAAAAAATTGAACTCACTTTCAAACTGAACATCGTCCGTGACATCACATTGTACGGGAATGACGTTTTCGTTTCCATACTCGACGGCAAAATGTTCAGTAGCAGTTTTACACGCTTGAAAATTTATGTCGCTAACAGCTACCTAAAATGATAACAACGACGGTCTAAATTTAGTTGACGATTTCAAATTGTCGTGGAGAAATGTTTGTTTTTCGTTTTCATACCTTTACGCCGTTTTGCAATAAACACTTGACGTATTCGAATCCAATACCCGAAGCACCACCCGTGACTAAAGCAACTTGATCTTTGAATATCATGACTATTATTATTATTAGTAATAATTAGTGACGTTCATGCATTCGTCCGACATCGAAAATACCGTACAATTATGTAGGAAACTGGAATTATAGGTATGAATTGCAGGTGTCGGTTAATCGGGCCAGTATAATATTATGAAATACAACAATACCACCACCACATTAAACTTTACTGTGTTTTGTGATCATATTAATCGCTGGCTCGCCGCGTTCAGATAAATAAATCATTATTGAAACATCTCATCTTCTGATAACAATACTCCATAGTATGTATTTGTCTATGCCGATAACAACTATTACGGCCAAATTCCACCATTTCACTTAAACGAGGCTGTGCATTTCATTTCGTGGCCATAATATCATTATGTAGCGATTGAGAAAATGATTTAAAAATCCAAGCATCGCTGCGACCGTTGATGAACGCCATATGAACTAAATTCCTAACAAAATTTCTCACCTCTGCTTCGCCACACACATTTTTAGCTAGCAACTAACCTAGTTTTAATTTTCCATACACATAATCTATTACACGCATAGGTACATTTTTTTAATTCTTGGGACGCTTTTCTTATTCAAAACTATACGTCCTAATAGGACCAGTCTTGATGAAAATATATTTTGCTCTATTGTTGACCTTCCTGGCATAAAATTCAAGTTGGTCATCCGATCCGCGGTTGTTTCCCTCCTCAATCTTTTCTCTATTACTTCTGCCAAAATGGCTCATTAATTTTATACCTCTACGATTTTAAAAACTGAAACTAGATAACCCAACACCCAACCGAAAGAGTTATTATGAACAATAGATAATGGATATAGGCAGACATCGGGAGGGGAGGAGGCTTAGCTCTCCCAAAATTATTATTTAAAATAGTAGTTTTAGCATGTTACCAAGAACAAGTTATATAACATATAAACTTTGCTATTTTTAGTCACTTAATTTTTTTAGTGAAAAAAACTGCAATTATTAACTTTTTTTTAACTAAATTAATTAACAAAAAATATTTTTAAAAATATGATCGATGCCTTGAAAATGTCATGAAGAATCCAAACATTTTTTCAAAACTTAAATCTGGGTATTCTTAATAACAGTACGTTTGGAGTAGAACGAGTCGTTTTCGACCAAAAATACGCAGGTGTAGAAGCCACGGATTGTTTAATTTTGGTGTAGGTTAAGTTGCCTATCTATTTATTTAGGCGCTAGAGCATTTCTAGTCATTCTACTAATTGTATACGTTTTGTTTTTTCGTCGTTCTTAAATTAAACATTTATTTTAGTTGATAATGAATATAAAAAAAAAAAAACATCAGCAGCCTAACTGCTGGTAGCCCTACGATTAACGTCCCTCCAGGCATGTTGATCGAAAAGTTCACTGAATCGTCAACGTTTTACAATATGGATAATATACTAACTGCATATTATAAGTACAAAATATGATAGGCTAACTGCGCTTTGGTGTTCGTTTTGGTCTTGATAGTACACAGCCAAATCCACATCATACGCAAGACCATGTAATTTCTATTTCAGTTCGTTTGCCTCCGTGGATAAATTTTACCTTCAAAGTACTGACGCACATTCACATTATACCACATTTAGGTAATTCATAAAAATACACATTTATTTATAAGAAATAAACTTCGACCTCAATATCTATTCAAGCCTCGAGGTTATCTCTTGTTAACTTATCCAAACTGAAGGTTTATGGTATGTACATTATTAATTACGACAAGAGTTTATAGACATTTACCATACATGTTGCTTATTTACTGAAAACTTGACTTTTACAATTTTTATATTTTAACGATACACAAACAATAACCACTCTGTTTTCGTTTACATTGATTATTTTTCAATCAATTTTTTTTTTCACAATGTATCAGGTAACTTAAAACAAATCAGACCCCTCATAATAGTCAATAGGAGATTCAATGATCTGAGATATAAGGCAGAAAATTGTTTACATTCATACGCTCCCAAGTTCATCTGTCATTTTCCTAAAATCCAATTCATCGTTTGTAGTCAAAGTAATGACGTAACGAGTTCCGAATATTATAAAAAGGAAAATCAGTGTCAAAGTTTTTGACTTTATGTAAGGTAACAAAATAATATATTACATAGGAAGTAAAATAAAAATACTGTACAATTAAATAGTATTATTACATTTCACGGGAAAATATAATTAACTAATTTAATCCAACAATGTATCTCCTTCAACAATTTCTTTTAAGCTCAAAACCTCCATGTAAGTTGTACCCTTTGGATCTGACCGTATAAGTTCATCCAACTGCCTGTAAATACCGGGATCGATGAGTAAAACCTAGAAATAAAAAAAAAGTGTATTATTTATTGTGGTTGCCAATAGGAATTAAGGCTTTAGAAAATGTATGCCAAAGAAGCATTAAAACGGCATCTACTAGCATTTAGTAAAGCGCATTGTATAGGCAATTTTTCACTAAAACTTTACTTTAAGCAAAAATGTTTAAACATAAATATTACCATAAAAAAGGAGAATCAATTTTGATATTTAATTTTTTTTTTTTCAATTTTTATAATGCATGTATGATCTATTTTTGTACAAAAATAGATGTTTCTACTTCAAACATGTACTGTTTCTAAGAATACTCCGATTTAAGCCTTGAAAAAATATTTAAATTCTTCATAACATTTTCAAGGCATCAATTGTGGCACATTTTAAAATTATTATTTGTTAATTAATTATTTCATTGTAAAAAAACTGCAATTATTAAGTTTTTTAAAATAAATAAATTAGTTAACAAAAAAATGTTTTAAAACTATGACACAATCGATGCCTTGAAAATATTATGGAGAATTCAAATATTTTTTCAAAACTTAAATCAGAGTATTCTTAGGAACAGTACATCTGAAGTAGAATGAGTTATTTTCAACAAAAAATACGTAGGTGAGAACACATTTTTATCATATCAAGACATCAAAAACAAAAAACTACTGAACTTAAATAAAACCAAACACACCATTGAGAGTTCTCCAGATTCCATACTGACAGACTCGACAGATGATGCCAACGCAGAGAACTTGTCTTTAAATTTCTTTGCTTCTTTACTCGATGATTCAACTTTAAGTCTCATCATTGCTCTGTCTATTGGAAGTACAGACTTTATTAACTGTATGACTTCGAGAGCCTAGATATATAAATATATACATAAATAAATAACAAAGCTAACAGTTTTAGATAATTATACTTAAGTATTTAACTTTGAATTAGTAATTTTACTTTATATATGTATTAATAGGACGGCCCCAAACGTAGCACAGTAAATAGTATGTATCGACTTCTCAAATCAAAACTAATAGAAAATATAATTAACCAATTTGACTAAATTCCTTTTCTAAACCAATGCTAATAAAACCTAGCCTCAAACAAACTTCAATACCAAAATATTTCATCCCTGCTTTCCCACCCATTCTCAATACTATTTTCCTGATCAACTAAACAGGAAATGAGAGACAATGTTTTCAAAATGTTGCTAGGTGTAAACAGGTCTTCATAGGTCTTCAGTCATGTGATACAAATAAGAGAACAATAATAGATAGCAGGCGAAGGAAATCCCTCAACATAGTAAAAGGTCTTCTTAGATAAGCTTTCAAGCACATTGTTATTGAAAAAAGTAAACAGAATAGGTAATTTGTAATTTCATCAAAACTCCTAACCAACAAAATATGTTTAAAAAAGAATATAAAATTTTAGCTTATAGCTTCAAAAGTAAGTATGATGTTCAATTACAACCTTTGCCATCTTGGTGTCGGTATACACATAATTAAATATAAATTGCTGAAAGAAAATAATACTCTCAAACCTAGAAAAAACTTGAGCACTTATGGTTATATGTAATAAAATAATAATAAAAACCCTTAAACATAATAATTATACACTTATAACACTTAACAAACAAAAAAAATGTTGCTTATAACGTCATGTAAAATTAATACTTACTTGTTGTTTTGAATTTCTATTAGGTTTTACTGAATAATGCACGTCTTTCATAGCTTTTTCTACCATTGTTACTGAATACGGTCTTTTTGTTTCAGGATTAACACACTTATCTACAAAAAATAAGTTATATTCGTTATTGTTGTCATTTTATACTTGGCTAAAAAAATCTCAAAGGTTATACCAGCTACAATTGTGGCGATATCCTTAAACGATGCATCCAACTGTGCTGATCTTTCTTTATCAGATATTTGTAATTCTCCTTTTTCTAATATATGCTTACAAACTTTAGTCACATCATCAGTTTCGAATATCTTTTGTAAGTCTTCTTTTTTGGCTGCCTGTCCTTTAGAGACATTAGTGAATACTGTATGCGTTTGTAAAACTTCATCTATATCTTTCTCTCTGCAAATCGCAACGGACAAAATAAGTTGACTCTTTTCATTAGTTATTTTTTTTTACAATACGTACATCCCATTCCTCCACGAAACGACCTTATTTTTATAACATGCTATTTCGAAACGTTTGCCGCCTTTTTTCATACGCACAACGGCTACGTTTGTTAATCTAATCTGATTAGTAGGAGTAAATATTTTCGACATTATTTTAATTTATTAGAACAACTTTTTCTACAACTAATAAGTAATAACTTGTTTTAAATTTAATTAAACATAATATCTAATATCAATTATTAACAGTGAGTGATTGTGCAATGTGAATGATTGCATATTTTTCTTCTGTATAATAATATCACAGATAATTTTATCAAAATTATAAAAATGTGCCGTTTTAATGATAACGTTAATCCAAAAACGTTATATAAAACCCTCAACCATGGTTTGAACGACCTAATGATGTATGATAATAATATATTAAATGTCTAGAATTAGATAAGAATTAATTTGTTAATTTAATTTGTGATATGACCAATAAATAAAAAACCCACCAGAATTGTAGCATTATATGTTTTTCCAATACCAGCCAAATTAAAAAAAAATTACTACCGTTTTATTTGTTCATAATATAAATTTAAAATCATGTCAGAAGTAACTAATAAGAAAAAACCTTTCGACAAAAAAAAATGGCGAACAAAACAGTACAGCAAAAAACAAAAAAGTAAGTATAAAATTAATAATAATCACATATACGTATAAACAAAATTGAAGTTTTTCTGTTTGTCCGAGCTAAAAAAGTTGTAAATCAGTAACAAGGGCTAAATTAAAGTTCTGAATTTTTTTATTTTAATTATTCAGTAATTTAAATATAATATACCTTAAATGTGCTTAGTAACTTGAACTAAGTATATTTATACGGTTTTAACTTTTGTAATAATATAGGCATATAGCTCAATATGAATTTAAACATGATTATTTGTGTGTGTAACTTTACCAAACATATTGTTTTCAGTTCAGGAATGGGAAGAGCGCCGTAAAAAGGCAGTAATTAAAAAATATTATAAAGAATTAAGCGAGACAGATAGCCAAAAAAATAAAAATATTTCAAATAATAATGAATCTAAATCTAGTCTTGGATCCATGAGGTGAGAATTACTGTCATACTGACTTAGGTCATTATTATTATAGTTATACGTAAAATATTTTTTTCAAAAAAACTTACTTTTTAAATAGATTTAATCCATTTAAAGAAGCTCAAGAACACTACAATAGACTTCAAGAAGATAAAAAGGCTAGACGCTTAGAAGCGTCAAAGCGAAAAGAAGAAATTCAAAAGGCATTAGAAACATATAAAAATAAAAAAAAATATAAAAACAAGAAACTATGTAAAAATACAAGAAAAGGTCAGCCAGTAATGAAAGGAAGATTAGAACTTTTGTTGGAAAAGATAGAAGCTGATGTGTGTAATAACTAACATTACTTTAAATAAAAATTGTTTTGTTATAAAGAAATGACATTTGAATTACTACAAATAATATTAATGTCATTGCATTTATTAATATTGTTTTATATATAAGCAAAGTTATAAGCTTAGTCCCTTCCTCCTCCAAATATTTCTGTAACTCGCTCAAATTGTTTTGTTTATATGCGCAAGACATGAATAGTAGAAAAGTGATTTATGTATAAGTAGAATAAAGATTTTTTTTTAACTTGCACAAAACAATAATTTTTTAAAATATAACTATAAAATAAGAAAAAAGTAAATCAAAATATTAAATTTTATATTCAATAATAAAATATTTTATAAGAAGTAAAAAATGCCACCAAATAAAAATTACGCAAAATCAAAATTCAACATATTAGTGATTGATTGTAGCATCTAAAACAATTATAAAGACCAAGTACAAATGCCAGATAGTACACATCGTTAGAGCAAATCAAACTGATGCAAATAAATCATTATTCGATTATTTAATTGCTAAATACTTAAAAAATAACTGCTAACTGGAATCTTACATTTACAAGTCCCATGATTTTTAGAATGACAACCAACAGGTACAAAAATATGCATTCAAAGTAATAAATTTTTTTCTTATATTATATGATCAGTAAAAATTTTAATAGCTTTTAAATCATTTGTACAGTACTTAGGTATTAACAAATATAATGCTATTGACAAATATGTTAGCCCAAACAAATAATATATAAATTATGTATGTTATTGTTAAACACAGTAAACGTGTGCAGCCTCTTTGGGCAAACAGTATAAAGAACTAAATGAACTTGTAACATCACATAAATACAAAAATAACAGTAGGTAATTTCATTCTATACAGTCTTTATTATGATAAATAAAATTATTTAACGCAAAGACGATTTATAATAAGATTATCATATAAACAGTGTGTGGATTTGTAGTCCCTAAATAAAAAAAAAAACAATAAGAAAAATAAGCCTACAATAATTGTTGTTTTTACTATGAGTTAAATGAGTTAACCTTTCGGTGTGGTGACAAAACTCGAAGGCACCAATTTGTATAAAATGTAGGTTTTCCACTTTTATAAATAAAATACTTCTTATATATATAAAAACTAACGTCTTCTAGGATAATGATTATTATCTCGTCTCCTGCGATTGGTCTTTTGTGATCTTTCTATATCTGCTAAATGTTTACGACGCTGGTCTTCCTTCTCGGCAATCTGTTCAGCAGACAATGGAGACCAATATAAGGTTGGAGTAGTTTTGGTTTTTCGGAATAACTCATCTAAGCTCTTCGTCGGAACTCGCTCAGGGGTCTTCGATTTAGATTTCTTACGTTTGTCTGGTGAATCTTTGCCATCTTTTCTTGTTTTTTTTTCTTTAATTTCATTGTTATCATCAGTTAATTTTCTTTTATTTGATGTGTCATCCTCCCCATTCATATCTTCCAATTTACCTCTGTCCCATTCCCGTAATATTATATTATGGTTGTCAACCTGCACTCTTAGTTTTTCAACTTTTTTCACTTTTTGCCTATCTGACTGATCTAAATACGTTCCATTTAATGCTTTGTTTAATTCTTCTTTGTTAGTAAAAACTACTTTCAAAAATTTAGGATTAGTCGACGGCCACTGGGATTCATTAAGTGCATATACTGTTTCCACAGCTTGATCTTCATTTTCATACTCTACAATACATTGAGATTTTATTGCGTCAATCCAAAATCCGTTGGGAACAATTTTTCCAGTTCTCTGTAACAAATCTCTCAACTGACCTACTGTAAACGGTCGAACAAGATTTGATATATGTATTACATTTGTCGTTGTTGTACGCTTTGTAGGCGTTTTCTTTTTGGGTTCTTTGTCAACAAGTTCTTCTTCATTTGATTTCTCAGATTTGCTGTCTTCATGCTCTGCTTTTTCTTCTTCTTCAGGCGCTTCATAGTCAACGGCTTCAATATCGATTAACATAGTATCATTAATATCCATGGCCTCTTCGTTTATGTGTTCTTCTTCAGAATCTGTCTTTTGTATTTCTCCTTCTTCCGAACGATACTCACCATTATCGCCAAAAGAATCACCATTAGATTCTATAATTGTTCCTAATGTAAAAGGACTTATCGTTATAGGTATTCTTGTTTTACAAGAACCCCATTTTCGCTTTGGATGAGTAGTTATTAATTTTGGTGTTTCAGCTAACGTTTGTTTGTCTTCCAACATTGGATCTCTAATTATATCGTCTTGTTTAACCACAAGAATGTCTGATGATTGTACATGAGAAGTTTCTTCTACTGTTTTAGCTTCTTCTTCATCAACTAAGTCGGGGGATCCAACTGTCAGCTGCACAACATCTTCCATTTGTTCAGAATCATTAACAGGGTCTGTTGTGTTCATTTCTTCTACTTGAACTTCATCAGAAACGCTTTTCTGAACTGTTTCATCTGACAAAACAGATGTATTTAAATCATTTATTACACCCTCAGTAGTTCCCGGTACTACTTCCTGAATCTGGACAGGCGGTTCTTGTGATTCCTCTGCGACAGTTGGTGATGAAATACTTTCAACCGGTTTGTCCTCAACAACAGGCTCTGGAAGTATACATTCTGAAACATTTGACTGTAATGTTGTAACTAAAGATGATTGTTCAGATAGACTGGGTGTTTCGCTTGGTTGAACTTGCATAATTTCTTCTGTAATATGTTCAACTACTTCATTAGTTTCAGCTGTATCAATGAGCTTATTAATATCAATATTTGTATTTTCTACATCTTCTTCTTGTTGTTGAGGTGTAACTTCTGGTATCATATCACCACTATCTGTATGTATATTGTCACGCTGATTTATAGTCTCTTGACTGAATGAGGACACTACCAATGAACTTACAGCATCCACTGAAATTATAAATAAGTACACAACAAACATTAATAAAGCATTATAACATATAATAAAAGAAAATAAATTTCACAAAATAGATTAAAATATTAGTAGAATTTAATTACTGTAATTAACAATTTTTTACTCGATAATTATTTTTTTTTATATAAAAGTAGCTAATTGCAACAGAATACTGATAGTGCTATCATAATTCATAACACATAGAAGCTATGCAAATTAGTTACATTTTCTAGACTTATAATAATAAAATAGACTGTTGGATGAATATATGTATGTTGGAAATCAGACTTATAAATCAAAGAGTATTTGGAAGGTCCCTAAAAACTGCTAAGTTTAGCGTACTATTATAATTTTTCAACCAATTAATTCATTTATTTGAGTTATTCAAATATACATTTTTAAAAATGAAATATTCGAATATACAAATTTTAATAACAACCTTCCATATTTACGACCAGTTAAAATGAAGTTCTTGAGTTTTCCTTTTGGTAATTAAAAAATGAACAAAAACATTTGATTGGAAATCAATAAGACCTAGTTTCAACACCTTACAAAGGTAAAAAAAATGTTGATAAAAAATTATTAAAAATAACATTGTAATTGTAAACAATATTATGTACCTACATGTAATAACATGGAAAGTATGCATCATTTAAAACAGAAGTGTTCAAAATAGTGTTGTCAAGCTATAGTTTTATAACAGTTAAATTTTAAATCAGATTTATAACATAAACGAGAACATTTGCAAACTCATTAAAAGCTGCTAAAATATTTTAACGCTGATGAAAGCAAGAAATATTACAAGAAAACTACTAGGTATAGTAATTAGTTAATTTATAAAAAAATCATAATGAATCAGCCAAAAGAGGTACATCGCAAATTTTTAATTTACTATCTTCATAACTAACTGTTGTGACATTATCTGAAATGGGTAATGTGATAAATATAAAATGATAATAAATGGCAATATTTTATTTTATCTAGGGTTTTTACAATTACAGTATTATTGCTAGAAATAGTTATCAAAATACGATTTTCAAGATATTTTTTTTCTACTATTCTTATTAGACGTTTGTAATGAAATAGTTTAATGTTACTAAACTAGTGTGTTTTGTTGGTGTTACATTATTTTATAAATGTTTTTAGTTTGTTTTTATTTTATGCAATATTTGAAAAATAAGTATTTGTTAACAGGAAAAAATGGAATCAATTATTGGTTAAATAAAAAAAAGTAAAAACAACTAATAATAGTTCTTGTTAATTGACCGGTAATAAATCTATTAAATTTTTTCTTCATTGTGTTATTTAATAAGTCCAAAAATGAAATGTTTTATTGTTTATATTAAATGCAACTTACCAATAATAAAATGAAAATTTGTATATTATTATAATGAAAACTTGATATTTTATTCAAATTTTAAGTATCAGTATAATTTAAAATTTTAACAATTACCGTACTTCTAAAAAATATCAAGTAAAACAAGAAAAAAGAAAGAATTAAATAATATATTAGTAACTAAAGACAAATACTGTATATTACAGTAAACATCAGCGCAACGCAAATAATAATTAAAAAAAATTCATAAATAACTATCCACTTGTTTAAATAATTAAATCAGTTTTCAACTACATACTTTAATTTAATACTAGTAACGTTGAGAAAAATAATATGTCTATCAAATAATATTTAAATGTATGAAGAAACATAGAACATGTAGTTTTACTTTGTTGAGTATTATAATACACATTTAAAATTGTAATTTTTTTTTTTTATATAATAGGTTATGTTGAATTTCTGATATTCATTATGTGCCATCCCGTATAAGTATATCTTATAAATGTGTGTAATATTATATCTTGTACAGATGAAAAAAAATGAATTACCTTGATCATTGGAATCGGCGTCAGTTTGGTCTTCATCATTTGCAACAGTACTTCCAAACTGTTCTAAATAGTTTGAAACACTGCCATCTAAAATAGAAGAATTGAGAGAAGAGCTTCCTGCGGCCTCTTCTTTATCTTTTTTTCCTGCTACAGCTGCATATTTTGCTTCAGCTGCCTGTTCTCTTAACAAATCTTTTGGGGAGCGCCTCAAACTAATTTTTAACTTCTGGATATCTCCATCCGATCCATTTGAGCATTCTACCTTCCACATACCCGTCGAACTATCATCATTACAATCATCTGGCTTTGGAAGCTTAATTGTTAGTGCGACCTTTTTTTCAGTCTCATCAACTTTGCTACTAGCACGGGTCTTAACTGGTACCTCATCGACCGACTCAGTTTCCGAAGTAGATGAATGCCGTCTAGTACGTCGCTTTGACGTACGCTTTGGTTTCCGACCAGTCCTCTTACTCATTTTATAAAATGTTAACGTTATTTTATTATTGCGCTATCATGTAATCACTAACTTGAGTCATTACAAATATTTACAACATAATCATCAAAAAATAACACACATGCATTATAGAACTTGGGTAAACATAGTATCACTCACAATATTTATTTTATCGCACAAAACTTACAAAAAAGTTTGTTAATAATTTTGTCCATTTATTAATGAATTTTACAGATATTTCCTTACTGAATTAAGTTTTCCGAATTAGTAAGCACCAAAATATTGTTGTACTCAAAACGAAACGGCGGCCATTTTAATCGTTTATCAACACAAACACATTTCATCGACATCAACTTTCACCACGATAAATTTTTTCCAATCAAATTAAATAAAAATATTATGACTAGAAAATGTAGAGAAAACCAATTTATAAAAAAATTTTGTCCAAGTCAATAGCAAACCAAATTAAAAACTTAATTTAAATTTTATAATTTGTATAGACATTTTAAAGTCGTATTGGTTAAGACAAAATAAGTTGGTAACCGTGTAAATGACAGTTGATAACTGTAATCTATTATGATTGGTTCACTGACCATTTTATAACTACAGCCAAGTAGTAAGTAGATACTAAGACTAAACACGAAAACATGAATAACAGCTAACAGGCAACAGCTAATGCAGTATAGGTACTAAAATCACAATTATTGTATAATTATTCATTAATATTTAATTTTATTTGTCAGACATGATTTATGTGTGTAGACGTTACACCTAACCATCTTGTATAATTTTGAATTTTAATTTATAGATTCATATCAGTTGTAAAAAAAAAATACTAGAATTTATTTTTTAATTTTCATTAAGTAAATGTCATGACGTATTTTTTTAATTTTTATTTATTTTTCAAAAAAATACGTTTATAATACTTACCTATTAGGTATGTTATAAATTAATACTAAACATTTTATCAGTCGACATTTTTTATTTTTTAATTCAGCTCACATTTTAGAGGTCATACAATTTAAATTGCAATATGTTGTATTGCATTTTTTCTATGATTTAATTTACAAAGAAAGAAATTCTATACACGTTTTAACTATCACATTTTGTTTTTATTATTAGTTTACATATTAACTTATTATTTACATATTATTCATTTATGTGAATATACTTAAGCGGCCATACTGATGGAGTTTACTTCTTAAACTGATTGTCTTACTTCATTCCAGTAATTTGATGGTAGTTTATATAGGTTTTCCTTTGGTTAGTAATATCTATTTCTATTAACTACTATGAACATTAAAATATCTCTTTGGTTTTACTTTTATATTTAAATTAAATACATATCTTATGTAAAAATAATCCAAGCTTCTCCCTTCAACTTTATCTTAATCTTTGGAAGTTCGAGCTTTATTAAAACTCTTAAAACTCCCTTAGAATTTCAAACCTTACTTGGTGACTGTGTCTGATTGGTTACTGAATTTTTTTGAAACCTGAACTAGTTTAAAAGGATTTGATCTTCCCCAATCCTCCTCCCACTAGTTGCGTCAATTTATGTATATTTAATTTTACATAGTGAATAAGAATCATCGATTATTATTTTGAAATAATATTCAATCCTAAACATTTTAAAATTCGTTTTATTATTTTTAGATGCATCTTCACACAGAAGAACTGTATACTATACTATCATGAAATATCAAAATCAAATTCAAGAAATTTATAAATTAGCTAAGCACAAAACTCTAAATAAATTATCACAAACAACTAATACTAAAGCTGAATTATACAATAAGCTTGCGACGTATCGTCCTGATTATGATAAAGTTGTATCGTGGTATGAACGGGTGACAGGCTTGAGAGAAGTTCGAATTGCTCAGGATAGAGTATTAGAATCCCAAAAACAATTTATGATTGCCCAAGACAAGAGGAGGGAAGCATCAGTCGAGTTAAGAGCTGTTCAAAACAAACTCAAAGATATTCGTAATGAACTTCTAAATACTTCAAGATCAGAAGACAGGTATATTGAATTAGTTACTCAAGAGCATGCATTATTAAAAAATGAAAATATTATAGTCGACCAGGTCAGTATAAGTGAAAAAGAAGAAAGAGATAGCTTCATATTGCTTTCAACTACTCTTAAAGATAGTCATGATCGAGAAAGAATACAGGCTGAACGGACAAAATATGTTTCAATTGTTGGATCCATATTAGGTACAGTTATTGGTATAATTGGAAGTACTATAATAAATGCTTGGAAAATGAACGAGTTTAAACGAATGGTCTTGGAAGCAAAATTAGATACATCCAACTCGTTACAGACTGATCAAATAAAAAATTTATTGTTACAAATACAAAGTCAAAATAAAACTGTTGAAAAACAATCAATACAATTTCAAAAATCTGATGAAAATTTAGAAACTAGTTTAAAATTGAATTATACTAATCGCGATGTAGTTGTATTAACGGCTATTAATTGTACAATTATAACAATTTCTGCTTACATTATTTCCAGGTTTTTTTGAAATTACTTTTAGTCTCTTTTAGTTAAATTTATATTATTAATTGTTGATAATTTGTATTTAATAAAAGTGTTCCCCGTATGAATTAAAATATTTTATTTTTTGCTTAATTATAAATTACTGAACATTTTGTAGCCAACTCGCAGTATTTTAATTAATGATCAATGATTACTGTTTTTAAAAATACGCAATGAGCTACTGTGATAAATTAGATAAATTATTTTAAACCCTGTTACCAATTTTCTATTCATAGATTCATGATAATAAATGATATAATTTGTACATAAGTGATAATTATTATTGTAATAGTTTTTTTACAAGTATTATAGTAGGTAAAATTAGTATTATATGCATTTTAAAATATTGTAGTAACGTAATTCATATCATAAACAATACTAGACATACTTTTTTTTGTTGAAGTTAATATTTTTGTTTTCTTGAATAACATGACATGACTTGATGACTGATAAGTATTTTTTTCAAAATACATAATTGAAACTAATTGTTTTACCTTGATAAAAAAAATATTACACTTCAATTTGTTGTAGGTTTTTTTTTAAGTATGAAAAGTCAATTCTTGAAGTACAGACTATGGATATTATATTTGGCTAAAAATGTATATGAACAGATTTTGACTACAGATTGTAGCAATTTTTTGTTTTTTTAAATAACTATTTTTGTCAAAAATATTGTTATTTTAGGTTTTAACTATTATTGATACATCAAATGGACAAACATTGTGTAGCATTCTATTTTTATCTTAAATAATTATTAACGAGTTTTTAAAAAATTTAAGTATATATTTTTAGTTTGTCGACTTGATTAAACTATTTTTAATTATTATTCAAATTACAAAAATGTAAACTACAAATTTTGTTGAGAAAAACCAATTTTTAAATTTACCTCTTCCCTTAAAATACCAACAGAGAGAGATCTAGACTGTAGTAAGGTATCCAAGAGGTATACATTTTTAAAAACTAAAATTAGATACCTCAAATGAAATTTGTAGGTAGGTCTTTATAATTTACAAAGATACATAGGTGGTGGTATATAAGGTATACTGGGATTAAGTCACTTACTAATAAATAATACTTGACAAAATAAAATATAATATGTTAAATGATCTCCTAAAGTTCCTTTATAATGAATGAAAAATTTGATAATTTATTAATATAAACAGGACGCTACAATTCACAAACCTTAGATTTAAAAAATTAATGTATTTGTGGTGTATAGGTCATTTTTTTATAGCATGTATACAGAATGTCTCACAATGACCTGACAAATGACATAACTATTGTTGTTGTGAATATTTTTAAGATTTTATTTTTTATTATTAATTTTTTCTGATTTGTGTTATAATCACAGCAGTTTGTAATACTTTAACTGTTTTAAGATAGCCGTTTTATTAAGAATAATTTGCTGAAAATGTTGACTGGTGGACAACTAGTTTTTAGTACCGTTTAATCGGTTTAATAAAAGATATGTTTTAGTTTAGGTGGAAACTGATTTTGGAAAATATAGGCTATGTATAGTTTATATTTATGAAACGATTGGTGAAGAGTGTTGATTGTAATATTGGTCGTCCACGAAACGTGTACTAAAATAATACCCATTAATTAAAATATAGCCTAGGTACCCATTGTGTTCATTTACATATTATATTGTGGTTTGTGGCGTCCTCTAAAAGACAAAGGCCAAAACATAATACGTACGGTATTGTATAGGTACCTCGGTCAAGCCCTACACAGCAACCCTGGTTGTCAAAATATAAGGCATTATGAAAAAATCAATAAAGGGGGTGGTTTAAAATATTCATTTTATTCTACATTTAGGTAAATACGTCTGTATTTAGTTTATTGTTAACTCGTGAATCTGTCGCACTGCGTGCGTTTGTTTATATTTTAACGCGATCCCAATATTTTGCTTTGCACTTTTTAAAGAATACTATTTTAATATTAAGACACTGTTGTAAACAACAGTTTAAAAAAAATTATAATACTTAAAATACTTGTACTAAACGCAGTGTTCATTTTGTTTTTGTTTTTACAACGTAGATTTATCCTTTTTAATAATTGTTTATCTAGTTATATCTTGTGTTCAATCATCAGAATAATATGGAATTCAAATTTAACATTGACGATTTAGTCCAAGAACCAATATTGAAAATAGATTATTCTCTAACACCAGTCGGCTATGACAATGATGCCAAGTATAATAATTATATTTAATATTAACTTTTTTTTTTAGATATAATAATTATTTTATCTTTGTAAAACTAACACCGTTATTTTAAATACGTATCAAAAATAGTCTACAAAAAAGAGTGGCCATGATTATTGATGAAATGGGCAAGGCGTCTGCGAGGGCTCAAGATTTGAAAATTCCCATCACTACGGCTGGAAAATTAACCAAATCAGATCATACAATTTATCTAATGACCGAACAGGACATTGAGAAGTATGTGTATATTTTAACACGCTAAAATTGTATTTGATATTCATGACATGTATTAATTAATTTGCTTTAATAATTTATAGTGCATATGTTGTTGTTGGAATTTTGAAGATGGGCTGGAAAAAATTATATCTTTTTGATAAAAAGGGCACTCGTTCTGAAGCTTTGGTATACTGTTTACTTGACTTTTATATTCATGAAACCAGACAGCGTCAAGGTTATGGCATCAAATTGTATGAATATATGTTAAAGGTGAATTTTTAAGTAAATTTTAACTATACTATAATTATAGGTACATGTATTTTAATATATTATTGCTTTATTTTGTTTGTTCAGGATAACGAGTTGGAAGCAAAACAGTTAGCAATTGATAAACCATCGAGAAAAATGTTACAATTCATGAATAAACATTTTAATCTTAAAAAGTTAGTTGATCAGGGCAACAATTTTGTCATCTTTGAAGAATTCTTTGATAATCCAGGTAGAGAAATATTTATTATTGTAACACATATCTAGGTACATTTATTAGGATTCTGTATTTAATTGTAATTTACTGTATTTCTTATATAATATATACTATACAATATTGCATTTGAAATTTCAGGATTAACGCAAACAAAAAATAAATTGGACAGGTAAAAATGTTTTTTGTATCTGTCAACTTTAAATTAATTTATATTGTTAATGGTATCAAAAAAAACTTAAGAATTATAGCACTTTTTTTATGTTGTTTATTGCCAACCACCTAAGTAACTGCGGCTTATATAGTTATTTGTTAGTAAGCTTAAAAATGTGGTTGGTGTATACAATAACATATTAACTTTTTATGTTACCAACGTTTTTTAGAAATTAAGCACCACATTTTAAATCTTATAGTAACAATATTTTTATAATACTATAAATATATATATATATATTTGTTTATTTTAATTTTAGTACAAATGGACACCGAAATAAAATTATGATTGGACGGCATGCTGCTAACAAGCATCACGACAACATGTCAGATGTAATTAGGGCAATTTTTATTTTATATATTTTATAGTTTATCTATTTATACCAACTTTATATTTTTAGATATTACACGGTGCAAACAGCGCAACCCACGTTAATGACAAATATGTTGCAAACGCAGATATGTAAGTATAAAAATGTAATTTGTAGAATAATGATGGTTTAACTACTTATAATACTATGTATTAGTATAATAATAAATGTGTTATATGGTTTCCTTTTGATAGCGTCAACAACAAGTTCAAAGACAACACGCCTAGTTTCGTCACAGTTCTTCCGTCTGAACAGCATACAAATTCTATAATTAATAAAGTTGTTCCGCCCAAATTAGATCTTAAATTTCACCATTCAAGTTTATGGTAAAATCATTTTTGGAACAATAATTTTTGCAACAACGCCATTTTTTTATTGAGAAATATGAAATAATATGAGCTTTAATACTTATCTGACCCATATGGATCATAATAACTATATAATGGTTTTTTAACTTTTGTACACTAGTGATGTAAGTATAAAAAAAAATTCAACACTGATTACTTTTCTACTTTTCCAAATTTAAATGATTTATAAATATTATACATAAAATGTAATCAAATATTTAAAAAATATCAAATTGTTATGACATTATAGTTAACGGTAGATTTTGCGGCTATGACCTAATGACCTTATTATAGTGATTAATAAAATGAAAAATAAAACATAACATTTACAGTTAAAAAAAAAAACAATTGTTCTTACAAGAATACAATTTAATTGCTTGTAAAATATTTTTCCAACTTGATAAGTATTTTATTAATGAAAGTATGTCTTCAAGAAGCGCACAGTATTTATACTAGTCAACCCCCCCCCCCCACAATTATATTTATATAATATTACGTATTTCTAAATTTGTAAGTGCAATAAAATATAATTATTGTATCAAACGAGTTTTTAGTTGAGATAAATCCAGTTTTTACTTTGTAAATTGCACTGAAATCCAAATTCGATAGTAAAACTATTATATTTAATTTGCTCCTATAATTCAGTATGCATTCATAACTATTCGCCTCTCGACACAGTCGGCTTCCGATTTTTGTTATATTTAATCAAATCGCTAAATAAATAATTTATTATATACATTATTTACATTTTTGTTACCATTTATGTTTTGTTATTTTGTTGTACCTTTATTTAAAAATTAATTTTTTTTTTTACCAAAGTACGCATAATATTACCGTATCTGTGATTATTTTTCTTTTTTCAGTAGTCTAATTTAATTAAAAAGAAACTTGTTCTTCCCAAAAACATTTTATTATGAGACTACTTAGACACATTAGCAATTGTATAAATTAAGATCATCTTCTCCCTCGAGAGTCTGAAGTACTTATTTACCATTATACAAGTTATGCCCAAATATTTTATGTTGATTTATGCTTGATGTTACCTACCTTATTAAAAACAATTATGTAAAACATAATTTCCTTGTTTTTTTTTTTTTAACACATGTCAAAAATATTGGTTACCTGCATTATTTTAACTATCGCTATATTTATTTATAATAATTGCCTTAACTAGTCCAAATGATGTATTCACACGACTTTATGTACACGGCTTCATTCTTACAAAAAAATGTCCACGTACATTTCCTAATGTTAGTGAGTTTGGAGTCAATCTGAAAATGTAATTTTCGATGTTAATATTATGCGAAATTAAGCGGATAGTAAAATTAGATTGTTTGATTATAAGGATTTTATCTATAAATGTAAAACTTACAAAACATAATTAGCGCATCACTAATTGCTAGATTTAACTATAAAAGCTTGTAAAATTTGTAACAATGTTTTATTTGTAGCTTGAATTATTGAATATGAAAATATAAGTATTTAGTCTTTACTACACTACATAAATATAAAAAAAACATATAACACTTTCTTAAAATTGGTATTTATTATAATGACCTTCTAATTCATAATTTTATCCTTATATAATAATATGTTAAATTTTAAATTTATGGTTTACTATACATTATTGAATGATGGTTTTTTTCAATTTACTATACTTATGTGCCCTCGAAACAACCGCAAGCACGTACCCACTATAATTATGGTTTATGTCTATATGGAGACACACTGCCCGCTGGTAAAATCCACAATAAGCTTTCTCCGCTTCCTAACAAAATTAAAATGAAATTACTGCCAAGTGCGATATAATATTATATATCTATTATCTACTATAAAAGCCAAAAGGCCAATTTAATTCCTCTTAGGAACAACTGAAGTCTGAATTAATACAATTACTAATGTCAACTTCATATACCACGCCATTATTCATGAGGGTACCTATATGTTATTACGTAATAAATAATTAAATTAAAATCGCTTAAATAAAGGGAACACGCTCTATGTGAAGACATGTAAAGAACAGCATACGTAATTTTTTTTATTCTTATAGTGTACACAAAATTCAATTATATTTTGTGTAAGTAGTTTTCTATGGAGTCTTCAGTTATAGGCATTTATTAATTTCATTAATTATGACAGCTAAAGGCGAAAGCTTTTAGGTCTACAAGAACACATATTCGCGGTGATGCACATTATAATGTAAACTGAAATTTCCTTTATCTGAAATATAATAAAGTTCACCATGGCCGAGTGGAATACAGGCCATATCAAACCCTTTATCGATACGAAGTTTGGAGTCTACAGTTTTTCAAATTTTTTGTTGTACTTAAAATACCTGTAAAATGTATACAAGTACATTGAAAAACATGTTATACGCGTCACAGCAGTCATTCTCATGTCAGTTTCAATTTTTTTTTTATTAACATCAATACTATGCGACGTTACAATTTAATTTTGTGAACAGAAAATGTGTTCAATACCCGAATAGGAAAAATTAAATAAACTGTTTTAGCAACTTCAATTTCAATAATAAATAATCAAGTTAATTTCAATTACCTTTAATAGTTTATTTTTGCCATGTTTTCGAATCAATATTGAGTTTTTGATACCTACATAATTGCCGCTTCGTCAAGATATAATAGGCAATAGCATAGGCATGTCTTAAACTATTTAACCTGTGTATTAAGCTAAATGGGTCTTTCATTGTAAAAGCGGCGTAACTCCAAATTTTTCAAATATACACCCTATTTTTGCTTAATAGAGTCGCATCATTTAGTCATGTCTTTGATTATTTTTAAATTCAATTACATGGAAATAATTCACCTTTACCGTGAACGACACAAATAACGAGCTTTTTTGACTAAATGTTACTCCATTGTGCAAAATATATTATGTATATTTTAAAAGTTTGGAGTTACACTACTTTTACAATGAACGACCCAAATAATGGCGAATAGTGGCACAAAAACAATACTATTATTGTATACACTGTCAGTGTTTTTTCGTTTTCTTTAAAAAAATCTATAGTCGTTTGTCTTGACAGAATAATCAGGATTTGGCACACGAGGGGTGTTAAAAAGCTGGTTTTTTAAGCATGTGACCACAACTTCTCATTTTACACGAATTTACATTTTACCTAAGCCATTACATCGAATTGTATACATTTCGGAGGAAGAGGAGGCAACTAACGTCGTAGCCCTTCGTGCGCGCCACCATTAAATTACTTATTAGGGCCGCAAAATGTTATACCTGAAGGTACATTTTTGATATCCTATAATGATATAATGTTTGTATAAACATTGCATGAGCGAGTTGCGACATATCTCGGTGTTACAAACGGTATTTGTTAAACAATACAATGTTTATTTAAATTTTAAGCCAAAATATTTTGTAAATGACTGTTTTGGTGACAGGCACCTATTTAAGTACACGAGTGACTGTTTCAGCTGGATAAATGAATAGTGTTCTCACGGTCCTCGTTCGCTCGCGCTTTATTCATTGTTCACAAATCACACTTAATAGCTATTAAACATATACATAGTTAGTACCTAGGTAGTCTTATGTATTATGTATTTCTATTGACTACCTGTCAATGTTACAATAGTGACCTTGTACTTTGTGGGTACTCTGCTATGTATAACTTGTATGTTGAAATTATGTTTGCTAAAAATACAATTTGATAGTCGTAAGACCTCTTTAAAGACGTATTTAATATATATAAAAATCATAGTATTGTTCTTACTTCTTATTGTTTGCATTTTGCAGTTAAACGCCAAGTTGTACATTATTAATTATGCTGACAAATATATGTATATCAACTATAGTTATTGGATATCGTTAAACAATATTACACAATCCACGGTTCCATTTTTTTTTTTTTGAAAATCCCTGTCAAGAACTGTCAGTTATAATATATATTCCATACCTAATTAATCATTATTTTGTATAACTTACGGTGAAAAAATCATAGATGACAATAATTATTGACATGTTATAAAAATTATACATGCCAATGTATAATAGTATTAAATTTGAAATTACTCACTAATTTTATACTTATAAGAATCCTTTATAAATTATATAGAACAATTATTATTGAGTTTAAAATTTCTGTTTAGTGAAAAATGTTCGAACACGTAGGGTCGACATTTTTATTAAACATTTATTAGTTAGGTACCTACAATGCAGGGGAACTTTTTATTGTAATATTATACTTTTTCATATTTTAAAATCAATGGTACTCAACAGTAATTTTTTTGTCGTTGACTAAGGCAATATTTTTGTAAACTTTCCGAAACAATAGATGGTTTTGGATTATGGCCTTTGGTCAAAATTATTGGTCTCATATTGTCATTATTATTTCAATACAACTCATTAGATGTACTATATTAGAGGCCTTCAGTGCAATAATGGACTAAGCCACAAACTCATTAGTGGAAAATTTAAACTCAGCTTCACATTTCACAGCTCCGCGTCAAATTGCTGTACTATGTACCTATTTTCTTTTATTAACAGAAGTAAAAAAAAAAAAAAATTCTATAAAAAAAGTCCTGAGTTATGACTCATAAGTACGTCATACACATCGGACAGATGTATGTACATACATTTTATATGACATCCTAACAGATCATCGCGGTACACACTACACTATATGGTATAATACATACATTGTACATAATATATTTTTTTCACTATTGTCTTGGGTACTTTTTTTCTCCAGCCATTTAGTGATACAAACGGCCAAATAATATAAATTATAAAACTTAAGGAACTAAACGCGTCATCCTTTTCTTTCTTATTATTGTTTTTTTTTTAATTTTATTTAATTGAAAGAGTGGCCAGTGTAGCCAGTCAGCAGTCGGCGTTAACCATTTTATGAGTGGTCACCGCTTTGTACTACATTTTAAATTGTTTCTTATCGCGGTAAGCATGTATAACGGTAAAAAAGGCACGACGAAATGTAAACGGGTAGGTCAGCAACTACCTGTGATAAGCGCGTGATTCTCGGCGGCCGCGTAGTTCTTGCGGGAGAACACCGGCGGCCATATTGAAACTAATGATAACACGAGTTGTTGACATACCCGTTGGTTATGCCACGGCAGGTGGCGGAACGGAATACAAACATTGCAATGTAGTGCTCAATGTTTATATGCCGTAAGCTGTTAAACGTTGCGGTCAATTTCACAATTCTCAATTCACTTCCATGTGCTATTGACATATTTCGCTGGTTATAGAAGTAAGTCCTTATTAGATATCCAACGGTGTTAATGTAACACAATAATATAATATTTAATGTTTTTGTATTTTATTCGTTTTTGCAGTAAACATTACAAGCAGTAATACATCGTTACTATGGAGTTCCAACAGTTTGATTTGAGAAAAATCGCCCACGAACAAATCGTGAAAATTGACAATAAATTGTTGCCTGTCGGTCAACAAGATGATCCAGAGTCAGTATAAATTTGTTATTATAATATTGTAAATTAAATTTTAGAAAAAACAAATTATTTCTTTTCCCTACAATGTGCTTCAATGGACCAACTTGGGCGTACGTTTTAATTCACATATTTTGACCGTTGCACGAAACACTGTCAAATATGCCCATAAAAGGATATCAATAATATATTCTTTTTTTTTTTTTACATGTAATGCCAAAAATCTTGGGCATTTTACACATTCCGTATTTTATTTATTATAGATTTTTTCCCCTTATACTGAGTGATTTTAATTTGAGCTATTAATTATTTTAAAAAGAAAACATAAAATTTACATTTATAATGTAATGAATAGCTACTTATATAGCTTTTTGCTCATTTAACCCCATAATGACATATTATTTTTTATTCATTAAAATAACAAATAAATTGTATTATATTTAACCGAAAACAATTAAATACTTCTATGGTTTTCATCCTGACTTCAGAATCACTGGATTAAAACCTTAAACATACGCCAGTCGGAAGCAGGAATTTAAAATGTTATCAAATTTACACGAGGAACAAAATAACTTTATTTGTTTTGTGTATTTTTGGAAAATATGCTTTTAGTTTATCGTTTAGGTAAATTAGGTATGCCCCCTCCCCCTAATTTTCGCAATTATTTAATAACTATTTTCATTTTATTTCACTGATATAACATTTAAAGTAAAATATTTATTAGTGTATGATTATTGAAAAAATAATTGGTGAATATTATGAAAACAGTTATTGAAATAAAATTATTGGTTTTGTATTATATTTAATTAAATTTTATAAAATTAATGTTTTAAATATTGCCATTTTTTTTTTTTAATCTTGATTTTATAATATTATAGATTACAAGCTGCTATCTCAAAAATATTAGATGATGTGGGATTAGCCTCGGGTATAGCTCAAGATTTAAAAATGCCAATTACGTCTGCTGAAAAATTGAGGCGTTCAGATCACACCCTTTACCTAATGACTGAAATAACCTCTGAAGGGTAAGTCTGCTCTTGATTAATTTAATTGAAATATATTTAAAAAAAAATGAAATTACAGTAAGTTTAATACATGTATATGTACATGTTTATGACTTAAGTTAAAATTCCTTTTGTTTTTTAGGCATCTCGTTGTGGTCGGATTATTAAAAATGGGTTGGAAAAAGTTATATTTATTTGATAGAAAAGGAAAACGCACCGAAGCAATGGTATATTGCTTACTTGATTTCTATATTCATGAAACTAGACAACGTCATGGCTATGGAATTACACTTCTGAATCATATGCTCAGGGTAGTTAAATTATTAATATTTATGGTTATTGAAAAGAATGATTATATTAATGATGATTATTGCAATTTTTTTATTTAAGGAAAATCGAGTTCAAGCTAAACAGTTGGCCATTGACCAGCCGACTAACAAACTTTTACAGTTTATGTGGAAACACTTTGGCCTATCTAAACTGGTGAATCAGGGAAATAATTTTGTAATTTTTGAAGAATTTTTCGACACACCGGCTGGTATTATAAATTATTTTTTTATTGCACTGATTATTATTATACTAATATTATTTGTTCACTTTTATTCAGAATCAGATATAAGGGAACACAGCGAGGTTGATAATCGGTATTTATGCTTATTAACTAGTTTATTTTTTTTTTAACATAAAAAGTAATACATTTTTCATTGATAATAGGTCAGGTGGATATAAAAGTCAAGCAACGTTTGGTCGGCACGGTGCCTCTAGGCAGCAAGATTGTATGGCTGATGTATGTATTATAACAATAACTAAACTTCAGTGGAATCTCAGCAATATCAAATTTGTTAATAATAATAGAACCCTTATAATTTCATATAGTATACTTACACTCAATGTATAAACATTCTCAAATTACCAAAAATAATGTGACGTTGCTTGATCAATGGTGTTATTAAATCCTTTGTAAAAGAAATATTCAAGCAATACTTCAAAGAAAGACTAACATACACACCTAATTGTCTTCCAAACAGATTAAAAAAAAAATATATGTTTTGTTTCTAATAAATAAGTTTAACATCTCATTTATGAAGGCTCAAGGCCAAATTTTAATTTTTTTTATCATGCATTTATAACATTACTTTTTTTTATAATTTTTCTAGTTAATTTTATTATAACTAAATTAAAAGTCTGTTTTTATTCCCCATAGATAAAGTTGTGAAATTTCTGTTAAAAAAAAATTAACTTTGTTAAATTAATAATTAAGAGAATGACAACTTCAAAAGTAATTTTTTATCAAACTGAGTGATAACTCTGAAAAATATTAGATGTCCAACTCAAAATGCCTACTTAATAAATTTATATCATATATTGCCTGTTTTTTCCTCTTAATAAATAATTCTTTTTGTTCCTCTAAATATTAAATCATTGCTCTTCGGTTACGAAACAAACGAGAAAAGGGTTAGACTTTCATTTCGTTTTGAAGCAAAATTTAAATTGAATTTACTATTTTAGTATTACTCTTAACTTCTTAATTATATTAATTATTTTGTTTACAGATACTATATGGCAATAACGGAGTTGGGCATACAATTATAACTGAAAAGAAGTGAGTTTAATTTAAAGTTCACACATTTAATATATATCCATGTAGTTACTGAAAAATGTCATCATTTTATGTAGAGAAGATAATCAGGTCGAAATTGAGGTAAATAATCAAGCTAAAGCCGCAAGCCAAAATCATGAAGTAGATGCTAACAGCTATCATAAAACTGATGACAGCCAAAGATTAGATCTCAAAAACTATCACACTCAACTTTGGTAAATCTAAAGAGTTTTAATAGGTGGCAGCTTTTTAATTTAATAAAAAAAAAAAATTATGTAGATTTTATATTTTATAATATACCTACATTATTATTATTATATATTATAAAACCTATTATTAACTATTATAATATGTTTATATTAACACTTAATCATATACTCAACTATTATTTTGTAATGACACTGTGATCACTTTAAAAAAATAATACTAAACGTTGTTTAAGTGGGTTATTTGTCTGTGTTACTAATTGGTTATTATTTAGTATATGTTTTATTTTTTTATTTTTATAGCTACATTATGTAATACGCTTCTTAGTTAAGTACTTGTCATTTTTTGTATAATATAAACATCACAGAATTCCATTTTTAAAATATACTATTAATAAATATCAGTAATTATAATAGCTTATTATTATTAAATAAGTTACGGCTTTTATTTAACACAATTTTCTGGTAATATATTTTGGTCGTTTATTTTTTACTTGTTTCTAAGTACCCATCAAAAAAGGCTTTCCTGATTTTTTTATCTCAACCATAGAATATTTGAAAACGTTAGTCATTTTTTCAACTGCGGGTAACCTACTAAAAAGGGCTACTTATTATATTTTAAAAATTCATACCTTGTTTCCAATTTGAGAAAAAAAAATAGGCTTGGAGAAAAATGTATTCGACAAATCTGAAACAAGAAATGTGAAATAATAAGAATAAAAAATGATGTGTATTTGAGTAGTTTGGAATTTTAAATTCTTTTCAATTTGGTACATGCATTTTCACTTGTAAAGTGGTGTTTGAATGTATATGGTCAAGAATTAAGTATCGTGTAAATGGACAATGTCTGTGTGTAAAATGGGGTTGCCTGTTGTTACATTAGTGTTGCCTGTTTAAATTTATTTTATCTAGAAAAAAAAGTTGGAATATTTATTGTTGAAAAACTAATTTCCTTATTAGTAATCATTATAAATTCTAATTCTTTGAACTAATTGTATTTTTCAGATTAAATCGATTATCACACATGATTGTCATTTAGATAGATTTTATTCAACAACAATATTATAATTAAAACAATCAATATAATATTATTTATTTAACAAACGTACAGTATAGATTAATAATTATATATATATATATATATATATATAAATATACTAATAATACATTTTTTATGTATACAAATTATTCCTATAATTTGTATTCCCGTTACAAAATTGAACTCTCATGGTCTATAGTTTAAAACGATAATTTAATGATATTTATAAACAAATAAAAACAAACCCTGTTGCTAGAAAATTATACATGATATTCTGCACCTTCACTTCTGTCATCAGATATGAATGAAATCATGTATTCAGCAGTACTTTGATCAACCCAAATTAAATTTACAGCCAATGATACTAAATATCCAACTAAACCTCCAGCTAATACATCCAACAAATGATGACGTCTAAGCAAAATTCTGCTAACAGCCACAGCTAAGGCCCAAACGAAAATTATTATACTTGTTAATTCATTCAACGGGTACAATAGTGAAAAGAAAAATGTAATATAAAATGCGCGGGACACATGGCCAGATGGAAAAGAATAACAATCTGGTCCAATTGTCATCCATTGATAAGTTGGATTGCCCACAGGCCGTCGTCGTCTAATGAAGGCTTTAAGTACAGCTACCACAAATACATCTATCAACAGACCTAAGTAAAACAATAAACTATTAGTTTTAGTGATTACAAAGCATATTATTATTTATATTTTCAACAATAATGTAAATGCTAAAAAAGTATACGAATACTATTAACCCTAATCAATTTATTAGAATAAAAAGTAAGAAGCAAAATATATTTATAAATAATTTAAAAAAAAGGTATACATTTTTTTTCTTTCTTTAAAGTCATTTCTAAGAAACTACCAGTAGCCTAGAGTCTAACCTGCAACTTTATGTAACATTATATATATAATTATTATAATATTAAATTTAATACTGATAATTAAATTAAATATAATACAAGCATTAGATATTGGTTCAATTTACCAATTAGGAAATTCACTTGCATTTGGAACATTGGTTGTGACCAAAAGACCCAAATAGATGTCATCCAACCAGCAAGCCATACAATTCCGTGGCACGAATACTAAAATATACATAATAGATGTTACATTAATGAGTAATTAATACTAGTACTAGTAATAATGTGATTTGAGTATAATGATGATAAAAAGTTACAAATATCCTTAAAAAATTATTGAAGCTTGAGTGGGGTATTATATTTACACTATTTACATGACTTGATGTAACTCCCACATGGATATCTTGACTAGTTTGCCAACATTTCGGAACACTTGTACGTTCCATCTTCGTTTGCGAACTAGTCAAGACATCCAAGGGGGAGTAACCTCAAGTCATGTAAATAGTGTAAATACAAATATCCTTCCGTGTAGATATATTTACAAACGACCTACTTTGATTTAACTCATTTACATAATAATACAAACTATCTACTCATTTAGATTTTTTTTTTGTTTATTGTCATATAACAAAGGAAGACAAATATTAAGATTTTCAAAAGAACTTTGGGGGAAGAATTAGAAATGCCTTAGCACTTTGGTATTAAATACTTGGTTTGTTGACAGTGCAATGAATATTATACTAGCTACATAGTGTTATTAATGGCAATAGACAATTTTATTATAAAACTTGCCTCTAATCCTTTGTAATATGTATTAAACTTGCGCGATGGTAAAAACTTGGAAACTGAGTTACATAACACCGAAGTAAGTTTCGAATCAAAATCTAATAAACTGCTCAAAAAAGGTGGTACATTCCTCTTTGCTGACATTTTTTCAGTTAATTTTTAAAACTGAAAAAAGCTTGTTATTTTTTAATATTGAATATTGATTAATAAGTTATACGTATCAAGTCAAGTAAACATTTATAAGAGCTATCGCTATCACAGATTAGATAATCTGTGCCGCTATGGTGTTATCAATTATTATGTTTATATGATGGCGTTAAAAGGGTTTGAAATTAAATCGATTTGAAACTTCTTAAAACGGTTTAGCGTAATATCTATATATCCGTTAATATGTCCTAAATATTAAATATTTAAATGGGTTTAGAGAAAATTTTGTAAACAGATTTTAATTAAACGTTTTTGCTACATGACTTAATCATTTGTTCTAAGAGATCTGATAAAGGTCATAACATTCAATGATGATAATGTTTATATTTAAAATTGGTTATAAGTTATAACTTATCAAGAAAGAGGGCCGATTGAAACCGGAAATTTGTATTTAAAAATTGCTGCATTATTATTGTTGAATAATATCCTTCAATTATGTTCAGCTGTAATATTTTTGGCGTTTCGATACCTAATAAACCTGCTGGTAATTTACTAAACACAACATAACATAATATTATTCAATTAACTAATAAATAAATTTATTTTTATTTTTTAATCCATCAATTAAATCAAAATTAATTCTTACCATTATGTTGCCTGTGGAAAGTTCTAGTCCTTTGCAAACACAATCGCCAAAAAATAATGCATTTGTTAGCACTCCTTGTCGTAGGATGGGTCTTAAAAGAAAATCCATAGGCTCTCCATTGCACTCGGAAGTTATGAAAAAAACAAAATGTTTGAATGAAGCTAAAACGGCCGCAAAAAATTTACTACGTGCAAGTATCCAAATAACAAAAGGATCAAATTCTACAAATTTAACAGATAGCAGTTTGACGATTAAAAGTAAAATAATCGACAAACAAAATAAAATTAAAGAACTCGGAACAGAGCTAAAAAACAGTGAACAGGTTTGTAACAATTACAAAACAAATAACAATTTTAAATAAACTATACAATTTTTAACCAACAGTAAATGTATTTAAAAAATAAATTCTATATTTATATATTATTATGTGTGATTTATCAAGATGAGTAATTTTAATGTAAAATGTATTTAATTTTTACATGCACATTACAGTCTAAACTAATATAGTATACAATAAAAAAAGAAATAGAATCTAAAATTTGTTTTACCAAAATGTAAATAAATAAAATAATATTTTAATTTATTTTCAGCATAATTTATTTAAAATACAAAAATTATCAGAAAAATGGTTAAGAGTATGCCAAGAAGCCTTAAAATCACTATTTGAGAAATTAAAGGACAGTTCAGATTTCAATGGCCATTCGTTAGAAGATTTAATAAAGCATCTGGGAATTGATCCCATTCTTGTAAAATATGATTGTCATAGTCAAGATTTTATCTAAACTTCAATTTATTTTAATTTATTTTGCACATACTTCCATTATATTATTATATGTATCATGAATTATTTGTTAACTTATATTATTAGAGAAGTCATAAAAATTCTGTAACCATCTAAATTAACTAATTAATGCTCTTTCATTCACTGTAGATAACCTATTATAATTTATGATCAACAAGTTTCTAGTTTAATTATTTATAATTTCCGTCATGTCTTGTACACTGAATCTTTTATATAATTAAAAATATATTACTTATATTTTTGTTCTAGAATAACTAAGTGTCTCAAATTCAACCAAGTTTTACTATTTTTTAAGAGCCATAGCTCATACTATAGGATATAATTACTACAATTACCAGTTAGATGCAAAAAGTTGTAGTTTGGAAGTACGCTTATCGCCTGACCCGAGGCGTTTTTTGGGAGGTTTCTTGACAATATTTCCTCATTTTAGGGTTATCACATCTAAGAACATTTTACCTCCCCCCCTTCCAAAGTCACCGAAATCATTTACATAAAATATAAGAATTTGCCTTTTCCCCTAAATAAGCAACTGAGCCTGTCACAAATTAGAGACAATATATTGAGATGGGTTGGGTAAAATTAATTTAGAGTTAAGAGTAGACCGAATAAAAGTGGGTCGATGTTTCAAATAAATACAAGAAGGTACGTGTAGAGAAAATATTTATCTCCCCGTTCTTATATGTATTAGTTAAGTGGAGAAAAAAATATGGTTTACTCCGTAAAATGAAAAATACAAGAATAAGAATGTCATTTCACATTAATTATGTATTTGGTTATCACTTATCATTAAATTTCAGAAAAAAATGATAAGAATTAGTATAAAATGATAACAAGGGACGAGTCACGTGTGCGGTGTGTAATAACTAATGTGTATTGTGTACTGTAAGATTTGAAAATAAAATAAGTAATTATCTAATAAAACTGTTAAGAATTAAATGTCACAATTTGTCTATTAAGTATTCACTCAGTATTAAAGGTATTAAAGATTTGCGCTTGTCAATTATGACGAGTTTTATACCATGTGTGAAATGGGTAAAACAAGGCGCATCGTCAAACCAAAATTCGATTAAACTTACACAACAAGAACTGAAAGAATTAACAGCAAAAAATCCTAAAAGTTCAGAATCACACAAGAAAAATGAAGAAGATTATGATTTGGAAAATTATGACGAAGAGGAGATGGATATGGGTGCTATGGACGTTAGAAATTTGGCCGTGTATAATGACGTTGCTGATGACTCTGACAACGATAGTGATAAATTGGATGAATTACTTAAACCTGATGACAATCTTGTACTAGTGGGCAATGTAAAAAAAAACGAATGCTCTTTAGAAGTTTATGTATATAATAACAATGATGAAGATTTCTATATTCATCATGACATAATTTTAAAACATCCACCTCTATGTTTGGAATGGTGTGGTATACTAGGAAACTTCTGTGCCCTAGGATCTATGTCTGCAGTGATTGATGTTTGGGATTTAGATTTGATTGGATGTCTGGAACCGACAGTTAGGTAAGTATATTTATAATAATTAGCAATAAAAATCCTAAAGAATAATTAATGTATTATTTGTTCCATTTTATAGACTTGGTAGAAAAAAAAAGAAGAATCCTGAAAAGAATTATGGGCATACTGATGCAGTTTTAGATTTATCATGGAATGAACACTTACCACATATACTTGCTAGCGGCTCAGTAGATGAGACTATTTTATTATGGGACCTAGAAGCAGGAGAACCACATACACAAATGGAAAATTTCGGTGATCATGTACAATCCTTGAAATGGCATCCTTTTGAATCCCAAACACTCGCAGTTGGATCTTCCAATTTGTATGTTTATGATTGCCGCACATATGATACATATATAGATTGGGCCATAAAAGGTAAAGTAGAAAAAGTCCACTGGGATCCATCAAATGGTTTCTTGTGCTATGTGGGCACAGATAGAGGTAGACTTGTATGTTATGACTGTCGCTCCGACAAACCAATATGGAAATATAGGTGTCACGAAAATGAAATCACTGGTATTTACGTTTGGGAAAACTATATTGTTACCTCATCAGCTGACGATACCTTGAAAGTTTGGGACAAGGAAAAGAAGCATTTAATTAAAACAAGAGAATTTACAGGTGCATTACACAGTATAGACGGGTGTATAGATTCTCCAAATTTAATAGCCGTTGGAGGTAGTGGTACTTCTAAATTCCAATTGTTTAATATTAATGATTACAGTTTGAAAACTTGTTAATATTTGTGTGTGTTTGTTTATAATAAATTGTAAAAAATGATCCTTCTGGTATATTTATTCTATTATATTTAGTTAAGTTTAAGGTCTATAATTTTAAATTGTAAGTTGTTCAACAAGAGGGCTTACCTCTGCTGACAGTGGGTAGATTGGAAATCTCTATTTTTGTAGTACAATAATTATTGTGTTCATTCATTACAATGGTTAAAACCTAAAAACTCTAGATAAATACGAATTCAGACAATATTTGAAAATATCAATGGTAACAATTAGATTATAAATAATTTAAAAGTTATTAATCAGAAATAAAATAATGTTGGACCCCAAAGATAATTGTATTCAATGCAGCTACTCGAAGTTGAGAAATCTATCAAAATATTTAGATAGTAAGGTTTTAAACTAAATTGCACTATGATTTTGTAAAAAATAGCAGCTATTATAAAATCACGTCTTTAACCAAATTTTTTCTTATTTGCCAAATCTTGCATAATAAATAATTTATAAAACTACATTTTTTTTTAACTTTCCCCCTTTACTCTTTTGTCTTTAAGGAGTAATATGTTTTTTTTTGCATACTGTTTTCGGATAATACAAGCCTAGAATAGAATAAGGTCACTGAAAGTGAAATCTGTGGACTGTGTTCAATTTATAAAATATAAAATAAACTATAATGAAGTATATAATTTACTTTAAGTTTTTTTTACCAAGTACATAATTTCTAAATCAACAGCAGCTGCGAGGACAAAAAACAAATATGTATTATAGCATGAAATATTATCATACATAATTTTAAATACATTACCGACTTATTAATTAATTCATATTATTTAAAATTTATTATTATAATTGGTTCTTACTTAAATTCGAAAATACATTATAATTATTTATTTAAAATCATGGAAACTGAAATATTTTTAAAGCAATAATTATTCCATGAATTCACCTTGGTTTTTATCTTTTATCAATACACGTGCAACAGCTACCATGCTGCGGTCTACCGTTGTCCGCCTGTGTAGTGTGTGTACACTGTACACTGCCCGATTGTCTTTTTAAAAATTTTTAACAGTGAATTGTGTACAAGATCTATACTATATCATTTTGTAAATACTCTGTAGTCACTAGTCAGTAGATATTTCAGAATTTGGACACGGTCGTCAAGAACATAAATTATTTATATAAGAGAAGTTTGTTCGTTCGTTCATTTATAATGTTTTACCACGACTATTACAACGTTGATCCTTTCAAACCGGTAAACGTGGAATTCAACATGTTCACGTTAGAGGAAGTGAAGAAATTATCAGTGGCTCGTATAGATTCACTTATTTCATTCACTCCGCTTGGTGAACCAGTTCAGGGTGGGTTATACGATATCCGGCTTGGACCATCCTTTATGGGTGGAGGTAAATGTATGACATGTAATCAAAATAACCAGTCTTGTCCAGGCCATTTTGGACACATCGATTTACCTTGCCCTGTAGTGAACCCACTTTATTCCACTGTGGTCATTCACATATTAAAATTATGTTGTTTGTCGTGCTACAAAGTCCTATTACCTCGTCAGAATACATTGTTATTAGCGGCTCAATTAAAACTTGTGGACAATGGTCAACTAGTGGACGCCTATAATTTACAAAACGAGATCAATGGCTTAAATGACGAGGATGATGAACGACACCTATCAACTGATGAGATTGAAGGAGTTATTGATTTGTACTTAAAAAGATATATACAAGAGGATGAAATTGCATACATGAAGAATGCTGATGAAATACGACAAACTTTTATAGCTGAAACTCTTCATCAAGTAAGTAAAATATTAAGTATTTTACTTTTTAAAATTTAAAATTGTTATATTTTTGTATTTCATCAATTACATAACCTGGTTATAATCATACTATTAACCTTTTATCCATTTGTCTTCAGGTTAGGTATTAACACTTGTTTAATTTATGTGTTGTATAGGTCACAAGACGTAAAGGTTGTTTATATTGTAAAGCACCGCTTTCAACAGTTTCTAAATCATTTTCAAAAATTACTATTTCCCATGGGACCAAATCAAAAAAAGTTAAAGGATATTTGTTTCCACAGGAAATTAAAAATCTCTTAAGGCAAATATGGATAAATGAAAAACATTTTATAGCTGCACTGTTGCCGGTTTTGGCTAGAATCGACAGTGAATACCCGACAGATGCATGTTTTATGACAGAAATTCTTGTCACACCTTCTAATTTAAGACCAAACCTTATGGTTAGAGGGAAAATAGTGGAAAGTCCTAGAAATGCAACTTATAAATCAATTATAAGAGAAGCTAAATTAATACAGTATATACATTTATTACAAGATTACGCTGAGGGTCAAGAAATTCCAGAAGATATTATTGAGCTGGTTAGAGACAGCCAGGGACAGGACAATGTAGAAAAAGTACAAATAGGTATGCACAATTTACAAATGTGTGTTGACGCCCTTCTTGATGGAACGGCAATAAAATCACTAAGTTCGAAGGAATCGTCAGTTCGAATTGGCTTGAAACAATTACTAGAAAAAAAATCTGGCATAATTCGACAAAATATGATGGGCAAACGTGTTGATTATTTTGCGCGGTCTGTTATTACACCAGATCCTTGCTTAGATATTGACCAAATTGGTATTCCAGTAGAATTTGCTAAAAAATTGACTTATCCTATAGCTGTGACTGACTGGAATATTAAAGGACTGCATGGTATTGTTTTAAATGGTCCAAATCACTATCCAGGTGCTAACTTAATTGAAAGTGACGTGGGAACCGTTAAATGGTTGTCTGCATCAAACAAGTCACGTCGTGAAGCTCTGTCTAAAACACTTTTTTGCCAAGGCCCGAATTCCAGAGGTCCTCAAATTGTTCATCGTCATGTCGTTGATGGAGACATGATGCTTGTCAACCGACAACCTTCTTTGCATAAGCCAAGTATAATGGCCCACAGAGTGAAAGTTCTAAAAGGAGAAAAAACATTACGTTTACATTACGCTAATTGCAAAGCTTATAATGCAGATTTTGATGGTGATGAGATGAATGTGCATTTGCCCCAAAGTGAGTTGGCCAAATGCGAAGCACAAGAACTCGCTAGCGTGGTTAATCAGTATTTAGTACCGCGCGACGGAACTCCACTGAGTGGCCTTATTCAAGATCATATTATATCAAGTGTACGAATGACGATTAGAGGTCGTTTTTTTACTCGCAGAGAGTACATGTACTTTGTTTATCAAGCTCTAAGCTCGTTGGATCAGGATATCAAAACTCTTCCACCAGCTATCCTTAAACCTGTAATGTTGTGGTCTGGAAAACAAATAATATCCACATTGATTATCAACCTGACTCCTGTTAATCGTAAGACATCAATTAATTTGTTTTCCAAAACTAAACTGGAACAAAAGTTTTGGAAAAACCCAAACAACTTTGAATACCCCAATTTACTTTCCGAATTTAATGTAATTATACGTGATGGTAATTTAGTATCTGGAATTCTTGATAAAAATCATATCGGAGCATCTACCTACAGTTTAATTCATTGTTTTTATGAATTGTATGGGGGGAAATATTCTTCAAAATTACTAAGCGCATTCAGCAAATTATTTACCGTTTATTTACAATTTGATGCATTTACTCTTGGCGTGGAGGATATTTTAGTGACTGATAAAGCTAATTATCAACGAGAAATGGCCATTAACGAGTCAAAAAATGCTGGAATATTAGCTGCATTAGAATCTCTTGGTATCGAATCCTTACCTGAAGACGTTCTAATGAAGAAGTTGGGTGAATCGTATAGTAAAATTGCTCATTTTTCATCATTGGTCGATAGAAATTATAAAAAACATCTACAGCCATATACCAATAAAATTACCAAGTCATGCGTCCCGAAAGGTCTGCTTCAACCATTTCCTGAAAACAATTTGCAACTCATGGTACAATCAGGAGCCAAAGGATCTACTGTAAATACTATACAGATATCTTGTTGTTTAGGTCAAATTGAGTTAGAAGGAAAACGACCACCACTCATGATATCTGGTCGCTCACTACCAAGTTTTCCACCGTTTGATACATTACCCAAAGCTGGAGGATTTATCGGAAGTCGTTTTATGACTGGAATTCAGCCTCAAGAATTTTTTTTTCATTGTATGGCAGGTCGTGAAGGTCTTATAGATACAGCTGTAAAAACCAGCAGAAGTGGTTACTTACAGCGTTGTTTAGTCAAACACTTGGAGAGTCTTATTGTAAACTACGATATGACTGTCAGGGATAGTAATGGAAGTGTTATTCAATATTTGTATGGTGAAGATGGTTTAGAAGTTACAAAAAGTAGTTTTTTTAACAAAAAACAATTTGGATTTTTGGTTGATAATATAGACTCTTTTAGAGCGTTGAAACAAATTAGAAATGACGAGTACTATAAAGAAATAGATGATAGATTAGAAGAAATCAAATCTGCTATATTAAAAAAAAATAACGAGAAGAAATCCATCAGGGAGAGTGGATTTCTGAGTTGGTGTAAAGAAAATTCTATAATGAAGTGTGAGAAAAATGATAAGATAAAAAATGGTCGTTATAAAAGAGATACAAAATTATGTAAGAAATGGAATGAATTAGATGATGGTGTAAAAAAAAAGTAAGTTGACCGTATTTAAAGAATATTATTCATACTTTTAACATGATTTTGTTATCAATAGTTACGCTATTAGTACTGGAAAGATACCAGATCCAGTTAGTGCTACTTTTCATCTGGGAGGCCATTATGGCTTGATTTCAGAAAAAATGGACTTATCGATTGATGATTATTTTAATGAAAAGTATGTCACTATTAAAATAATAAAATTGAGATTTTTATTTTATTAACATTTTGTTTTTAGTGAAAATGATCAAAGTAAAAAATTGAAAAGAAATGCTAAAGAGTCTATCCGAATTAAAGCGATGGCAGCCACAGCAGCAGCAGGCGAACCAGTCGGATGCATTGCTGCTCAATCTGTTGGTGAACCGTCTACCCAAATGACATTAAACACGTTTCATTTTGCTGGTCGTGGTGAAATGAATGTAACGTTAGGTATACCAAGACTGCGTGAGATCCTTATGATGGCTACAAAAACCATTAAAACTCCTTCAATGGAGATACCGTTTATACCATCCGAAAAGTAAAATATAAACTTTTGTTGTCAATTGTCAATTATTTAATGTATTAACCACAAATTATTACTTTATCTTATAGTATTGAAGAAAAATCAGAGGCATTAAGAAAACTCATGTCTAAAATAACTTTGAAGGATGTTCTTTCTAAAATACAAGTACAAGAGAAAGTGAAATTAAGACCAATCAGACATACATGCTACGACTTAATATTGCATATATTACCGCACCGATGCTACGAATCAACTACTCATGTTACTCCTAAAACAGTAATGAAGTTTATCAAGCATCAATTTCCAATAAGCCTACATAAAATGTTTGACAAATACTTGTCCAATAATTTTAGCGGAGAGTTAATTTCAGAAGAAGCTAAAAGAGTACTAAAAATGAACAGGGAACATTTTGATGAAGACAACGCGTTGGTTGGTATAATTAATTATGTTTGTATGCATAAGCCAAAATACTTTGAAATTTTAGTGGCCATATTTTCATAGTCTGATAAAATGTTGGACCATGTGTTACATCTAGATATATTGATGTTATATATAAAAAAAAATCCATAGTAAAGTCAATATTGAAATGATTACCAAGTTTTTAGTTAAAAAATAAATACTATGAAATCAGATATATTTTTATTTTTCTATTTTCTTGGTATATTTTTTCTTTGGACCGAGACTTGAGTTTCATTCAATTTAATTTGTTACAGTATTTTATTTAGATGTAACTTACTGCAAGTTTACTATTTACAATAAACTATTTCATATAGGATGATGTTGAACTTCAAGAAAGTAAATCCAAAACAATCAACAACGATGATTCAGACAGTGAATCAGAAGCAGGAGAATTTGATTCTACAGCTATGAAAAGAAAGTTTGTACTTATTACAGCAACTATTATATTTATTGTTTTTGCATATATCTTAAATGTTTGAAATTAATTGCGTTTATTGGGGCTTGGTGGTTTAGATATAAATACCAAAATTTGTTAAGAATAAAAACAACATTATTGTATTTAATTTATAAAATTCGCCAGTACTTAAGTATGGCAGAATATTTAGTTATTTTTCTCGTTCTTATTTTTTAGAGCACAGACGGAAGAATATGATTATGAAAAGGATGAGGACGATCCACCGAGTGATGGAGAAATTAAAGCTAATGACAGTCATAGTGAATTTGAAACTTCAATCAAGATAGAAAACCATTTTGTGGATGATGAAAATAACGTTTTGGCTAAAGAAAAAAATGTTCAAGAATTGAAATTGGTTAAAAATGACTTTTCTGGTGTTACAATTGACGTTTATAAGTAATACTACAGATTTTAAAGATATATCACTATGATAATTAGAAAAAGTTAATATATTTATTATTTCAGAACTGATAGAGAAAATCTGTTATGGGCTAAAGTCAGAGTGACCGTGCCCTTAGAATTTAAAAGACTCGACTTAACCTCGTTGCTCAAAGACTTAGTAGAACGTGTAGTAATACATGAAATACCAGGTATTAATCGAGCGATTTTAACTGAGGTAAACAGCAGGACTGTGTTGAAAACTGAAGGATCTCGAGGAGTAGCTGAACTATTTAGATTTCAAGATTTAGATCTAAATGCGTTATATTGTAATGATATTCAAATGATGTTAAACACGTATGGTGTTGAAGCTGCTAATAGAGTAATTATTAATGAAGTTAAAAACGTGTTCAAGGTTTGTTCAATTTTGAATCATATTGTATAATAATATTTATTTTTGTATCAGTTTTAAGTTGTGTTTAAATTTCAGGTGTATGGAATTAATGTAGATACTCGTCATCTGTCTCTTATAGCCGATTACATGACTTATGATGGCACGTACAAACCATTAAATCGACTTGGTATGAATGGTTGTCCATCACCACTACAACAAATGTCATTTGAATCTACTTTAAATTATTTAAAAAAAGCTACAGCTCGAGGTCTAAAAGATAATTTGGTATCTCCTTCAAGTTCCCTGATTGTTGGTCAACAAGCTAAAATTGGAAGTGGACTTGTCAAACTATTATGGCAATAAAGTTTTTCTGTCAAACGGTTAAAATTAATGTATTCATTGTTATTTTTATAAAAGTTGTATAGTTACAATATTGTTATTTTTTCTTAATTTGAATAAAAAAAAATGTTAAAATATGTACATTTGACATTGTAGAATAAATCAGCCCAATAAATCTAAAGTTGTCATGCAAACGAAAAAAAAACACAATTAAACACATCAGTTCCACATTGAGTCTAAAAATAGTGTAATTGTGCGAAGATAAAGATGTTTTTTTAGTGTAAAATAGAACTATACATTTATTTGAAAATGTTATGTACATCGGTTAATTAGTATTTCGAAATGGCCTTAAACAATAAATAAAAAAGTACTTCCAATTGTGAAAAGACTGAAAACAAGATATATTAAATGTTTTTCTATATCTAATTTATGTAAAAAAAATTAAAATGGTAGTTTTTTAAAATTCAAATATAAGAGTAACTTTAAAACGACTAACAGCATTCATCACATACATATTTTGAATTAAAAAAAACTGTGCCAAATAAAAGTGTCAAGTTATATTTCTATTTTGTGTTGCTTGTATTTTTGTTGACATCTCAAGTGTCTCGTTAATAATATAAATTATTCAAATCTCAATTTTTCCAAGTATAATGCCAAATGATTTTCTATATAAATATTTTATCAACACATAGTGGACCATAGACGTTTACTTTTTACCTAAACATTGTTAAGCTTCTTTAGCTATTTTTTTAAAGTGTTCGGAGATGTTTTTAATACAATATTACAATTTTCTTCAAGAATCAAGATATAAAGTACAGAATAGACTAAATTTAGTCTATTCTGTGTATAAAGTATAAACTTTACCTACCCATGTCATATTATAAAATATGGTTCAATATACATTATACATTATTTTAGTTTATTCATGGATAGTATACCGTGGTAAGTGATGTAAGGTTGTAACCAAAATTTAAGATAAAATGAAATATTATCATAATCTATGATACCCATAACCGAGTTCATGTGCTCAATTTAAATATGTAATAACATAACCTTAGTTTTCAGTAGTTGGTGTTTTTTACGATTCGTTTGGTATTCGTTGCCGTCTGCCGAACAAATGTTATTTGAAATTTAAAATTTTTGTATATTTACCGACTTTTGTAGCTCCTATTTGTTGCACATATTGGTTTACTTATAAAAAGACAAAAGTTCAACGATAATGTCTGTGAGCGCACTTACAGTGACCGGTTCCCGAACGTCGGGAACCCCCATTCGAACTCAAAATGTGATGGCTGCAAGCGCTATTGCGAACATAGTAAAGAGTTCTTTAGGTCCAGTTGGGTTGGACAAAATGTTGGTAGACGACATAGGGGTAAGAGAAATATTTATGTTTTATCACTGGGTCCATACATCCATTTAACCAATTATGCGACCGACGGATAACCGAAAAAGCCATTTTTATTACCATTAGCATTGTGAACAGCTAAATTTAAATTATATGAAAATAGTTATAGCATTTAAAACATCAAAGACCTAACATTCAAATATATTTAAGACAAATGTTCAAATTCGCATTGGAATGAATGGTTCAGTCTCATGTGGATGAGGCGGAAAGCCATAGAAAGATCATTATTTGAACATGCATTAAGTACATTTTTATTAATGAATACAAATTTGTTTGGTTTTAATTGCATCCTTACAGCAACTTAAAATATATAATTATTAAATATTGATATGGGAGACAATAAACTTGATTAATAATCATGATAGTAAAATGTCAATGTGACTCATTTACCTACTAGCTAAAACCCAAATAATATATTAAACTAACAAAAATATTATTTTGTTTGCTCAAGGATGTCACAGTTACCAATGATGGTGCAACCATTTTGAAATTGCTAGATGTTGAACACCCTGCAGCTCGAGTTCTTGTTGAGTTAGCTCAATTGCAAGATGAAGAAGTTGGCGATGGAACGACTTCAGTTGTGAGCATAATTTAAATCATCTCTTTATATTATTAAAAAAAATTTAATGTGTCTTTTATTTTGTTAGGTTATAATTGCTGCCGAATTACTAAAAAATGCTGATGAGTTGGTTAAACAGAAGATTCATCCAACTTCTATCATCAGTGGTTATCGTTTGGCTTGTAAAGAGTCGTGCAAATACATACAAAACAATTTAACAGTTGGCGTTGATGATTTGCGTCGTGATTGGTTGGAAAATGCTGCTACGACATCAATGTCTAGCAAATTAATTATGGCAGATTCAGAATTTTTTTCTAAAATGGTTGTAGATGCTTGTATGTTAGTTAAACGTCCATCTGACAAACGAGGTGGTGTATCTGTTCCTATTAAGACCATTAATGTACTTAAGGCTCATGGCAAAAGTGCCAGAGAAAGTCTACTTATTCAAGGATATGCCTTAAATTGTACTGTAGCATCTGAGGCAATGGTGAAAAAAGTTACAAACGCAAAAATAGCATGTTTGGATTTTTCTTTGCAAAAGACTAAAATGAAATTAGGTGTTCAAGTTATGGTGAATGATGTTGATCAACTTGAAGCTATTAGACAAAGAGAATCTGATATAACAAAAGAACGGGTACAGAAAATATTAGCAACTGGGGCTAATGTCATTTTATGTACAGGCGGTATTGATGATATTTGTTTAAAATATTTCATTGAAGCCAAAGCATTAGCTGTACGTCGTGTAAAAAAAATTGATTTGAAGAGAATCGCTAAAGCCACTGGTGCAACTTTTTTGACTTCTTTAACAAACATGGAAGGAGAAGAAAGCTTTGAAAGTTCTTCTCTCGGTGAAGCTGCAGAAGTTGTTCAAGATCAAATATCTGATGACGAACTGATTATTGTCAAAGGACCTAAGGCTCAGAGTGCTGCTTCAATGATATTGAGAGGACCCAACGATTTTTATTGTGATGAGATGGAACGTTCAATTCACGATGCTTTATGTGCAGTACAACGTGTGCTTGAATCTAAATCGGCTGTGGCTGGCGGAGGTGCTGTTGAAGCCGCATTATCTATATACTTAGAAAACTTCGCAACTTCTCTAAGTTCAAGAGAACAATTGGCTATTGCAGAGTTTGCACGTTCTTTGCTAGTCATCCCTAAAACTTTGGCTATTAATGCTGCCCAAGACGCCACCGAATTGGTTGCTAAATTGAGATCATACCACAATGAGAGCCAAACCAGTAGTGAGAATGATGTATACAAATGGTATGGATTGGACTTGGAAGAAGGTGAAATTCGTGATAATTTAAAAGCTGGAGTTTTAGAACCAGCAGTTTCTAAAATTAAGTCGTTGAAATTCGCTACAGAGGCTGCAATTACCATTCTTAGAATAGACGATATGATCAAGTTAGACCCGGAACAAAAAGGAGGACGTGGTGGATATCAGCAAGCTTATGATGCAGGAGAACTTTAAACATAATTTTAGTATTAAAATAATTTGCATAATATGTTTAACATTGTTACGTTACTAACATTTTTCAATACAATTGTATAATGTACACTGGAAAAAATTTCAGAATGTTTACATATTTAAATTTTAATCTTTATTTAACTTTCCTAATTTTTGTCCATAACTATAATTTATGGTTTCATAAAAAACATGAGTAACACATTTTTTTTAGTGTTTTTTTTATTTTTGTACAGGGCTATTTTGAATAGGTTTATATAAAAATAATAAAATTTATCATTTCTACTACACCATGTATGATTTTTTTGTCTAACAATTGAAACATTTCTTTTTTATGCAGTAGAAATTACTATTTAAGAATATGTAATAGATTTTTCATAAAAAGTATATACAGTATATATAGAAAATTAATTAGCATATTTATACGGTATCTGAATACTACTACTAATAGTTTGATTATAACCTGTTATAAAAGATGCATTTCAAATTTCCACTAATAACTTTCAATAAACGCAATACTAATTAGACTTACAAATTATAGTTTAATTTGATTCATCATAATGTTTAAATCTTTATTTTCGTATTTGTTGAATATGACAAAAATTGATCAGCTTTTTTTTGACAACAGGATGGCTTAATAAGTATCATAGGTATGATATTAACCGGACTTGAAAACACATTTTTAAATTTATATTACCGTGTAATCATAATGGAATTTCAAATAAAAATAATAAGGAGTGTTTTTATCTATCATAAAATACTTTATTTTGAAGTATTGGATATGAAATGTAAATGTAACTGCCTTATTTTACACTCTATATTCCCAAAAATAATTTATTTAAATAAACATTTATCTTACATAGATAGGTAAATCATAATATAAGTAAAAATATAATCCCATTATAAAAGTAAAAACAACTATAACAAAATATAATAATATTTGTTAGCTAAAAAGATGTTTATCAAGAAATATTACTGGCCGATACTAATAAAATTTTTTTTCAAATAATCTTAAGCTAAATATTTAAAACGTCTATTAATTTCTAATTACATACTTATTTGAATTCCAAATTAAAAATAATGAAGACGCGAGAAACATATTTAATTAATACTAAGAACAATTTTATTCAACATATTACAAAAACTGTTATTAATCAAAAATACTCTGTAGAAAAGCTGTTATAGAATTTTACAACTATAAAATTGAGTTGCATGTCAATTAAGATATTCTTTTAAGAGAAATAATTACTTATTATGAAAATTACTATACACCTTAAACTAGTTATTTTATATACAGTTATATAACCATAAAAAGCATTTAATGGTAAATTGTACTGTTTAGTTATCTAGGCTACTCTGTTTTTTTTTTATTTGAGCACTAATAAGGTTCTTTTTGCACTCTAAGTTAACTATTTTACACAACATATTTTTAGCAATACTTAACTTTATTATTTAGTAGTGATGTGACAAAATCTTTGGACGACGATCAAGAGCTAACCAAATTTTTAGTACTTTCTTTTTAAAAACTGTAGTCGATTTTACAAATTTTCAGTAATTTTATATTTAGTACAGTTTGTAAATTAAATTAAGAAGAAAAAAAAACTAAGTATATTATTAATCAATTATAACTCATTATTTGTGCCGCCAGGTGTAAATATGTCTCAATAAAAGTTGGAATAATTTCTTAAAAATAAAAATTCTGTTCGACATACAAAAAAAATTTAGATTCATCACATCACTATTATTTAATCATTAACATTATATACAGCCGGTCTCAAAAAGTGTAAGCTAATAACAAATCTGAAAAATAGTGAATAAATTCACTATGTTTAAAATAGGGACTTACACATTTATATAAATGTTTATAAACAAATTACAGTTATAGCTAAGCAAGTTCTGAAAACATTTTACAACAAAAAAAACCGAGACACTAGCATCATATTTAATGAACATTTGTACATGAAAATATATTTTTATGTTTTATAGATAATTGTTACAATAAGAAACCACATAAACAGTGTTAACATAAAAAAGGAAGGATAGAATATATTTTTACATTTATCTTAATCGTATTTATGAGCAAACAATTTATGACTATAATAATATATATCTAATAAACAATTATAGTCATATAAAAAAATTAGTAGCTTATATTTAAATTTTATTCAAATATATCAAATCCAATTTAACAATACTTTTATTAACAGTTTAATATCAAATGTAAAATTAATAAAATAAATATAACCCTTTAAAAACTAATAGAAAGTTAGTTTTGAATTTGAATTAAATATTTTACATTTTTGTTATAAGAATTTTTCTGGGGATAAAGAATACATATAAGTATATAAATTATACAATACCATTAAGTAGTTAGTATTCTATGAAATAAAACAATAGTTTTTTTATAAATGGGAAAGTTCACAAAAACGAACAAAGAAATAATCGAGAGCTACAATAATGAGATCCTAATATTCAGGTGATCTTTTAATACGTATCACCAATAAATCCCGTAAATAATAATATACTAATATTTATCGGTATATTAATATGATAAAAAAATAGTATACATTTCATTCTTACATGTTTTAAACCTTATCACTTTAAGCTTAAATAGAATACAACTTTTGCTTATTTAAACGACAATTAAAATATCTGCCCAATTAAAAAATAAAGTAAAAAGAACATAATTATTGAAATCATACAGGTTAAGCAGAGAAGCAGGAGGTAACCATATTATTAAATATAACTTATACCCATCATTCTGTCTTAGTACTATAAAGTTATATATAAAACTGACGAGACAGATTAATATACTTAGCGAAGAAATTAAATAAATACAAATATTGATGCCATTTAAAAATATATAATGAAAACAAAATGGTTAAATAACAAAATATATATAATTATTACACGTATACAATCATAACAAAAATTATAATTAAATGTTACGAATTTCAACGGGCTTATATTAAAAGATTCACCATGTATACATTGTTATTAAATGGATACATTAACAGCATAATAATATACCCAATAAAAATAATCATTAACGAAAAAATATAAAAATATGGTATATAATATTATGTGAAAAATACACTCTAAAATAAATTGTTGTTTATTTTTTATATAAAATATTGAATTTTCATTTTTTTTTAAATGTACATAATAGGCATGTGTAACAGTATCAGTAACTTATTAATAATTTGTCATGAGATTATAAAACATTTATGTATATTTATTTATAAAAAGGTACAATAATAGTTTTCGTTTTCAACGAAAACTATATCATGCACGTCGATAACAAGATATTAAGTAAGTACATTATAATTACAAAATAAAATATAATGGAGCGGATTTTCCATACAAGTATTCATTAAAAAAATGGCACACGCATTAGTTATGAAATTCCAGAAAAACCTAGTTGTAACAAGTTTATTTGAAAAACTGTTTTAGTTTTTACAACCACAATATTAATTACAAAAATATTTAGAAATTATACACCTTATGTTTGTAGTCTATTGGCAGCTAAGGCTTTTTAAAAATTCTTCATAGGACTGGTTTTTGTAAAACTTTTAAATATTAATATTAATATTATGATTTTGCATGGCACCCAAAGTTGCTAAGGTTTTCTTAATGCGTAGGGCCGTAAGTCGAGCAGATGCTGTATGATACCAACATTCTTGCATTAATTTGCTCATAGTTTGTAAACACTAAATATTTAAAAAATAATTTAATACACACAATGAAATAGCAATTCATTATTGCAAATTGCATTAGTTACTTACCGGGTACGCATTCCACCGTTGAGGTATAAGAGGTCGTTTCATCTCGGAGCAAACAACTTTGCGCATTTCATCAATTGTTGGATCTGATGGAACACTATCATAGTAGGGTAATTGATAGTCTTCGTGTATATTTCCCACATTACATCTTCTAGTAATTTCCCATAATATCAAGCCCAGTGCATAAACATCACCTCGTTTAAAGGAATCAAAATGATTCATGTTAATTGTCTCTTCCAATACCTACAAATAGTTTTATTAAAAAACATGTTAATATTTCATAACATAGCTAAAGTGAACTCTAGTAATTATACCTCTGGTGCCATATATCGTTTAGTGCCTACTCTATGGTTTAACGGTATATCTACAGTGTCCATAGAAGTGTCATAACGTACAGCAAGTCCTAAGTCCCCAATAGCACAAGTTCCATTAGATTTAACTAATATATTCTTTGACTTGAGATCACGATGCGCAATTGCTGGTTTACCTAAAATAATTAATATTACACAATTATTATTATTATTAATCATATATATTTATGCAATTCAAATCTATTTACATAAAACAATACAACTTTGTTTTACACACAACTATTTTATAATACCTTGGGTGCCAACAATTTCCATATGTAAATGGGCCAGACCAGTTGAAATTGATAAGGCCATACGGATCATTCCATTTGTGTCTACAGTAGTTCGGTTTAAGAAATCAAACAATGATCCATTTTCATGATAGTCGGTTATTAGCCATAACTGAGTCCATGTCCCATTATCTAAAAATTAAGTTAAATAATAATAATTACATTTTTTTTCAAAACTGTTAGTATTAACATAATATGTGGCGTTATAACAAAGTGGAATAATTGTTATTTTACCTTTATTATCTGCCGCAATAAATCCCAAGATGTTATCATGTCTCAACATAACAGTTTGATAAATTTCCGCCTCTCTAAACCAAGAACGTTCTTCTCTGGAAGAAAATATTTTAACAGCCACTTGCTCACCACGCCACTTTCCTTGCCAAACTTCACCAAATCGCCCTTTTCCAATGGGCACACCAAGCTGAATTTGACGAGCAATACTCCTCTGGACCAAAAGAGGCAAACCTGAAATTAGAGTACATTTTGTTATGTCTACATCTTGTACGAACTGATTACTATTTTCATAGATTAACAAATATGTTTTGTTGAATAAAACCCTTAACATAACTTAACCATAAATAATAGTAATATAATAATGAAGTGTGATAATCATTTAATTAAATACATTTTATCATTTGTAAAAATAAATTTAAAAAATTGCTTCATAAGGTGCTTTATTTCAACATATATTTAACAGATTTTTATTTACCTGATCCTGACCCACTAGTAGTCATTTCAATCATATCTCTTAGAGATACGGCTGCAGTTAAAATAGGTTGTTGGTCAGAAGCTATGTTTCGAGGAGTTGGTAAATATCTTATGTTATGGCGCTTATTTGAACCAGCCAAGAAGTTCATTATCAGCATAACCACTAAACATACAACTCCTATGGGTCCAGCTATTATAATAGCTAATTGCCATGTACCTAATCGATCTTTACTCCTGCGATTATTTTCACCATCTAAATCATCATATACATTATACATACAAGGTTACAAATTAACATCCTTAAAATAAATTAATAAAATGATCAATAAAATACGCAGTGAACTTGATCAAGGTTATTTCTTTTTTCATATAGGCGACTGTTTTTTTTAAAGAATATATAATAATAATAGGCAACAATTATTGTATGTATTCATATAGCATGTACAGAAAAAAAATAAATTCAGTGTAGAAACAAAAATAATAAAATATTAATGTTATAAATATTTTCTACAAGAAGGTAGACTATATAAATTTGATTCATTACATTTTGTGAGTACGGTTAATTAAATTTTACAGTAGGCTGCTATCAACTTCACTGTTTAAGAACATAATAAGTTTAGACACATAACATGTAAAGCTTTCACAAAAAATTTATACTTACCAGTGTAGTAATTTTAAATATACTTTTATTATAACACAAATCTATTTTACAAGCATTTTTACAGGAAATCCATGCAATGTTAATAAGTAAAGAAAAATTCTACCTGGAAGCTTGACATGTAGTGCCGGTTTCAGATCTTTGTTACAAAAGTCATACTCCTTACAACACTCAGTTACAAAAGAATCGTTATGTTTGTTAGGGTAATGACACACCAAAGGTTTTTCTCGTGGAATCACAATGAAATTTTCCAAACACCTAAAATTGAGCACACAGTTATAAAATTCAAACATGTTAGTCAACATTGGCTATTTGTTATTAGTTTTGAAAAAAAAACCTTTGAAGCCTCCACAAATATTAAAATATTTTATTCTCTAAAATTAGAAAATACAGATGACTAATGTTTGTTAAAATGTAAAGGTAGTATTTTAACCAAAATAATATTAGTATAAAAAAAAATCACATAAACTTCACAATAGTTAAGATAGGTCACACATAAAAAAAGAGACCTGTAGATTTAGCTTCAACTAATTTTGGGTACAACTGACGATTGCAATAGTTTCGATCCTGGCAACACAACATTGAATATTCATCCCGAAATTTTCTCCGAAAACAATTATTAGGTTTTTCTGGTGGAAGAAACTGGTTCTTGTTCAAACAACTTAAATTCAATCCCCAATACAAAAATTAATTTTAATCACATTTCATCGTTGCAATATAAAATTGTAAATTTATTCAAACTCTGTGATAATGAATTAAAACCATTTGTGTTATTTTAATAAACAAATTCATAAAATTATAAATACATGATAGAAAAGTGAAATAATTAGTTTTTTTTAAGAAAAAACAACTGCATAAAAAGATTGAAGAAAATTACTTGGTAACTGAAAACAGTTACCAAAAATGCCTTGTTAACTACTAAAATAGGGTTTTATCATATTTAGTGATAGTCACAAGGATGTTGCGTTTATTGAAAAAATACTTTAACCCAGTTTTGTAGTTACTACCCCTTTATGAACAGCTCTTCAGGCAACTGAAATGCCAGTATTTTTATAAACACAATATTCATATGGACAAACATAGAATTGTAATAATAACACAAATCGTAACATGAACCCAGCCCAATGACCTCAAAAGTCTAGCTCTATTAAAAAAAAAATTTTTTTATACAGTAGATATAAAAGCTTCATCAGTTACAAATTTTAACACATTTGTTACAAAATGTTGGCATAAAATAAGAAAAGCATATTTAAATAAATCAAAATAATGGAATATAAGAAATAAAAAGTATAACCTATGGAATGGCAACAGAATATAAAGATGAATTTATTGTAATATATCATAAATTTATAGATTTTTTACAAATGAATCACTGGAGGTATGGTTTAAGCAATTGTCCAATCATGTTATGATCAAAACAAACGTAAATTTATCAATTTTATGTGCAACCCAATAATACTGTAATACTGATAATATTTTAAAATATTGCTATTTGTTTCATGATTGTATAATTTCTATATTAAAAAAAAACATCCATATAGTTATAAACATTAGAGTATAAACAAATTAAATTTTTTTATTTTTCCATCACTTAAAGTCCAAGTTATTTTAATTTAAAAATTATCAAAGGAGTTTGGGAGTTGGGCAAATAGCAGAGAAAAGATTGAGATGGTTTGGGCAAACTGAAAGAAAAGAAAAAGTGAAAAATTAAAACAAAAGATATCACGGTAAAGAGATTTAGAGGTAGAGAGAGATCGAATAAGAAGTAGTAAGTGTAGTAAATAAGGTATGGAAAGGTGCGAAATGAATGAAGAAATGGTAATGTTAGATTTGTGGGAGGAAACAATTTGGCTATATTGGTATAGGATAAGACGGCAAAAAAAAAAAGATTTAAAGTTATAAAATAAAGGAAAGCTTTGTAAATGAATAATTTAAGAACCCGAATAAAGGTTGTGAAATATACAGCTGGCACATTCTATTATAAGTTTAAAAAATCTTATTCTTACAAAATTAATAAAATTCTATAAATACATAATGTTTAATGTGTTTATGTTACATAAAAGTTTATCTAGAGAAGAAATGTTCATGTATAAATTTAAGTACAGACTATATTTATATATCAAACTACAACGATTATTTTTCAAATTAAAAACACTATCAAAACGTATCTTACCTTGATGAATGAACTGTAACGCCAGTGTCTTTGTTCAGCGATACACTTGAAAAGCAATATCCATCGGTAACGCATGTGAAATTTGTATCGGGACATATGTCACAATAACACTCCAAACCTTAAAATATTAAGGACGTATAAATATATTATACTGATCAATTGTCTTCGATTAAGTTTTTCCAATAGTCAAACTTTACCTTTAACTGAATGAAAGCATAACAATAAAAAGCCAAGGGCCAGCATACACGTCCATGTGGAAGACATTGAAAACAGTATTTTTCTGAAAGCTTCGGCAACGATTTACTCAAAATCTTCCTTTCGTCGTGCTTTACAAGCACAAAGATCTATATTTTCTTCTCACCCGATAAGGGCACATGGTCACATGGACGTGTCATTTGTACTTGACTTGAATTGTTCCCAGCTAGATACCGAGTTCGAGTATTTTCCAAATGAAAAACTGTTTAGTTGACATAATATATAATCCAAGAAACGCACAAATCATAACACGCAAAACGACGAGATTCGAGGATAAAAACATAAATCTCGTAGACTAGAAATACACAAAAACATACGACCGAAAACACGAAAACCAGATAATACCAAAAATATGGTTAACCAGGCTAACCATGGAAAAAGAAATAAAAATGTATGTACCAACTATTACAATATAATCAAGATTTCAAGGAAGAAAATAATAAGTATCGATACGAACTCTAGTGTTCAAGAAGTTTACGGTACATTATAGCGGTACGCGTCAATGGTATCGCCCGTATCGATACATGTCGGATTTTTCCTGATACGTTCACTACAAAAGACCGATACTTACCGATTAAACTTCTTTGAAAATCTTGAATACCATAGAACATAGAATAGCTAAATCAGAATGGACACTAATAAGAAATAACATGTCCAGCATAGGCAGATGGTGAAATCAGACCCCGGACAATGATAAAAAGTAATACGGGGGAAAATACTCATCACACAAAAATGCGGTGGCCATCTTCTTAAGGCTATCCCACAATAATGTTACATCTATACATTATTATTTTTAGTTGTGCTGTGTATAGAGTAACACAATATAATACTAATAAAAACTCTACAAAATTGTGTCACTTTTTAGTTTACATTCAAAGTGACCCTTCTGTTTTTATCTATTCTGCGGCGAAATCACTTCCCGCCGTCGGAGGAAAAATCAGTTTGACCACAGAATAGTCAATAGATAAAAGCATATTTTCCTAAATTAGAATAGAACTACAATTATTCTTATTACAGATACCGAGTGATTTTTTTATCTTACTGTGTAGAATGTAGAACAATAAAATAATTACTTCGTATGAAATATATTTACTAATTACATAATTTAAAAAAAATAAAATGCTATATCATTAATTTTTGTAATGTAATTTCAGACGAAATAAATATTGGGAAAACTATAGGGGGTAATAAATTTATATATTGCACAAATATTCAAGTTTTTAATTAATTATTATATTTTATAATAAACTGATTTACTAACGATTAAAATGACATGTATTGCATATGTGGTATGTAGTGTTGACTGTTGACAGAAACATATCATTTTTATCATACTATTATACATTCGAAACGAAAGAATAATTCTTATTAGGGTCTATGATTGGGAATTAAGCTACACCTATGCTGAGATCCTAAATCAGTAAATAAAGTAAAATTAAACAACTGTTGAAGGGGCCTTAACACTACTATTTATTATTCACTTAAAACTATAGTTTTAAAAAAACATTTAAATTGTTTATAAAATTTACAAGGCACCGATCGTGGCACAATTTAATATTTTTTTTAAATGAACTAATTATTTCTAATTGAAAAATTGTGACTTGAAATTTGTCAATAATGTTTACAATATCAATTACGATATAAATGACTTGCAAATATTTCTAGAGTGAAGGTGCTATTTATCACTACTATAATATCATAAGAGACATTAATAGTATATTTTTTAATTTAATTTTATTTGCTAAATTAAGAACTGGACCCAAGTGCAGTTTAGTTCTCAATCGAGTTTTTCAAAACATTTACTGAAACATATTAATTATTTTGCTGAAAACAACAATGATGTTAGATTTTACCGACCGGACTTACTTTTGAAGTTATAAGCAAAAACAAAAATGTGCTTCTTTCTTTAAAAAATAACTAAGGCAAAACTACCATGACTAAAATTATCTTGAACTCGTAGAGATACTATACGATATCTATACATTACATACTACATACTATTTAACGAACTTTTAGACTAGTTCAATGGTATCTTGATTTTGCCAATGTGTTTTTGTGCCTCCCTTTGTTTCTACATTTAGGTAAATAAATTTTTACAGACTAAGAAATAACTAGTTGTTCAATTGTGTAAGTTTAGTTTTATTATTGGTTATTAGGTTCATTTGCACATGGCATAATACTTGGTTTATAGATATGAAAAAGACTAAATTATAATGTTTGTTAAAAATGACATACAAATTATAGAGCAACATAAATTATAATTGGATAGTATACAAAAAATACAAATTTCACTAGTTGGTATGAAGTCGATTAATTTAATATTAAATTAAATTATAAATTAAACAACTTGTTTGTGAACTTTTTGTTTATCACACAAAAATAATTTGGAGATATTTTCATGAAAAAATAAATAAATAAATAAAGATTTGAATTATATAATCCGATTTGTGCTTTGAAACGAAAAAGAAAAATGATCATCAATTTACATAGTTTTGTGTAAATACTTATTAACAAATAAAAATAAATTTTCAAAAAAAAAAATTTCATTTTTTTTACAATTGAGAAATAAACAAAATGTACAAAAAAAAAACAGAAAATGTTACATCATGGAAATAAGTTAAACGTCCTATTAGTCTTCATCAGATGAAATAATCACTTTTCGCTTCTTTGTCTTTGGCTCTAAATCAGATTTCAGACAAAGTAAAATTAATAATCAGAAAAGAATTACATTATTTTTAGAAAATTTAATCTAGTCGAGTATTTGTGTTTGGTTAAGGAGTAATATTATTATTTAAAACATTAAATACTTTACTTTTTTTCTTATGAACTCTCCGTTTACGGCCCGCTTTTTGAGAGTCCGGATGGTGTTTAGTTACTATAAACAAAAATAGAATAAATTCCTATGTGTCTTAAGAAAAATATTTGTAAGTGTCGTATGCTTACCGGTAATTTTTAAATCGGCAAGTCTTTCCAGTTTCACCCACGTCGGTGATAATTTGTACTTGAGTATTTGTTTGGCAATCCATTGACTAGAATCTGAGGTATTTTCGCTATTATTCACTTTTGTATTGTCAGTGAAGCCACTAGTAGTAGGTTGGTTATTGGCCTGTGTATCATCAATATTATCGCTTTCAACATTAACTGTGGCTTGACTGTTTTGTGTTTTGTTGGCCTGTGTATCATCAATATTATCACTTTCAACATTAACTGTGGCTTGACTGTTTTGTGTTTTGTTGGCCTGTGTATCATCAATATTATCGTTTTCAACATTAACTATGGCTTGACTGCTTTGTGTTTTGTTGCCACCATCAATGGCTTGATCTTGATTAATAGCCAATGAGCTGATTTCTTTTTCGGTTAGGTCCAGATGCTGTTTGACATGCTCATACCCCGAACAGACTTGAACTTCTTGTTCGGAAAATCCTGAAAACTCCTCCTTCTCGTTTTTTAATTTTACCAACTCAGCATACACTTTGTCACGATTTTTACATGTAATCGCACTTGTGGGAGAAAATCCTATAAATTCACTTGGATTGACGACCAAACTCGCAATGACGCCTAACTTATATTTGCACGGTTCAACTTCTGAATTGTTAAATCCTGTGAAACTGTTTAGTGAGGGGTTACCGCTCGTTTTGGGATTTTTGTAAATGTCGTTTGTCAACATCTTCGTGTTTGTGTGATTAATTGAAACGTTCTTTGATTCCGTAAGTGCTTCATGTTTTATAATAGTGCATTCGGATAGAATATCGTTTTTACAATTATAAATATCAAAAGACTTGCTTTTTTCAACCTTAGAGTCTTCATTAGTATTGAAATTCCTTTTACCCCAGTACAATTCACCAGCTTTTGACTTTAAAATTGGATCGGAATAACGTGATGTTGACGGTCTGTCTAAAGCCGACTCACTGAACAGTCGAACAGTGTATTTACTCGGTTCGTTGTCTGTCTTTTTTGCATCAATTGTTGTATCGCAATTTAAATGGTTCTTTTTCTTCAATGTGTGTTTGAATTTTTGTTTTTCAGTTACAACAGTTTTTTCGTCTTGCTCAGTAATTGTTTTCTTAATATCTTTTTTAATTTTGAAATTTGATGGGACGAGTTCATTTTTAGAAACAGAAGATGTTGTCGAATCAACTACATATTTCTTTTTTTCAAATGTTTGTTTTTGTTGAGAATCAGATAAACGATCAGCCGGTTCATTATTATCACATATTTTAATATTGTCTAGAGCAACCGATTTATCTTTTTGTTCAAGATGAATATCATTTGTACTATTATTATTATTTATTAAATGTTCTTTTCTAAAAATTTGATTGAATGTAGCATCCAGTTTATCTTTATTTTTCACTGTTTTTCCAACATGTTTACTTTTGTCTGAAATTTCTGATTGTTTGTCGCCATTTTGTGTGATATTTTTATTATCACTATTGCCCGTTAACCTATACTCAGTCTCTGTTTTGTCATTATTAAAGACCTCACATGAAATAGAACCCATCGCTATAAGCACTTCAGCTGCTTCTTGGTCGTCATTGGAAAACGAGCTGGACCGATAGTCATACGTTTTGGAATCAGTTTTTTTAGCGCTTGTAGACATTTTGTCATGTTTTTTAAGTATACGAGTTTTATTTTTTTTAGATTTGAAGTTTTTAGAATTTTTCATCAAATGGTCTAGAACTTCATCCATATTATCTTTGTTTCTATAATTTTTTTTAATACTTTGGGGAATCTTTGTCGTCAAAGATTTTTGAATTCTACTGCAAGTAGATTTTTGTCTTGAGGATACAACATCATCACTTTGATTACTATTTGTGGTTTTATGTAATTCCTCTTTTGTGGCCATTAGTGTGTCATTTATTACTATTAAATGTGTTTTTTCATGATCCATATGACATGACGGCCTATTGTTTTCACTTTGTTGTTCATTTGAAGTTTCATCAAATTTATTAGATTCATCAACGGGTTTTTGTCTCTCGGACTCGAGACAGTTTGAATTAACTTCATCACTGTGTTTGGATTTTAAATCTACTGTGCTTGTTACAGTGCCACTCGTACCAGATGTTCCAGATATGTCACCATTATAACTATCATCGTTGTACAAACTCGAGAATAACGGTTCAAATTCAGGAGAATCTATTTCGGCTTCATCGTTTATGTCACATCCTAATACTCGATCTATAAACAGTAAATACATGTTTTTTAAAAAAATTTGTTTTAATTTTATATTTCAACTAGAACTGTGTCGCCATTATAAACTTCACCATTCAACATAACATTTTATAAGTCTCAATTACTTTTTACTTTACTCGTAATTTTTTTTAGTTCCTCCTTGTACTCAACTTGTACTATTATAATACTAAATTTATACAACATTTTTAGAATGTTCTGAAAGTGAATAGTTTTGGTTTCAAATTCTTTTTTAAAATGTATTTTAAGTATTAAAAATACATAAAATACAATTTATCATTAGTTGATCTTATTTATTGATTGGTTTAATTATAATTAACAAATTTGGTGTATTAGTAACAAAAAGAAACATTTGTCAAGTATTAAACATAGTTTCAAAACAAGAAAATTTATTATTAATTTATATTAAAAAAAACTGATTTTTGTATTTTTTAATGAATAAACTAGGTGCTGTTCTAAAATGTTGACATTAGCCTATATTTAAAAATGTAACTGATTATTTTTGAAATTGTTGTCGATAGAGAATAATTATAATTTAAAACAAAAGAATATTAATTGAACATATTATTTAAAAAATATACTACTCACATTGCATACTTAATTCTATACATTTACTTAATTGAACTGTTGAAAAAAAAAACAATTTCTACCTCAAAACTTTGTTGAGTTATAATATTGAAAATAAGTAGTTTTACTGTACTATCATGTATGATAAAAATTAAACTTTTATCCAATACACTGAAAGAATTAAAAATTGAGATGATATAATATATTTTTGAATATGAAGAAAAATGTTTGAATATTTAAAACACATTTAAATTATGAGTAAAATCTTTGTGTTCATTTTACAAGCAATAACCCGAGTTTACTTGATAAAATGTCTACCATCTACCAGTCTACCTAAACTAGTTTTTAAAAAAACATTCTTTTGTTTTTAATTAATTTCAAATACTGAGGTTATTTATAGTTGAAGTACTAAATGTTTAATATTGCTCATTTCTGTAAATATTGAGAATTTTATATCTATCTTCACACTCAACCACTCAAAACACCCCTTTACCGTTTCAATACATTTTCTTTCATTGACGTTTACATTTAAAAATCTATCTTTTTATATCATATAACCTTCACTAAACTTCAAGTTTAAGTTTTCTGTAATTATATTTATAGTTTGAATAATACAATATATACTTACTATGATCGGAGTCAGAAGAATCAGTTATAATATTGACTAAATTATTAACATTTATACCAGACACTATACCTGTAACAATAAATACAAATCAAAATGGGAATACTGTTTATTAAATAATTTACAAAATATATAATATGGTATTGATACAACAAAAAGTATAAAAATTAATGTTAAATAAGAACAAACCATTCATTTCTTCGGTTGTGTCATCATTTGGAATTCCCAGACATTCATTGACTATAAATTTTATTTTCGTTTCAAAATTTCTTACAACACTAGTTTCAAACACTTGATTAAGTATTTTATTTGATTCGTTACTAATTTCATGACTTTCATATCTTAAAAAAAAAAAATTGTATCAAACCAAAAAATGTAGTACCAAATTGTAATAATAATAACAACATGTTTGTTGTGCTAAGTAATAAACAATATACTATTGAGTTATATAAATAAAAAAACTTTTTGCAATTTATAATTGTGATATACACTAAATGTCTTTGTTCAACGTTCAAACAAGGAGATTCCATACATTCATTAATATGATTGTAAACAATAGTGTAATAATAGAAATCTAATCTATCTATCTAGTTTAAAATAATTTTCACAGCATTCTCTGCTGAGAACTTTTTTATAAACAGATAAAAGTTATATTTTATAAACTTCCAAAAAAGTTATTATACTTTTAACCAATTCAAATGGTCATTTCATTGAAAAGACATTTGGCAGTTTATTGTAACATACATTAGAGTGATGTTTGACTAAAATATACTAAATTATTTTTTTTTATTACTAAGTTTATATACTCGGAGAGAGAAAGAAAGTATAGAAGTTTAAAAATTTCAAAGTGGGTAAAATTAAATGCCATTAAAATTTAGTTCATGATTTTTTTGAGATCAACCATTTTTTGTACTAACTTCTTTTTACTACAATACATACCCTTCAAACATATACTGTTTTAGTTCCTCTCGAATAGTATTCTTGTTTAATTCCGGTGTATATTTAAGTGTACTAAGATATTTTGCCGCAATCGTTTCCGTGAGCCGTGCTAAGGTTTGGAATCGTTTCTGAGGGTAAAAAAATATTCATATAAGAAAATTGTAATAAAAGTTAACTATATAATAAAGATGAGGATTAGCGTTAAAGGATGATTGAAATTTGAAAATTTGTGTTAAGTACAACAATGTACTAAAGACAATTATTCACAAGATAAGTTTGTTTATTATTTTTATTTTAATACATTAGATGTATAATAAAATTACTGAATTGTCAATTTTGTAATTATTACAGTCATATCAAATAAACATCAGCTATATTAAACTTCTTCTGCGAGAGATGGTACACCCTAAGAAAAAAGTATCTAATGAATAAATTTCTCTTGGGCAAATACTTTTTACTTTAAATTTGTCTTTTAATTTGGTCTACCTTTTTAAGTAAGAGATCTTGAAAATGGTATTATCTGTGTGTAGAAACACAGTTATAGATTAAGTATATTATTAACGATAGACAAAATTAAACATCTCTTTTTCTTCTACACTAGAGGCCTTGTCATGGCAAAATAGTTGACATCCAGGGAATGTGGGTATGATGGGGTGGTTTCCCGTTGCTTTTTGTACCAGCTGGGTGGCCTCTTTCCAGATGGTTGCCCGCCCAGCTAAAGAAACGGCCAGCGACCAAGATTTGAAACCACAGCTAGTGCGTAGAAGCACTGCCGCAGACACCCTCTTGGCTACGACGCCGCAACCTCATAAAGTTAAACATATAAAACTATAATAACTAATGCTTTAAAAATTATTAAAGACTATCTTAAAATTAAAATCGAAACTAGTCTTAAAATAAATTTGAAATTTCCATGTCGGTATATCATAATAACATAATAGTATACAACATAAATATAATAACATTTATTATTTTTATCATATTATGATATACATCAGGTGAAGTTTCACGGGAAGTATATTTATATTGATCTTGGCAATTGATAATTTTTAAATATTAAAAATAACCAAATTACTATTAATTTTTAGTATTTAAGTCATGAATATATAATGGATCTTTACTAATACAGTGCTAAGTTAAGGATTAAGCATTAATCAGGCTTTATAAATTTAATAATTTACATGAATCATACAAAAATAACATCTTACATAGAACATAATATATTTATGTAAATTTCCATACTTTAGTTATAATTTCGGATACACAATCTCTGCGCAACTCATCGAACGTTCCATTTGATTTTAGTAATTCCAATATTGTACAAACAATATCTTCTGTGGTGATCATAATATGATCAAGCTCTTGTGGCATTGCATGAAGGTTCTAGGAAAAACACAAAAGTAAGCTTGAACATCGTTTACACAATTGTTACTATTATTTATTTTTATTACACATTGAGGTAACGTTATTAATAATCATAAATCATAATAAAAAAAATAATAAGTAATAATTAGAAAAATCTGTACTTTTCAACGCGTTATCATTATAATATCATTTAACTGACTAAATAGATAGCCGTTAAGTACAATATAATGTATATGCCTGTCGGCGAATTGCAATGTTTTGACCGGCCAGTGGCTTCTTAGCTTATCACCATCAGTATTGTTATCAGTACATTATGTTGTTACCACGACAAATCTGTGTTGTTACCGTTGCCAATTGGCGCCAAAACGCAAAATTTGTGATAACACTGATAACTTTAATATTCCCGTTTTCGCACGCGACATCAGCTGCTATTATCGATATTTTATTTTATTTTTATTTTAAAACGCGGATTATTATCCAAGGACCAAGCACATATTTTTTATTAATTTTGCAAAACTATGTGTGGGAAAAATATCTACAAATTGTATGTTATCAAAAATCTGAATATAACAGAAACATTGACAGCTGATATTTTGTTGTTATAAGAAAATAAATTTGCAAAAAAACATATTATTTTCGGATATTTCATTAAATACAATATTTAAAATGATTTATTTAAATTAAAAAAAAGGAGAGCATTTCAACAGATGTGTAACAATTATATTATTATATTGTTCAGTACACGTCACAAGTTTTATTATTTTTTTTTTTTCGCTTATACACATTCAGGGCAACTTGTTTATTAATATATTTTTTTAATGTCTTAAATGCAAATAAATTTAATATAAAAGTGCTTTAAAATTGTACTTCATTGCCGAAGTGTGTTATTAGTTATTCGATGGGTACACTTAATGAGTTGTAGTATAAATCAAAAATTAATGAGAAACTATTATTACATTTTATTGTTCGATTGTATTTTGTTATTTAAAGACATGTTGTTTTATTTATGTTTTTTTTAAATTCAAATTTTGTATGGGTCAGTTGAACTGATTATTAGAATAAAGATGAAACAGCTATTCCTAACATAAGTAAATAACAATATCAATATGAAAAGCTTATAAATATTTCTAGAAATTACTAGTCTAATCATGTTAGCAATAAGTAATAGAAACATAGGTTTCTACTTTCAAATATAGTAGTAATAGGAAAATGCATTTAAATAGTACATAAGATCAAATTAAAACGAGTTTTGCTATTTTCTTAATACCTATGTTTTTACTATTAATTAATTAATAACAGCTAAATAATATATTATGGTTAAATAAAAATGTATTCAAATAAAATAATAACAACAAATATATAATACTTAATTTAAATAATGTACAGATGTTTTAAAACCATATGTACGTAAAATAATATTACAAATATAATAAAACACACAAAATTAAAATGCATTAAAATTAATTGATTTAATTACAATAATAGTAAACTATTGTACATATGTTGTTCAAATACTAATTGCCCAAGTTTCTTATTTTACATTATTTATGGGTTGTAAAGTCCCAGAGTATTATATTTTTATTTCTACCTTGTGGATAAGTTATAAGTATTAACAAAATATAATCATTAATTCACGCTGGATGATGGGATAATTTACAAATACATTTAAATTATTAAATATATGTCGTTATTTATTTATTTAGTTTATCAATTTTAGTTTGCCACTCGAGATTTAAGAATAAGGGAGATAAAAAAAAACACTAAGTCCCATCGAGTTTTAAAAGTTATTCAAAATCATTATTTTGTTTATCATTAACGACTTGTTAATACTTAATAAAATAATAACAGCCACATTTTTAGTGTCAACAGGATAGGTACCTGGCACACTGACATTCATTATTATTACAAGCTGACATGTGCACATGCCATGTTAAAAATCCTTACTTTCGTTTTTTCTCTCTTTATTAGTCGTCCATGAGTAAACAAGTCAATGCTAACTAACAACCCCTATTTATGTCGGTAACTTATTTATGGGAAATAATTTCTCCGAAAACTACCGTCCAACATTTCAAAATTTTACTATGATTGTAAGGCTTCTAATGAAATTTATATTTTCGACCTATATAGTAAATTCTTAACACGCGTTACATTTGTCTTTACTTTCACTAATCGTCAATCGCTTAAAAAATATTAATAACATTTTTATTTTATTTTAATTAAAAAAATAATATCGAAAGCATCCGGAATACAGAGAATAGAGTTCTAGAGAAATGTATTCAATCGGATTTCGGAATAATATACTCGCATAAAAGTCACGACGTTTGAAATCGAACGATGATCAAGAAGAAGAAGAGAAAAGAATTATGAGTAGCTTGTTTAGGTTTATTCTTTCGGTTAGAACGTATGATATGTTTTTGATTACTATAGGGGGTGGGAAAGGGGAAGGGGGAAAAAGGGCGAAGGTAAATGGTGAAATAAATTTTAACTATTGTAAACTATTAACTCAGCTTTCTGACTGAAATGGCAGTTGAAATAAATTATTGGTTCGTGATCGAGTTGAAAAAAAATATCAGGGCACAAGGCCGACGTTTTAAGCTTTATTTTTATATACGGTGTTTCAAAAAGCAGCCACATTTTGAAAATTCTATAACTTTTTTAATATTTGTACAAAGAAAAATAACACATACCATTGTGTTCAGGAGGTCCTGAGGTTTATGTGTGGAACATAACATCGGGAACATGACCGCCCCAGCTCGCCCTACAGGCCATCAATTCAACGTCCATGAAATTTCGGATGACGTGTTAGCAGATTTCGACGTCTAGATCACCCATCACTCGCCCTATTTCCGTGGACACCACGGTCTTGTGACCTAACCCCCTGCGACTTCTTCTTATGGTGGTACGTAAAGTCAAGAAAAATTGGGGGGGGGGGGGGTCAGGTCACAGACCGTGGTGTCATCCGAAATTTCATGGACGTTAAATTGATGGCCTGTAGGGCGATCAGGGGCGGTCATATATGCCTGATATTATGTTCCACGCATAAACCCCAGGACTTCCTGAACACAATAGTATGTGTTATTTTTATTTTGAACGAATATTAAAAAAGTTATAGAATTTTCAAAATGTGGCTACTTTCTAGAACACCTTATCAGTGCCGCAACTACCGCCGGTGCAGGCGGTGCATCGCACCGCCAGACAAGCCTCCGGGTTATGTTTAAGGGGCCTCATATTTATGAAGACATAACAATTCAAGTCTGAACATTCATTTCTTAAAACAAGGTTTAAACAATTTTTAGTATACGATTGTGTATTTTTAATGATGACACTTGAATATCTACATTGGCCATTGCATTTAAAATTGATAAATTTTATTTTGTTTACTGTAGTTATCGATATTATGATTATATGACCACTCGATAGCCAAACGTGTGTCGTATAAATAAAGGCTATAAATATTTATACAAAAATTAAATGGAGACCAAACACAGATAACCACCTTATTTAAGAAAAAAAACTATTCCATTTATTTCCATGTATTATCTAATAACAGGAGTGATAAGTTTCCAAAACTATGTATAGATTTATTGTATTATGATACTATCTACGCGCCCGCACCCAGCCGCTGCACATGTATTGGACTAAAAAAAAAATTGAATCATTTGAGTTTATTTTATTACTAACAATCTGGGAAAATATATTAAGGAACTTCCATTTAGTATCTAAAAAATTACAGAGCCCAAATACAAATCTTCATGATGCATGTACATTTTTAAAGGAGGCTTCTTCTTCTATTATAAGTTTAAGGGATCATTATAAAGAGCTAGTTGCTTCTGCAAGTGAGCAATGTAATAAGTGGAATATACCAATCCAAAAAACTATTCGTCGCCGTGTGTATTCAAAAAAGATTTTTGGTGATGTTGCCGGTGATAGAAGACTCGATAGTTCTGAAGACAATCTTCGTGTGATGGTTTTTTTACCAGTTATAGATACAGCAATTTTACAACTTCAAGAAAGATTCAAAGGATTATTATTTAAAGGATTATTTGAGGTTACTAAAAGATTTGAATTTCTGGTACCGCATAATATATTATCATTTAGTGAAGAAGATATCACAAAAGCATCTTAGGACTTTCAAATATTTTACAAACATGATTTAAGTAGTGATATAACAAGGCAAATGCTATCCCTTAAATCCATATTAAAGGATTCATTAAAAAATGTACATTGTATTAAACACCTTTTACAATGTATTTTAGAAAATGATATGGCCTCTATGTATAATGATATTTTTAGTGTATGTATCATATTTATAACATTGCCAGTTACTGTAGCCAATGCAGAAAGATCGTTTTCAAAATTAAAAATCATAAAAAACTACTTAAGAAATTCAATGTCTCAAGATCGCCTGATAAACATAAGTATTTTAAATATTGAACAAAAGAATTGGATATAAACAAAATAATTCAAATATTTGCTACTAAAAAAGCAAGAAAACAAAATTTTCTTAAATAAACCAAAATTGAATTATAATTATTGTTACATACATTTTTATTTTTGACATGTTATAACTTATACACATATTTAAATCATAATATGTTTCAAGATTTTTTTGTTTTTGTAATAAACTGATTTATACACGTATGTAACAAGTATAAAGGTAATTAAAAAAAAAAGTATTCAAGCGTTTAAGTTGAAGCTACCTGCCAATTATAGTTCAGCTCTTATTAAGATTAAGTAAGTATTAAATAGGGTTTAACTTTAGTTTTATAATTGGGGACCCTACAAAACTTTGGGTGAGCATTATAGTAAATAGGGGCCTCTAAAATCAGCCTGCACCGGGGCCTCTATAATGGTAGTTGCGGCACTGCACCTTATATTTGTTTGGTTTTCTCGAAAAAAAGTCTGGTTTCTACAGACAGTAGATACACTAGATGTGCTGACAGACTTCATGTATTTTTATGTCCGACCAAATGACACACGACGAATATTCAAAGAAGTATGTCAAACGCCTTATTTATATTTTGATAACGTTGTACTTAGAAAACCTACTACTCGTTTCATAAACACAGTGTAATCCTCTTCGGCCGGTGTTATGGCCAATAACCAATATAAATTTATAATTAGTTTTTCATTTATGTCGAATATGTCTAACAGCTATTGCCTGTTTACCAAGTAATAAATAAACATAAATAGTAAATGTATAATATTATCGTAAAGCATACCAACATTTTAGACGTGATGTAAGGGCGTATGTATCTAACACTATTGATTTAAGGAGAAGAAAATGTCAAACGGTGATACTTTCATTGTAACACAATGTTATATTCTTACCTGTTCGTTGGTATCCTCCATTTGACGATAAACGTTATTTAATATTTCACTGCACTCTCCAGGGCTGTATTTAACAGAAAATCTGTTTTTATTTTGTTTGGCGTTAATTTGCAACTAACGTTCTTCCGCGATGAAGACAAACCGGAAAATCGACACTGTTATAATATTAAGTCCTCTATCAATACTTGTATCCAGGACATAACGTTCCCCGACAACAGGATTTTGTGGTGTACTTAATATTGCTTTTTGTTCGCAAGCTGTACCCAAAATAACAATGCAGGGGGAGTGGTCGACATGCGCACGCGACCGAGGGATATACTTTGTAAACCTATATACATATAATACACTGTGTCAATCTCTGTATTGATTATTTCATTTTCTATCCAAGCCACCATGTTGCCAAATCTGCAGAAGTTTTGATTGGTAACTATGGTGGGGCTTTCATACAGCCGCATCCCTATAAACCAGAGGGTCCACACTTCGGGTCAGTGAACTGAAAATGTTTCACTAAATCAATAGTATATAATATTTGAGTCTACCAAGAAACAAGCCCTTTTTACTCGAAATTTGAGATTACTGGTGTGTGATACAAATAATATTATATTAATTAATAATTAATATTATTATATGAATAATATTATATTCGTCAGTTATATTTACATCTAATTTAAAAAAAAAAAGATAATATTACTTTCCACGAGTTAGACCTCCAGCTCGCCGTCGAGAAGCGGAAGCGGTAATGATCAGGCACAGATACAAGGTCGGGATTTCGTGTATCGTCCTGAACGGCGTAGAAGTTAGGTAGGAGAGACTAATATCTTGGGATGCTAGTCGATCGTAAAATTAACTTCAAGCAGCATGCCGAACATCTGCGGCCCCCGTGAATCAAGACGTAGGCTGCTGGCCAGTGTCGTAATCTCCTTTATGGAGACCCGGTGGGTTAGGTTAGGTTAATTACCTTATTTTTATTAATTTTCTTTTGATTAAAATTATTGACCATCCCAAAATTTCACACTGTTATCATTTAGGAGAGGATCAAAATTACATAAATGTTTTTCGAAATTAGATAGGAAAGAAAAGCTTTTGAAGCCAATATGGATCTATGGTATTATTATCTGGGGATCAGCAAAAATTTCAAACAATTAAAGCCTTCTAGTGTATATGCCTCAGAATAATTACAAAAGTCTCTTAATATGTTTAAAATGTTTCACTTCACTCCAATCTCAGATACCACAATCGCTGAGTATGCAAAGATAGTATGAGTATATTTATAATAATTAATAAATAATTAAGTATTAATCAAAAATTCAGGAATTTATATTCAACTACAAGTTATAAAAAAATCTCGATTTAAATTTTTTAAAGTTGTAGTAGTCGAGAGGTAATTAGCACGTTTTAGGTTTTGATTTAATTTTTTTTTTGTTAGGATATTTTATTGAGTAATTGTGTTTATATCTAGATTAAAAAAAGTAAATGTCGATGAACACATGCAGTAAAGGACCGTAGTTTTACCATTGATTAAATATACTTAAGTATATTTAATCAATGGTTTTTCTATTTGTTTTCTGGTCAGGTGGCCTTCCTATTCACACATTATGTCATTGTATCGTTGTCATCAGACTTGCTGATTATACATATTTTGTATAGATTGTAAATAAAGAAAATATATTTTTAATAAAAAAAAATAAAAGTTTTACTATTTAATATCTTGAGTGACACCCGGTAAGTAAGTAGGTTTTAACTAAGATTATGAAAAGAAAAAATTAATTTAAACAAATTTTTACCTTAGATACAGAGCTGTAGTATTTATCTTATATTGATGTGTTGATTTTTTGTGTTTCTGTATACAAAATCTTGTATCTGTACCGAATTGCTTTTTTACTGTCTACATATTTGCATTAAAGTATTTGGCAGTTACTAAATCACTTTTAAACTAAATAATCACCTTAAGCCACTGTACATGTCTTAATACGTTGTTTATACTGTACTAGCTTAGACTTAACTGGTTATAAATGAGCTCGATTTTTTTTTTTTAAAACACTATTTTATTCTAAATAGGCAATAATAGGAATTATTTATATTAATAATTTATAATACCATTTCCAATTTGTTCGATGAAAATTTGTACAGCCGGTAAACGAATAATTTAGGATTTTGATTTTGTTTTACTTTATATTTTTAAATTTACACTTTTTCACGATGGGTAAGATTTGGGAATAAAATAAAAATGAGGAATGATAATTATTTCTTTATTTTTTCATTTCACGACACATGTTATTATTTTTTAAATAAATTTTTTAAATGCTTAAATTTGTGTGCACATTCACCGTTTGAAACTAAAAACTAAGTACTACCAATTTAATCTTCAGTTATATCGTTTATTAGGATGTTGCGTACGGCTAATGAGGTTACAATTTTATTTTTA